CGGTAGTTGATTGACAAAGTTAACTTTGAACGCTTGGCAAGTGGTTGCACTTTGCCTGAGTCTTGTTACTTGTTTACTTGTTTTTTTTTTGAAGTACGCAAGAGCAGGGAAGTGGAATTGCAATAGTAAAGTCAGTCAAAACTCTAGTTTATAAAAAATTCTTGCAAGATCACTAAGTTGCTTTTTTTCAGCTCTTGATTACCGTATTCTCTCTAATAGTAGTGGACCCAGCCGAGTTGATGACTATTTTACGGTTTCCAAGCTTTCGCAGAAGCTTAACACGCAAATCCCCCACAAGATCTCATCGTCAGCTACATTTTCCGACCCCACATCGATAGGTTCTGATTAGCGCTTTTCAAGATTTCGAGGAATTTAGGCAAAGCTCAGGGTGTGCTACTATTAGAGAGAATACAGTATCTGCTTTACATCTATTTTAAAAGAACCAATATACATCACAAATGCCTAATCTTTCCAAAAGTTTCCTTTTTCTTCTATTTGAACTTATCACTATCAAAAGATTCTTGTTTTTGATATTATGATTGCCCCATTGAGTAGATTGTTCTTCTTCAAATTTTCTCTCGAAAAAAACACAACCACACACGCAATATTTCAATTTGTGTGTGTGTTTAAATGTGCGAAAATGACTTTTTTATGAAGATGATTGAGTGGTTTTTGCTTTTTTTCCTTTAAAAAATCAAAAATTCCAAAAATTCCAAAGAAATTTGAGGATTAAAATCGAAAATTTTCAAATTTCCAAATTTCCACTACATTATACTATTTTTTTTTGACTCTTTTCCCCGGAGCGAAAACTTTTTCCAATGGATTATCGGACTAAATCCATTTCTGGCTAATACTCTCCTCCATTTTTGCCAATAAATCCCCAGTTTCCGGATTGATTCGATTTCTTTTTTGTTGTAATAATTGAAAATTTTGAAAATTTTGAATCTTTATGCTCAAATTGCTAATGTAAAACAAAAAAAATTTGAAAGTTTTAAGCACAAACTTTGAGAGTTTTTGCTTTAAAAATTTGTTTTTAAACCTAAATTTGAATAAATTGCTGTAAAAATTTTGTTTTTAAATCTAAATTGAAATAAATTTCTTTAAAAGTTAAAAAGTCAACCCTTTTCCATCTCTCTAAACTAAAAACTTCTGGATTTTTCTCAATTTTTTTAGGAAATAACCTTTCCTTTCCCCTTTTTTTCTAAACTTTTCTTCAGAGTTACACCATTTCACCTGTTCTTATCCATTCCATTTTTTCCATTTTCCAAAACCTTTTTTTTTTCCTTTGGGTCAAAGTAAAAGAAAGAGTGAAATTTCAGATCTTCTAAGCTTTTCCATTTTCTTTTTTGAGCAAAAGTGGAACGCCCTGGAAACGCCTTTTCTTGAATCTTTTCTTGAACCTTTTCTCTCAACCCTTTCTCCTTTGTTTCAAGCTTCTAAAGTATCTTCTGATTCGTTTGATTTGTGAGATCAATTCTGTCTTTCTTTTTTATTAACTATATTGCAGATCTGTCTTTCTTTTTTATTAACTATAAGATAAATTTTGGAAATCTATCGCTTTAAATCAATCGATTTGAATCAATCTGGACTCTCAGCAATCCTGATCGATTCTCTGCAGAGATTCTCCTTTATTTCGTGATTATCATAGAGTGTTTTCTGATTCGTTTGATTTAGATCAATTCTTGATTGTTTTCATTGACTGAATGCATCAATTTGAATCAATCCTGACTCTTTTAGACTGCACAACAGTTTTCCAAATGTCGAAACTCTGAAATTTCCTTGAGAACATTTCCTTGAGGACATTTCTTTGAAAAATCTTTTATATTCTAGCTCGTCTCCAAAAATCTTTGCTTCTTTTGCAAATCAAAGCTTACAATGGAAGCTCGAAGTTGAGAATCGGGTGCATCTTATAGAATCGGAGATGCAGAGTAGGAATCCGATTCTATAAGAATAAGATATAAGAATCAATTCTCAACCTCGAGTTGAGACCATTCCCTTTTTTGCTTATTCAGATTATAAAAATGGCTTTTTATAGAAACTTACATACTGATAGAAGTATAAGTTCTCGCCAAAAAACTCAGCGATCATCAGAATCCACACTGTCACTCCTCAAATCGATTCCTCAACTCCAATCCATTTCCTTTTCTTCTCCTTTCTCCTTCCTTCTTCGATTATCAAGCCGCTCTAATTGAATTCTTCTTCTTTTCTTTTCAATTTTTCTTCAAAAGACTCAATTTCCACTCATTTACATAGAGGTCCATTCCTTTCTCCTTCCGGCTTTCATTTTTTGCCAAAAGCTGGGGTGTGGATAGCTGCAAAGATGGCTTGGCTTAGCAAAGATTTCATTTGTATTGTGCACATTGTAAAAGCATAATTCTTTTTCTTTCGTACATCACAAATTAGTATATAAGTTGTGAAAATTTAATGCAAATTATGCAAGTGAATACGAAAATTCAAGCTCAATCTTACTTTTTTTTTTGATTTAAAATATCTACACCATCGTTTCCCCATTCGAATTGAGGCCAAAGTGATCCCATTGAAAGTGAATTCCAAATAGATCGAGACATTTTCATTCCGACAATAATTTTGTTATGGATCCCATCTTTTTTCGTCACCTATCCACACAGATGGGAAAATATGTTCCTCGGGAGATCACCTTGCATCTTTCTTTCACCAACTCTTCGCATGTTGTTGATAATTTATAAACCTTTTTTTCCTTCTCGTCGACACGAGGCAAAAGTTCAACGAATTTGTGAATATTGATGTTTCAAAATAGACCAGTTCTTTGACTTTTCTAGTCCCTTGATAACAAATTAACCCAAATTAAGGCTCCTCGGCTTTAGAGCCGCATTAGCTCAGTGGTAGAGCATTAGACTTTTAATCTAAGGGTCAGGGGTTCGACCCCCCTATGCGGCTGTGAGTTTTTGCTTTTTGAAAATTCAATAATAAACTAGGTCGTTGATTGTCTTCACTTCATCAGCTCTTTTCTAATAAATGTTTTTCATCTTTTCTTAAAGCTCTAAACCGTTCATCTTTTCATCACAAAACCGTCACCAAGGCTCAATTCGAGAAAAAGTTTCAAATGAAACACTCATTTTCTTATATTTTATCTCTTTGAAAGAAATTCCCTGTTAACTGGATGAAAAAGAAAAGCTGAATCCATTCAACCATCAGCTAATCTCAAATATTCAGCATAGCATTCGCAAAATTTATGTCAGGGCTCAAAGATTTCACTTGTCTGATATTGATTTTAGTTTGCTTTTATGAATATTTATATTTAAATTAGATTTTATTGAGTGCTAATGAATTTAAGTGATTCAAAACTCTAAATTCATGTAAAAGTTTGCCTTTTAATTAGCTAGCTTGCAAGGGTAAACTTGGACGCTTGTCCGTTATCAAAAAAAAGAGTTCATTATCTTTTTCGTTTCACATTTAACTGGTGTTTAAGTAACAAATTGGGTTTAACGGGATACAGAATTTGGCTAAAAATAGAGCCAAATTTAAGGGAAAAATTGATCTCAAGAATTTGGGCATAGTGACGGAAGCAGCTCAAACGCTGACCACTCATTTTCCCTTTACGCATTTATACCAAACGTGTTTGCCAGGTGGCCAACGATTACGCACAAAGAACAGCTGAAAGGTCAACGATTACGCACAAAGAACAAAATACGCCAGCGCACAAAGAACATCTCTCACTTATGGGATTTCTTTTAGTTTTTGTAGATGACTCTAAGAGATTCAGCTGTAAATTTGTAACCGGGGATTTTCTGGATTGGGGAATCGATTGGATGAGCTCGTTTTTTTCTTAACTTTTGAAGCTCGAAGCAGATCACTTAGAAATCTAACCTAAACACCAACAGAATTTTGCCGAACATAATAAATTAGATCTAAAATTTGACGGATGATCTAGTACCCCAGTAATGTGAGTTTTTCTACAAAAAAAACCGAGAAATTCCCCTCTCTTTCATTCAATTTCGCCGATTTGTGCTCATAAATCAAAAGAAATTTTTCATTAGATTAACGAGATTAACTTTTTTTGGCTTTTTTTGCATTTTCTCATCGAATTGATCTTTATCTTGTTTCAAATATGAAAAAAAATGAATTTACAATCATAAATTTGAGAAACCTTGAGTTTCTATTCACTTCCGGAAACAGATTCTGAGAATTTCTAGAGAATTTCTAGACTTAATCCCGGAAATTTATCGATTAATGGTACATTTGAGGCTTCTAAAAGCGTTTTGAAGGATTAAAAAAGATTAATAATAAATAGAAATCGATTAGATTTGAGAGCATTTTCATTTAAGAAGTTAATTTCGGTTCAAAACGCACACCTTTTAGTGCATTGCATTGAAATCTAGTGATTTCTGCACTTTGTGCGAATCTGGATTAGCAAACGCACACTTTCTAGCACAATGAAGACTTCTAAGTCTTCATTGTGCTAGAAAGTGCTAGAGCTTGCTAGAGCTAGAGCTAGAGGTTGTGCACTTGCTAGAGCTAGAGGTTGTGCATTTACGTTAGCACAAAGTACAGGTCTTGTTTGTTTGTGCAAACACTATCCACCTAGCAAATGCCTTTAGTTGAGTATTCTTTATTAATTGTTCTCTCTTTTTTTTATTTCTATTGATCATATCGTCTTTCTATCGTTGAATTTAAGCTCCTTGGAAATGAATCTTCACAAAATTCCTCTATTACGCCAAAATTTATTAGTCGAATCACCAAATTCACCCGATTTTTGTTTACGAAAAGTGAAAATGTCATTCGATCCGCGGATTTGTGAATTTCTTTTGAGATTTCTTCTAAGAATTTTTCCCAGATTTCTTTCTTTTTATCAAAGCTTTACTTTAATAGAGCTTCTTTAATAGAAAAAAGAAGAAACTTTTCATTTTTAGAGATTAAATATCGAGGAAAAAGGGAAATGGAGTGAGAAAAGGAGAAAAGAGAATGAGAGAATCGATCAAAAGAAGAGACGATTTGAATGAAAGACAACGAAAAGGAGATTTATGGTAATTCTTTATTCAAATATTTGCATTTCGTTTGATTCTTTCGTTACATATTTAGATTCTTTTCTTTTTAAAACCATCCCATTTTCAAGAGAATTTCTTTTAGTTTAGAACAATTTCTCTTTATTACTTGCAAAATTGGGGAGTGGGACAAATGCGACCTTTTTTTTTGCGCACCCGGACATTTGTGCACCTTTTTTGGCGCACCTTGCCCATTAGCGCACCTTTTTTCGCGTTTTAAGCTCTGAAAGCTCTAAAAAAGCTCTAAAAAGCTAATATTGACCAATTTCTATTCCAAAAGTTGTTTTTCTAGGTAATTTTAGGGCGTAGAATCGAAATTTTGACATATCAGAGCTTGTGGAAACAAATGGACCGAGTTATACATACCGTAATACCTGTAATAGCTGTAATAGTAACGCCACCACCCGCCCCCCATAATGACGGGGTATTGCCGCGTAGTCTAACTTTACACGCTCCGTTCTCCGCACTGCTTTATGCTACAATGTGCGCTTGGGTGTCAAATGATAGCCCTTGAAATTTAGTATTTTTAAAAAGCTAATATTAACCAATTTCTATTCCAAAAGTTGTTTTTCTAGGTAATTTTAGGGCGTAGAATCGAAATTTTGACATATCAGAGCTTGTGGAAGCGAACGGACGGAGTTATACAAAGAAAAAAATCGACAATTTTCTGTAATTTGATCTAGCCGTTTTGTCTTTCAAATTGGTCTTTCAAATTGGTTCCACGCGCTCTATTATGTCAAAATTTGAATTCGACACCCTCAAATTACCTAGAAAAACAACTTTTGAAATAGAAATTGGTTAATATTAGCTTTTTAGAGCTTTTTTAAAACGCGAAAAAAGGTGCGCTAATGGGCAAGGTGCGCAAATGTCCGGGTGCGCAAAAAAAAAGGTCGCATTTGTCCCACTCTCCAAAATTGTGACATTTGTTGAGAATGTAGATAAAAATAGCATTTAATTTTATCTATTCTTAATTGATCTGATAGATTTAAACTCAAATTTAAACTCAAATTAAATACAAAATCCAAAATCCTTTGCTGCACTTTTTCTTTTGACTCAAACGCTCTGATTGATTGAGTCAATTTGCATTTAAACTATTCAATTGATTGATCAGATAGATTAACTCAAATTTCATACAATTTTCTGCACTTTCCAGACGACACTCACCACGCTGTTCCCACCGCCAATTGTTGGTGAAGTGGTGGCGGCCACTGTCGCCTCCTCGCAGCGACCTATACACACTGGTGAGTCTCAAATTGAAAACATTTTCAAGAAAATACAATCATTCACACAAATAGTGTGGTATAAACAATATAAACAATACACAAGTACAACCATTAAGCCCTAAATGTAGAGAAAAATCAAAAATCGACCCTTTTTTTACCACTTTTAAATCAATTTTTTCTAAGCGCTGGTTAATGCTAGAAATATGTGTTATATCTCAAAAAATCACCCATTTTCCCTACTTTAATTTGACACTAAAGCACGCAGAAACAAACGTACTAGTATCGAGATATGAGCGCTTGTTTAAGAGTAAACTTAGACTCGTGACGCTTCTATAGGTGGTTGTTAGTTTTAGGATGGTTCTGGTAAGTTTGTTAGTAGAGTAAACCTTTTGATTCGATCTGATTTGGCCAATCATTTCCCAGGTCTCCTCTCAACTCTTTCACCGCACTCAACGAGGCTATGTCTTGGCCTACACGATGTGTTCATCGCCTTGTTTCTGGTGAGTTGCACACAGATTTGGATTTTAAACTTGTTTTTAACTTTAAAACTTGTTGTTCACTCAGCTTTTGTACTTCATTAGCATTGAAACGACTTCCCTTCATAAATTTGAAATTACAAAGCGAGGAAAATTAGAGAGAAATTGGCAAGCACTTCCCGATCCATCTCGTTTTTTTCCTTTCCTCAATTTACCTTCCTTATATCCATTCTATGCCCATTTTTTTCTTTCCTTTTCTTCCTTTTTTTTTCACAATTTGGATCTCCCATCCGATCTTTTTCTTTCCTCTTTTTTCACATTCAATGCCCGTTTGATTCAATTTATTCAATTTTCGGGGTAACTTGGAAAAAAAAAGGCGCAACTTATCTAAACTCTTTTTCTCATTTTGAATTTGAAAGGGGAAATTTCTTGAATTTTGAGCTTATTGATGCTGTGCAAAAGTCGGTTTATTTTAAGATTTCAAAAGTCAAAAACGCTTGCCAAGAGATTCTGCCTCAAAACTCAAAACGGACTTTTCGATGAGATGCCCTAGAGTGGGGTAAATGATCGGAGAAGTGAATTATTCACGAAATCCACAAATCGGACATCGAAGTGCAAATGGGAGAGAGTTTTCGAAGAGATTTAAAAGGCGAAATTGCCTGTTAAGCTACTAGAATTTGTGTGAGGTTCTAAAAAAAAGCGAGCAAAATTAGAGAGAAATTGGCAAGCACTTCTTGTTCTGCAACCAATCAAAAGTTGGTTGCAGAACAAAAAGAACAAGAAGTGCGATAACCGATTGCAGTAATTGTCTGGCTTTTGTTCTGCAACCAATCAAAGGTTGGTTGCAGAACAAAGCACTAATATGCTAATGGAATAGTTCAACCAATGGGACTAGTGTATGAAAATCAGGCATAAGGTATTACGGTAACTGTTTGGGCTATGGTAACTGTCTGGGTTACGATAACCGATTGCAGTAATTGTTTGGATCAAATTAACTGCCCGGTTACGGTAACTGATTGCAAACATGTGTCACCAAATAGAAAATCATGTAGAGAACGAAATGCATCTAAGAATAACGGCTATTGTGAATAAGATATTCAGCTAATCCATTGGTGCCTCAGAATACGGTAAGGCCAGAGTTCAGCCAGTCTTCAGGCTCACTATCATGAACTTTTGCGGGCAGTCAAGCCAGACAAAGCAAGGTCAAAAGGAATCTAGCTTCAAGAACTAGCTTCTGACCTAATCTGGGACAATTCTTTTGAAAAAACCCTGCTCAGTTTTACAGACAAAATTTCATTCCCATTAAAGACAAAATTAAGTAAAAAGACTCCTTATTTTTGATCCCAAAAACTCGTTGCAACTCGCTGACCAAAACCCAATTTAGCTAGCAAAATTGACGACTCACGTCACCAAAATGACCCCAAGAGAAAGTGCAATGACTAGTTTGAAGGGGAAACTTTTTAAAGGTTAAAGATTCAAGCTTAAAGATTAAAGGTTTAAAGGTTAAAGAGTCTTGATGTAATTTAGAAAAATAGAATATTATTTACAAAATAATGAAAAGATTCTTTCAGGTGATGCTCATTTTGATGACAATTTTCGGCAACGTGCTCGTCGTTTTGTCGGTTTTCGTCTACAAGAGAATGCGGACGTTCACGAATATTTTGTTGACATCACTGGCAACAGCTGGTTTGTCGAATTTCATTTGAAAAACGAGCAATAAGCTCAACTTGTAACTAAAACGTGTTAAATGGTTAGTGAAGCGTAATGTTAGCATTGTTGGAAACGCTGCCTTTTATGGGTTTAAGGCCGAGACTATAAAATATGGCCCGCGGGATTCGAACCCGTGACCTTTCGCCTACCCGTTGAACGCTCTAACAATGAGCTAAACTGACAAGTTTCCCATTGTCACCACGGTAGGGCTTTATGCCTTACTATAAGCATTTGAACTGACTACTTTATAGATCTTCTGGTCGGCCTCGTTGTGATGCCCCTATCCCTCCTCGATCTTCTCCACACTCATCAATGGCCATTCGGGAGATTCCTCTGCTCTCTATGGGCCACTTCCGATGTGCTCCTATGCACGGCATCGATTTTAAATCTTTGCGTCATTTCACTGGATCGATATTTCGCGATCACGAGTCCATTAAAGTATCCAAGAACGAGGTGAGGGGAAAGAGCAGTAACAAAAGGAAATGCTTTTATTAAAATCTAACCAAGCAATTACGGTAGATTATCTAAACTTTTCAGAAGTAAAAAGATGGCAGCTGGGCTTTTGTCGGCCGTTTGGGTGCTCTCGTTGGTGATCTGCAGTCCACCGTGGTTTGTCCCGTCGTGGGGGTTATTCGATGATAAACCAGGTGAAAAAAATTTGATAAATCTAAAAAAAACATAGTACTTTCCATTAGGGGAACAAATATTTCAAGTATTATAGCGTTTGAACGTTTTTACGCTATGATATTTCAAGTATCATAGCGTAAAAACATTTGAAGATCCCGTTCACAAGGAAAAGGAAAATGAGGATAGAATTTGCATAAAAAACGAAATCTGAAACGAAATTCTCATGTAAATTGCATTAGAAAACTACTGTAGAAATTAGATAATGCTTTTAAGGTCAACTTTTAGGCAACGGTACTGGGAATTCGACAATCCGAGAGACATTCACTTGTCAATACAGTCCTTCGGTTCCCTATCGGATATACAGTGCCTTGGGAAGCTTCTTCGTACCATTAATTGTAAGCTTTTCTTTAAAAAGAATCTATTCTTAAAGAAAAATCCCCAGGTAATGCTATTTGTTTACTTCAAAATCTTCAATGTGGCGAACGATCGTGAGAAAGTGATGCGCGAGTCGATTGGCACGTATCGATTAAGTAATCGTTTGCAGAAAACTCAGCAAAAAACACATCAACAAATGAGACAAAATCGGTAAGGAAAAAGAAGATTTACTTTGAAATCTACGAATTTAGAGCCCGACTCCAGCTCTTGAACAACAACAACACGTCGACGGTGCTGGAGAATGGGACGAGAATCAACTACACGACTAGGCCCATCGATATACAACAGTAAGTCTTCTGGGTAGATTCAAATTTAGCTGTACCAATATGAGAGTGAGCCAAGCTTGAGCCAAAGATCTGATGAACTTGAATTAAGTAAAAGTCTGACACAATATTGAACTTGCCAAATCAAAAATAAATGATCAAAATGAATAGTAGCTTTTGTAGGTTTATAGCTTGTTTTATAATAGCTTTCTTATAAAAGATCTTTTCTGGATATTAGTACCGTCTACAATAGACGGTAGTAATATCTTTGTATTTTGTAGACGGTAGTAATATCTTTGTATTTTGTAGACGGTACTAATATCCATTCTATCCACTATTTCTATAAAAAGGCTAAAAAACAAGAATTGTCTTTAAAAAATAAAAGTAAAAAGCTTTGCCAACTAAAGGATTTTAAACTCAAGCTAAAATATTTTAAATAGGTTTTGTAGACGGTACTAATATCCATTATATCCACTCTGTCACTATCACTATTCACTCTGTCATAAGATGACCTTAACTATTTAGTCAAATTTAATGTAGATTCTAATGAAAGTAATCAGAAGTTGATTTAGCTTTTACATTTTAAGTTATAGACCTTTTAAGTGGATCGTTCCTTTCAAGTGGGTAGTCTGACTTTGACTGAGATTTTCTCTATGGTTTTTTTCTCTTTTTCTTTTTCTCTATGGATTTTCTCTATTAAAGTAGAACTAAAACTTGTTTCCCAAATATCTTCAATGTGTTTTAACAAAAACTAAAACCGGATTTTGACCTGTGACTTGTGAGGCTTCAAAATTTACTGATTTGTTAAATCTGATTCAAGATTGAATAACATCAATCTATTTATTTATTATATTTATCTTTCAGATTCCGAAGTCCAGGCGCTCGCCCTAGAACAGGCAGCCGAGTCCGTGCCGACAGCTCGGAGAATGACGAGAGTCCGCCCGGAGATCAAGATCAAGACTATTCATCAGCACTCCTTCAATCAACTGGGAATTTGAGTAAGTCTATTTTGAGTAGATTTTGTTCAAATAAAACTGAATTCAGCTCTAAATTCAACAAATGGTCCAAGCAACTCACCCGGTTTCCCTCGATTGAAAGCATTGGAAAGAGAGTGTCACTCGATGGCTGATCTTCAGCAGAATTCATGCGTGGTGAGTTTCAAATTCTTTCTTTAAATGTTTTTTCAATATTTTTATAGTTTTCTAGATTGCTAGCTATTCGTTTAGCGTTTACTAGTACGTTTTTAGTCGTATACACTTAGAAGATCTCGAATAGAAACTGTAAAATAGTTGTGTCTTCCATTTTATCCCATTTTGATGTTAGTTTTTCTTTAAATAGGAAGAGATCCTGTTTATTCAATCACAAAGATGGCACAACGATTTGGGGGAAATTTCATGGATTTCTAGGTGACTCCTCCTCAACGGAAATCCACCGAGGTCCACTCGGAGGTACCGTTATCTTTGGTGAAAAAAGCTGCAGCTGCACACAGTCGTTTACAGCCATCAAATCTGCTTGCTAAGGTGATTCATCGACTTTTATATATTGTACTTTCTAGAATCATCGTCGTCGCCGTTTTGCCCGTCGTCGGGGGGTAAGTGGTGGATTGGAGAAGGGGAAAAGCTTTGAACTTGTCACCAAAAAGCTTACCAATGTCAAGATCAAATACCAGTAGTTCTAGAACTTACAATTCGAAGTTTCTAGTTCAATTCGAACATCAAGAATTGGTCAAGCTCAAGTTCAAATCAAAGTTGAACTGCGGTATTCGTTTGAATTTGTCAATTTGTTATTGTTATTGTTTTCCAAGTATTTAACTTGATTTTTTGATTTGGAACTATTGGAAATCAATATTTAGCATTGAAATTATTAAAATTTAGTCTGTAACAATAAGAAAATCAATACTGGTATTAAGATATCTTTGAGATTGGCAAGTTTTTGGTTGGTCAAGCCCATAACCCCCATCCATCCACTCAAATAGTTAACCTATTGATTCGCGATTCGTGTTTTTGCGAGATTTCTTTCACTTTTCTTTTTTAAAATTTTTCTTAACGATTAGAAATGTAACATTTTCGTTTGCAAATACTTGAAATCAAAAAAAAATGAGATTGAAATGGTGGTGGATTGTAGCTAAAAGAGCTGCTTACTAATATCTCGCAGAGAGGAAGAGAAACGTAAACGCAAAGCATCTAACGTACACATTAAATATTGTTATTTCGTTATAACAGAAATACTTAAGATTATCGAAAATGAGTACACCAAATGGTTTGCGTTTCCGTTTCCTCAATCAGCTTGGGATCTTTCCAAAATTACAATAAAAGTTACTATCCAAAACCTTTTTTTTCTATTAATAACCTTTAAAATTGATTATTTTTAGGCCCAAGAACATTATCAAACGTGTGGACCGGGTAAATCCGTGAGGGGATCAAAAGAGAAAATGGTTTATCTCCGCGAAAGGAAAGCGCTCAAAACGATCGGGATTGTTGTACTCGGTAAGGAAATTATTTGTTTGCAATTGAAATTGTGGTCGTGGATTGTTAAGATTGTTTGCAATGTATTGCATGCAATGCAAATTGCAAGGCAAATGCAAACTGCAAGGCAAATGCAAACTGCAATGCAGTGCAATGCAATTTGCAAGCAATTGAAATTTGCAAGCAATTGAAATTGCAAACATTGCAAACATTGCAATTGCAATTTGTTTCCAATCATGATATTGAATATATATCTTAGAAGATTATTGGATCCAAATTATTGGGTTGGTGAATTGAAAACTGCCTGCTATTGTCATATGTGACAGTTTGAGCACTTTCTTCAAAAGAAACCCATTTTGGTGTCAATGGAAAAGTTGTAGAGAAAAATCAAGTTTATATCCAAATTTTCAGAACGATTCAAAAACTAGTTTCCAAGAAATGCGAAATTTACGAATTTTCACAAAACTTGCATTTTAAGCGAAACTACTAAGTGTATCTTTTTGGAAATTTTGCTATAAGCCTAATTTTTGATTCTCTACAACTTTTTCATTGACACCAAAATGGGTTTCTTTTGAAGAAAGTGCTCAGAACTGGGACATCTCGAGTCCTCCATTTTTGAGTCTCACACTTGTCTCACACACAAACCAAAATCCTACCCAGAAAGAGGAATCCGAAAATTGCCTGTAAAATGAGCAGAAGTCGTCAATAATAATGGAAATCATTTGGGATGAATTGATGATTTTATGTTGAATAAATTTTAGTTTAAAGTACCGCAGTTTTCAATTCACCAACCCAATAGTTCAGTCAACAAAATCATTCCCATTTTCAGGGTTCATTATTTGTTGGTTGCCGTTTTTCTTGCTCTACTTATTTGAGGTAAAGGATTTCCATCGAAAACCCTCTATTCCTATTTTCAGGTATTTTTCGACTTCAAACATTTTCAATGGGTCACTCTTGTCAATGAGTTTTTCCTCTGGTTGGGATACTCGAATTCGGTGAGTGATTCTATTTCTCTTCAAACTTTTAGTCTAATCTTTACAGCTTCACAGTAGTTCTAGATGTTTAGAAGACTTTCTAACAAATAGTTGAGTTGCTTTCCTAGTTCTAAAGACAACTTTTTGGGCCTGGCTAGGCTTGCTAGCCAGGCTCGAAGCCAGACAAGTTTTACTCGCAAAACCCAAGCCTGACTTTGACTTAAGAGCCGGATATTTCCTTCTCTCATTTCCTTGTATTTCCTCTTTCTTCTTTCACAAGAAGATATCGGATAGCTCAGTGGTTAGAGCGGTTTCAGGAAAGCAAAAGATCGAGAGTTCAATCCCTTCTCCGGAGATTTTCATTGCCATTCCTTCCTTTGACCTGGCATGGCCTAACCATAGCACCTAATTGAAACATCTTTATTTCCTTTCAAAGCCCTCTCAACACGAATTTGATTGATTTCAATAGAAAAGGCCAAATCTATAGACGTGTATTCACTAACAAATCCGTTAAACAATCATCAATGAAACTATCGATGAAACTTTGATTTCCAGGTGCTAAACCCGATCATCTACACAATGTACAACGGGGATTTTCGACGATGTTTCCGGGATTTATTGTCTTTTGGCTGTATCCAACATCATCGGCGAACAATGAGCGTCAAAAAACTCCATCAACAATCCACCATTTTCTAGAGTTCTTTGAAAAGCTTAACTTTGAACTTATAACTTATAACTTAGAACTCCGATCCGGTTCAGTTCACTTTTATAACACGGAAATCGATTCGTTTCCTTAAATTTCTATTCAAATTTTCAAATTTTGTGCGATTCGTTGCCTTGCCATTATTTCCCAATTTCGAATATCAGAATTTATATTTTTCGATCTACAAAAGAATTGGTTTGATCTCAATTTGTCTAATTTCTTTTCTTCTGATCAAAGATCGATAAAAAAGATAAATTTATATGAAAATTTGCCAAAACTACACAATAACTACAATCTATTACTGTCCAAGCAACTCTCCCGGTTTCCATCGATTGAAAGCATTGGAAAGAGAGTGTCACTCGAAGTCCAGGCGCTCGCCCTAGAACAGGCAGCCGAGTCCGTGCCGACAGCTCGGAGAATGACGAGAGTCCGCCCGGAGATCAAGATCAAGACTATTCATCAGCACTCCTTCAATCAACGGGGAATTTGAGTAAGTCTATTTTGAGTGTATTTTGAGTAGATTCTGTTCAAATAGAACTGAATTCAGCCCTAAATTCAACAAATGGTCCAAGCAACTCTCCCGGTTTCCCTCGATTCAAAGCATTGGAAAGAGAGTGTCACTCGATGGCTGATCTTCAGCAGAATTGATGCCTAGTGAGTTTTCTCACTTTGGGAAACGGAAACGCACTCTTTCTGGTGCACGATTGGAACCGAATGCAAACCAAATACACCAGAAATGGTGTATTTCCACTTTTCGATCTCAAAGAACAAGAAAATGAGATTGATTCACAATCAGATTTCAGCAGAAAGCTTCCAAATGCTTTAGATCAAAGTTTACTATTATAAAAGCTTTGTTAATAGTTTAATCAAATAATAATACGCATTATTCAAAAAATTTCGTTAAAAACCTACTCTCTTTGTTTATTTTTCCTGAAAGAGAGCTCTAAAAAACGGCAAATTACACGCAGAAATCGATACTTTGCCCCTACCAATCGTGGAAAAAGATTTTTCTTCTCTAACATTCATTTTCACTATTGCACAACCACTTCCACAATTCCTTATCACTTAAAATTTTCTAGAAAAGTCATTAAAAAATTGATTTATCATTCATTTTTGACAATTTGGGACTTAGTTTTCAATACTACAATAGATACAAAATTCCTCTTTCAAAAAGTTATCACAATCTTCTCTGAATTAACTCTAGATTTTCTCAGCCTTCACTTTTTCAATTAAGCTCTATTTAGTATCATTTGAAAGCCAGAAATCTCTTCTTTAAAGCTATCTAAACAGATAAAGAAAATATCATCTCTAGAGAAAGTTATGAGCCTTTAAAGTTGCGGCTATTCGGTCAAAAGCTAGGAAAGCATTATTGGTTCAATGGCTCTGTCAATTTAAAAGCGTTTGGATGAAAATTCTCTTAAAATACTTATTCTAGCAAAAGTGATGATTTCTCATAAAATAAACTCGAACAATGACCTCACACAATGTTTATTGAAAGCTTTTCAACCCTTCTCCTTTCATTTCTTTTATTTCGTCTTTCTTTCATTTTTCTGATCTATTTACATCACTTTGATGAAGGAAAATGGTGATATAGCTTTTCCCTAAGCTTTTCCTCTTTTCCAACATTTCCTCTCTAGTTTCTGCGCTAGACACTCCGCTTTTTTTTCCTTCTCAAAGGATTTCTTGATAAGCAAAAAGGGAAAAAGCTTTGTGAACCTCAGAAAAGGCCATTTTCTTCATAGTAATCATTTTCACTTTTTACAAAATCAATTTCGAATTTATTTGACAGATTTTCTTTAGAGAAATGACTGTTGGTGGTCCGACGTTGACTCTCTCGAATGGGGTTACAATGCCGTTCTTCGGTTTAGGCACCTGGCAAGTAAGGAAATTTGGGATTTCCAAAATCAATTCACTTACAAGCATTAAAACAAATCTGTTTAAATTTTTTTCAAAAGTTTTCAAGATTTTGTTTAAACCAACAAAATCTGACAGTATCGATTGTAACAATTTATAAACTTCAGCTTAAACTTAAGCTTAAACTTACCGTAAATAATGTAATAGTACCCCAATCCCATAATGACGGTGCGGAGTGTTGCGTAGTCTAGCTTTGAACTCATTTTTCTCGACACTGGTTTATGCTACAATGCGCGCTTAGGTATCAAAAAATAGCCCTGAATTTCAGCTATTTTTTGATACCAAAGACACATTTTTTGAAAGTACGGGCGCTTTGAAAAAAATGAAATACTAAAAACTTTTGCGACTACGCGACTGTACGAGGGGGGGCGGGGTACTATTACAGTATTTACGGTACGCTTAAACTTAAGCAATTTATAAACTTATGCTGTCAATAATTCCAAATAAATTTAAAGTAGCAATTTGATTAGAGTATTTTCTGAAAATCTACCTAAATTTCTTTCTAAAGGGCCCTATTTTCAGAGACTAACGCAATCAAATTGTCATTTTTTATGTGATTAGCTCAATTTTTTGGCATTTTTGATTGACTATGATACAAAAATTGAGCTAATTGAATGAAAACTAGTGATTTGATTTGATTTGATTTGATTCCGATGGTAAATAGCTGTCTTCTATTTAACTAAATTCTATCATTTTCTTTTTAGTCAAAACCTGAAGAGGTGAAAGCGGCCGTGAAAGCCGCTGTGCATGCTGGTTATCGTCTCATTGACACTGCTGCCGTCTACCAAAATGAGGATGCGATTGGAGAGGCTGTTGAGGTTAAAATTAAATATATTATATCAAGAATTGTATATCTTTTTTTCTTTTTTTAACAATTTTACCATTTCAGGAGTTGATCAAGGAGGGTGTCGTCACTCGCGATGATCTCTTCATCACCACAAAGGTTTGGGATTCTGTTCTAAGAAAGAGTTATTCGTTTAGCTCTTGTTAATCCATTTTTCAAAGTTTCTCTGCCCTCTGGATAAGAGATTTTTCTAAAATTATCCTTTTTCAGCTCTGGATGACCCATTTGCATCCGGATCACGTCGAAGAGGCTTGCCGGGATTCGTTGAAGAAATTGAAATTGGACAAAGTCGACCTCTATCTCTCCCATATGCCGACAGCTTTCAATGTAAATTTCGGAAAGAAAAAGTTGAACCAATTTTCTTTCAGACCGATGGATCGAAGCAGGATCACTCGGTGACTGTCGAGGATAACTGGAAGGTGAGCTTTGAAATATTTGAAGAGGCTCCAGACTTTCTAGTGGATTGAAGTCATCATTTTCCTTGCAACGACAACTTGATCTTGCAAGGAAATGAAGCATAAAGTGCGCTAGCAAAGGAGTGTTTGCATTTCCTAAGCACAAAGTACAAGACTGAATCCTGTCTAAGATTTATAAAGCTTTAGTTATATATAAAATTGAAATAGATCCTTTCCAGGTCTTGGAAAAGGTCTACAAAGCGGGTTTGGCTCGAGCAATTGGCGTCTCGAATTACAGCGTTGAACAAGTTGAACGAATCATGAAAGTGGCTGAGGTGCCGATTCACAATCAACAGGTTAATGGAAGTTTTTGTTTTCTTTACAATTCAAACTCCAGGTTGAACTCCATCTGTACTTCCCGCAACTCGAGATGGAGAAGGTTTGCCGTAAACACAACATCACATTGACGTCATTCTCGACTCTCGGATCACCCGGTCGTTTCAATTTCACTCTTCCCAATGGAGTGTTCGTTTTTAGATCTTTAAATGTTTAGATGTTTAAATCAAAGTTTTAGATTATTGCAAAAATATGCTTAATTCTAGGAGACCAGCTTGGGCACCGGCACCCGCTGATATGGATGACGCTTTTGTGCATGAGTTGGCCAAAAAATACCACAAAAGCTCGGCACAGGTGAGAGAAATCTTTGAATTTGATTAACTTTTACTATTATCTTTAAGATTATCTTTAAGATTGGTACTTGCTTTAAGTCAAAATTAATCACTTTTCTTTCTCAGATTCTTCTCCGATACGTAATCGATCGAAATATTGCCGTCATTCCAAAATCGGTCACTGATTCGCGAATCAAGGAGAATTTCGATGTGTTTGACTTCAAATTGACGTCAGTTATTTGAAAATTTTAAAAAATTTAGCTATCCTTTTGATTTTTCAATTCTTTTAATTCTTTAAATTGTTTAAATTTCAATTCAAATCAATTCAATTCAATTCAATTTAATTCAATTCAATTCAATTCAATTCAGTTCAATTCAATTCAATTCAATTCAATTCAGTTCAATTCAATTCAATTCAATTCAATTCAATTCAATTCAATTCAATTCATTTTTCTAGCGCTCAAGAGTTGGAGAGACTCAACAACTCGCCACACCACGTTCGACTTTTCCCACAAGATTTGTGAGTTGAAAAAGGAAAATTTTCGATTAGATTTATCTAAACGACAGTAAAGTATAGTTTCTATGGGATTTTGAATGCAATTTTCGAAATGAAATCCAAATTTCAGCATGATCGGCCACCCGGAGGACGCTTTCGCCTCGGAGCGTTAAATTTCCTCAAAGAATTTACTCAAGAAATAAATTTATTTATCAAATTTATAAATTTTAAACCCAAAAAAAACTTGAGAAATCTTTAAAATACAAAGAAGATTAGAAAGCGTGTTCACTGAAAGTAAAATGCTAATGAAAATAAATTAGTTATGAGTTAAAGGAAAGAGATGAATGGCAAAGAATTTGTAGGCAAGGGGGCATTGAATCTTCGACCTTACCGGGCAACTCTACCACTGAGCTATCGGCGACTACTTTGCCCAAGAAGAATAGGAAAGACAAGGACAAGATAAGTTGGAATCTTGACACCAATCTTGACACCAACCTTGACACCAATCTCGATACTAATCTTGACACCAATCTTGACACTAAGCTTGACACCGAGCTTGACACCAATCTTGACACCAATCTTGACACCAGTGTCAAGCCTAAACGCCTCAACCCTTTTATCTGTACGCTTATCCTATCTGTTTTGCCATAAACATTAAAGAGAGAATCAAAAATATAGAGAAAATGCCAACATTGTAACTGTCAGTCAAAATAAATCCACTTCGTTAACCATAGAAAACTAAGTAAAACATTCAAAAGTCGCGAAACTTGTTATAAACTTTGCAAAGAACATTGAAAGGTCAGTGAAATGGTGATTTAGTAGTTGGTGGATCAGTCAACGAGAACGGATCATCATTACAGAGATCCCCTTTGCAACAATTCGTCTTCTCCGTTCGACCCTCTACCTAAAAATTTATTCATTAGCCTATAAAATATGTCTCAAAAGTTTTGGCACTTGTTTTCTGTAAAAAGTGATTTTATTATTTGAAAAAGTACCTGAATTTCGAAAAACTAAAATCGAATTCTAAAAATCCAGTACTCTTACACTAATTTGATCATTTTTATACAAATATTTCAACTCTTAACAACAACAAATCTTTTATTTTGTGATCGCTGAAGTTTTTTACGAACTTAAACTTCAGAGAATGAAATTTTTAACGAAAACTGTTACCATTTGATAGATCTAAGTTTTGTTTTCTTTTAAACAAGCCACAAAACAAGCCTATATCTTGAAACAAACTTGTAAACATCTTGAAACTTGTAAACAAGCCTATATCTCGAAAACAAAAGATTTTCAAGTAATTCTACAAAGTCTAAAAGCAAAAAAAAGCGCATGCTCATCAAAATGTTTCTTAGAACTGCAATTTTGTATAAAAAAGAGTATAATAAGGTAAAAATATCTGAATTTTCATAATCTGACGTTAGTTTTTTTAACTAGCATGTCTTCTAAGTAAAAATGATTGTTTACAAAAAGTTTCTGAACTTTTTAAACACTTTGTAAACATTAATTTCTATTATTAAACTATTAGGTTGATGCATAAGTCTTTTCGTTCCTTTTCGTCTGCCGTTTCAAGCCAACAAATGCACCAATTAAACTACGGTTGATTTCATTAGAAAAACCAATTATTTTTCTGCAAAATAACATTAAAACGGGTTTAAAAATATTTTATGCCTGGATTTTCTTGAGAGTATGAAGTCGGGTAGTCAAAAAGGGCTAACTCGATGATGCGGTTTAGACACCTTAGCTAAAGAAAACCTATCTTCGTGTCAATAGATAAAAGATAGAGAAAAAAACGTTTGATATTTCGCCAAAATTTCAGAGAAATTCATTCAGCCAATTTTTCCGTAGAGTTTTTTATAGATTTTTACGAAAAAGGCGTTTTTCACTCTCGAATTTGCTTGAAGATGAACCGAAATTGACTTAAAAGATGGGAAATTGAACAATAAACACTTTTTATTTAGAACAAACTATAGATTAATTGGTGAATTTGTTACTTTTTAACAGAAGTACGAAAAAAACGAAAAGACTTATGCATCAACCTATTATAATATAGATAATAAACTTTCAAAGTTAGTTAAAATTCTTGTAGCTTTTTTTTGAAATCATTTCTCTCAATTTTCTTTAAACCTCACCGTACAGAAATTGAAATTCCCAAAGTCGGTGTCCTGACAACCGCAACCCCAATAGTAAGTGCCCTAAAACTCTTCAAAAAATTGAGGAAAATGTAAAAATGTTGAGAAATTTGTATAGATTTGACATTTTGATTCATTTAAATATATCAATTTCAATTGAAACCCAAAATGCCAATGAAAATAAATGAGTAAAGTAAAGAAATGAATAGCAAAGAATTTGTAGGCAATGGGGAATTGAATCTTCGACCTTAAAACAGCGCCGTCTTATCATAGACTTGGTTGAGTGCTTTAAAATTGTGTCCTGACAACCGCAACCCCAATAGTAAGTGCCCTAAAAGTCTTAAAGAATTGAGGAAAATGTAAAAATGTTGAGAAATTTGAATAGATTGATTGATTGACATTTTGATTCATTTAAATATATCAATTTCAATTGAAACCTTCCAAAGCACTCACATCCAATGCCATCGTTACACAGAAAATCCCGCACTCACACGTTGTTAATTTACAGTGGTCCACAAATGTATTGTCCCATTGCCATCCAAAAGTTTCTTTCGTATGAAAATCTTGCAAAATAACGATATTCCCAAAAAGTGTAGGGTATTTTGCTTACCCATAATACTCTACTTTTCAGGATTATAAGATTTATCCGTATACATTGCAGAAAAATTTAAGTATAAAACAAAAACAATAAGTTACTTAACAAATAGCTCCACAAAAGTAATGTCCCATTTGCAAAGAATTAACAATTTTTTCAAAAAATTGATATTTGCCTGGTCCTCCTTTTGCTTTTATCGCTTCATTGAGTCGATCCGGCATGGAATCCACGAGATTTTTCAAAAGACTTGGGCGGATGGTGGCCCAAAGACGTTGAATGTGAACCCATAAGGCGGCCTTCGAATCGAATTTCTTTCCCTTGAGGCGCGACTTCACAAATGACCACAAATGTTCAATTGGATTGAGATCCGGTGAGTAGGGAGGTGGATTGATCAATTTAACACGATTTGCCGCAAACCATCCGGGCAGACGAGCTCTGGTACCATTTGAAGTGTCACCAGCCGTCCCATCATCAGTCTCGACTTGTGTTTCGGGTCGTTGTCCTGGTAGAGCATCCATCCAGGAGGCATGGTTTGAGTTGCAAAAGGAAGCATTTGAGTCTCCATAATGTTCTTGTAGGCAACAGCATCCATCGTTGAGTTGACGTGAACTAATGGACCTACTGAAGTTCGTGACATCGCTCCTAAAGAAAAACAGTCAGGTGACAAAAACAAAAGGTTCTTACCCCAACACAATGTTTCCACCGTTGAATTTCACGGTAGGCCGAATGTACTTGAGTGCGTATCGCTTTCCAGTCGGTCGCCGAATAAGATGGTTTCCATCCGCGTGAAATAAATTGATTTTTGTCTCATCGGTAAATAGCACTTTCGCCTAAAGACGGTCGTCCAACTTCGGTAGGTCCGTGCAAAGTCAAGGCGCTGCTTCCGGTGCTTAGATTTTATCAGAGATTTACGGGCAGCCCTTCTTGCATATAATCCAGCTTGATTTAATCGTCATCTGATCGTTTCCGGCGATACAACCCTGTTAAATTGATCCCTCATCATTTGGCTTCCATCGGTTGGTGTTTTGTTAGGATCGTTTTTCACCATTTGGATCACGGCTCGATCTTCTTTTGTGGTTGTGATTGGTCGTCGGCCACTCTTGAGGCCTCGATGAAGGTTTCGGTCGACTTTTGATTGAGAAAGAATGCGGCACACCGTCCTTCTCGAGCAATTAAAGAGGTTGGCCACATCCTTTCCCCGCATCCCATTTTCCCGGGCCTTGGCGATTCGGAGTGTCAAGGTTTTTCTTGCCAGCCATCTAAATAATAAAATAAAATACATTTAATGTTCATAGAACGCGGAAATAAAAAGAGTAATCAAGGAAAACATCAATGGGACATTACTTTTGTGGAGCTATTTGTTAAGTAACTTATTGTTTTTGTTTTATACTTAAATTTTTCTGCAATGTATACGGATAAATCTTATAATCCTGAAAAGTAGAGTATTATGGGTAAGCAAAATACCCTACACTTTTTGGGAATATCGTTATTTTGCAAGATTTTCATACGAAAGAAACTTTTGGATGGCAATGGGACAATACATTTGTGGACCACTGTAATTGTTTGATTTAATTTCATTTTTCATTTTTGATTCATTTTGTAAAGAAATATTCTTTGCGTGCTTGGTACTAGACTTGTGTTTCGGTTGAACCGGAAACGTTCTTTTTCGGTTCGGTTTTGGTTTCGGTTTCGGTTAACCGAACCGAACCGAAAAAATCATCTTTTCGGTTGAACCGAAACCGAACCAAACCGAAACACTAATCTTTTCGGTTGAACCGAACCGAACCGAACCGAAAGACTCATCTTTTCGGTTGAACCGAACCGAAAGATTTCGGTTGACTTCGGTTGAACCGAAACCGAAACTGAACCGAAAAGAGCCAACCGAAACACAAGTCTACTTGGTACTCTTCACTCAAGACACGTTATTTCTTGTTTCGAGATATCTGATCTCACTTGAACTAAAAACACTTTATTCAATAGCCGACTGACTCGGAATCTTTGGGCTCTCACTTTTTCAGTTGACATTTCAGTTGAATGACTATTCTTGGGAAACAAAGCGTTTTCTGGGTACTTAAAAGACCAAAAAAATGTTCGAAAAAGCGCGTTTTTCTTGAAATTTTTGTTTACTCTTCAAGGTGCGAACATCCTTAGATAGCTAAATACAATTTAATGGGGCCGCTTACTCTGAAAGCACTCCAGTATAGTTTTTAAATAAAATCTGCTTTTGTAAAGTGATTGGTATGTTTTGTTTTTCGCTGCTTTCTTTCCCACTGTAAAGAAATATTATTCGCGTGCTTGGTACTCTTCACTCAAGACACGTTATTTCTTGTTTCGAGATATCTGATCTCACTTGAACTAAAAACACTTCATTCAATAGCCGACTGACTCGGAATCTCTCACTTAAGCAACTTTCACACAAGATCGACAATTGAATTAAAAGTGACGATCAAAACAGAAACAATTTCGTCCTAATTAGGACACAACTTTCATACGATGAGAGGAAAGCAGTAAAAAAAATGAAAGATAACAAAAAACAAAATGAACAACAGTTGCCTTATATAGGTTTTAACACAAGATACTCAGCTAACAACCTACAAAACAATAAATGATTTGGGGCGCGAAATAGAATGAAGGCGCACCGATTTCCTCAATACTTTTCCAATTTTTAGGCTGTCAGAGTTAGATAACTTTTAGTGGCTATTCGCCACACATTTAAATATCAATCAATTTCAATTGAAACCTTCCAAAAGCACTCACATCCAAAGCCATCGTTACACAGAAAATCCCGCACTCACACGTTGTTAATTTTAACTGAAATTTTGCTTAAAACGTTAATTTTTTGATAAATTTACATTTTTTGAGTGCTCATTCACCGTGTTTATATCGGTATAGCATTTCAAAGAATGAGCATTTGAAAATAGCAAAAAGAGAGCAAAATTGGTGAGCAAAAGCATCTAAAATGAAGATTTAACATAAATTTCTGATCACTTACGTCTTTTATATGTTGTGTCCGATTTAGATTCAATCTAAATCTTATATGGATTGAACAATAATATAAACATGCTTAATATATGTTCTTAAGCGTTTTCTGTAGTTTTCTGCATTTTTCAAAGGTCTTTTATTGATTACAGTCTATATCGGACGTCCGATACAGATCGAACAATAATAAACGTGCTTAACATATGTTCTTTGAAAATTTCTTTGAAAAGCGCAGAAAATTGCAAAAAAAACGCTTAAGAACATATATTAAGCACGTTTATTATTGTTCGATCTGTATCGGACGTCCGATATAGACTGTAATCAATAAAAGACCTTTGAAAAATGCAGAAAACTACAGAAAACGCTTAAGAACATATATTAAGCATGTTTATATTATTGTTCAATCCATATAAGATTTAGATTGAATCTAAAGCGGACGTCCGATATAGACTGTAATCTAAATCGGACGTCCGCGATAAGTTCGATCTAAATCGGACGTCCGATTTAGATTGAATCTAAATCGGACGGAAATCTAAATCGGACACAACATATATATATATATTACCGGGCAGCTCTACCACTCAGCTATCGGCGACTACTTTGCCCAAGAAGAAATAGGAAAGACAAGGACAAGATAAGTTAGAATCTTGACACCAATCTTGACACCAGTGTCAAGCCAGTGTTTGTGCATTGTTTGCGGGCAAAACTTATTTCATGCATTATCCTGATAGTGAGTGAAATTCATTCAAAGCACATAAACAAGCTTTAGAATGTTTTTGGGTTCAGTTCAAACTTAAGAACTAGTTTTGTTGCCTGTTTGCTGAACCGTACTTGGATCAAGATCAAGGCTGTTTCTAGGACCGATTTACTAGACCAAGACAAGCCAAAGCCAAGCCAATTATTGGATTTTAGCTTGGCCCTTGGTTCCTTGGCTTTTGGGTTTTTGGGTTCAGTTCAAACTTAAGAACGAATTTTGTTGCCTGTGAAGTCAAAGTTTGTGAACCGTACTTGGATCAAGATCAAGGCTGTTTCTAGGACCGATTTACTAGACCAAGATAAGCCAAAGCCAAGCCAATTATTGGATTTTAATAGGTTGATGCAAAAGTCTTTTTCATTTTTTTCGTACTTCTTTTGAAAAATAACAAAGTCATCAATTAACATATGGTTTGCTCTAAATGAAAAGTGTTTATTGTTCAATTTCCCATCTTTTTAAGTCAATTTGGGTTCACTTTCAAGCAAATTCGAGAGTGAAAACGGGTTTTTCATAAAAATCTATAAAAACCTCTATAAAGAAATTGGCTGAATCAATTTCTCTGAAAATCTGAAAAAATATCTAACTTTTTGTGCTCTATCTTTTATTTATTAACATCAAGATTGGTTTCCTTAGCTAAAGCGTCTAAAATGCATCATCGAGCCGTCGCCTTTTTTGACTACCCGACTTCAGGTTCTCAAAAAAATCTAGACATAAGACATTTTAAACTCGTTTTAATGTCATTTTGCAGAAAAATAATTGGCCTTTCGAATGCAATAAACCGTTGTTCAATTGGTGCATTTGTTACTTTTTAACGGAAGTACGAAAAAAATGAAAAAGACTTTTGCATCAACCTAATAGCTTGGCCCTTGGTCCCTTGGCTTTTGGGTTTTTGGAACAGTCCTGATCAAGATTAAGAAACTAAAGCTAGAGATACTTTCTAGATACGATCGTCCGGGTTTCGTGTTGGGTGATTGGTTGTGCAAGCCGTGGTCACCTCCGAATGAGGAGCTGGATGAGGAGGAGACTGATGAAGAACCGGAGACAACAACGCGATCGAGAATCCATCACGATAAGCATCGTATGTGATTGAAATTGACTTGGGGAATCGATTTTCTGTGTTTCATTTTATTAACGTGCTTTCAGAAATATATAAAGGGTTTTGATGACAAAGCCGTTAATTATATGAAAGAATTTTAAGGTGAGAAGAACGAGAAGAACGAAAAGAAATCGTCTCCAATGATCGATCACGACGAATTTCAGTTCATCACCTTGGGATAATCATTTCAACTTTGGAGAATTCATTTCAAGAATAGATTTTTGTGATTATTCTTTCAATAAAATGTAAAGTTTTTCAACTGGCACACAATTTAAGGCAACTAATAGCATTTGAACTAAAAATTTAAATAAAAAATCAGCTTTCAATAAGATTTTTAGAATTTTGTAGTTATTTACTTAGGCCTTTTTCTTATTTCTTCAAAATTTCCCCGAAAACTTCTTTCCAGTACTCAAAAGTTTCAACAACACAAGGAAATACGAGAACAAAATCACACTTTTAACAATTCGTTCAAAGTAGATTGAGGAAAATTTGGTTTTTTTGGTTTTAAAATCACAACAATGACTGTAATTTTTCCCAAATTCTACTGTTGAGTCTGAGCTTGAGAATGGTGATCTCTCTGATAATTTGATCGAGGTCGGCATCATGTTTCCGGTTGGTTTTTACCAGCCCGGGCTTGTTTTCATGCCATTGACGAGTCTATTCTATATATTCGTGTTGATACTGTTGCATCGACGTTTTCGTTCTTTTCATAAAGAGAAGGCACATCAAAGCCAGCAAAAAGCTAGAGATCTTCAAAGAGAATGGCGATTGGCATTCAGTTTGCTAGAAGCCATGGCTAGCCTGGCTTTAACTCTAATTTTTGATTCTCTACAACTTTTCTATGGGTTTCTCATGGGTTTCTCTCACCAAAATGGGTTTCTTTTGAAGAAAGTGCTCAAACTGGGATCAAAATCCAGTCCTCCATTTTTGAGTGTCACACTTGTCTCACACACAAACCAAAATCCTACGCAGAAAGAGGAATCCGCAAATTGCCTGTAAAATGGGCAGAAGTCGTCAATAATAATGGAGATTATTTGGAATCAATTGATGGTTTTATGTTGAATAAATTTTAGTTCAAAGTCCCGCAGTTTTCAATGCACCAACCCAATACATTGGCATTCTTTATGAACTCTCACAAAATTAGAACAAAAGTAGATTATCGGATGAGAAAGATTACGGGAGTGACACGTTTCTGAAAATTGAACGGTATACAGCTACGATAGCTTTTGGCAAAAATCAAAAACCTATCCCAATTCAAAGCTTTCACAGTAAACGTCAAATGATAATTTATGATACATTTTACGGTGAATTGTTTAGTTGTTTAGCCAATACGGTTACCGATTGGGTAAATAATTCTGCTTGAAAAGGTTTCTTTGTAAATATAATAAAACTCGAGATCTTCTTAATATAAGAGTTCAAAGGGTCAGTCCTTAGCACTAATTTGTGTCATATCATATGGTCAGCACGGATTGATATCACAAAACAAGGACTTGTCTTTGAAATTGGAAAGAAAAGAAAAAAAAGGGGGCAATATTGATAACAGAAATGAAAGAGATCAAGAAAATTGAGGGGAAATAGGCAAAAGAGGGGAGAAATTGTTTGATTGTGGTCAAGGAGTTCCCCTTTCATTCAACTCAGCATTTCTTTTTCATCCTTTACTTGAAAGTTTTCTAATTTCGGATTGGCTTGTTTGTTTCCACTTTTTTTAAGTAATTCAATCAACTATTTATAGTAGTTGCTTATTTCATTAATCTGAACGATCTTTTTTCCCCGATTTGAGCAGATTTTTTAACGCTTTGAGATCTTAAAGTGTTTCAAGATATTTTTCAAAAGCATTTTTAGGTTTTATTCTTCACAAAAGTGTAAAAAATTACCTAATTTTAGCTTAATGATGTTAAAAACATTTAAAAAATCTAGCTTTAAGTACTAATGAGTTGAAAAATATGGCATTTAGCATGATAATGACAATATCTTTAAAGCTACAATTAATAAAAATCGTATTGATTAGATAGATCAACAACTTTAGCCTTTTGTTACTATTTTATGCTACAATTTACTCTATAAACTTTCAAAAGCTTCACTTATTTTTAAACATTTACTTAACATAAGCTTCTTTTTGTTTATAGCTAATTTTGCTGATTTGATTAAAGTTTGAAATGCTCTTCCCAACAAATTTTTTGTTGGGAAGAGCTCCCAACAAGTCTTCCCAACAAGTTCCCCAGCTCCACCGTGATTTTAAAAGGGCTACTTCGTTGCATTTTAAGTGACTTTCTCATCTTTTATCTCCTACATTTTTCATGTCGTTTTCGCACTTTATTTCTTTCTAAATAAAGTAGTTATATATATGTTGTGTCCGATTTAGATTTCCGTCCGATTTAGATTCAATCTAAATCTTATATGGATTGAACAATAATATAAACATGCTTAATATATGTTCTTAAGCGTTTTCTGTAGTTTTCTGCATTTTTCAAAGGTCTTTTATTGATTACAGTCTATATCGGACGTCCGATACAGATCGAACAATAATAAACGTGCTTAATATATGTTCTTAAGCGTTTTTTTGCAATTTTCTGCGCTTTTCAAAGAAATTTTCAAAGAACATATGTTAAGCACGTTTATTATTGTTCGATCTGTATCGGACGTCCGATATAGACTGTAATCAATAAAAGACCTTTGAAAAATGCAGAAAACTACAGAAAACGCTTAAGAACATATATTAAGCATGTTTATATTATTGTTCAATCCATATAAGATTTAGATTGAATCTAAATCGGACGTCCGATATAGACTGTAATCTAAATCGGACGTCCGCGATAAGTTCAATCTAAATCGGGCGTCCGATTTAGATTGAATCTAAATCGGACGGAAATCTAAATAGGACACAACATATATATGTTTTAATCTTTTGATCACCCTAAAGGTTACTTTATAAATAAATGAATTTAGCTAAAAGAAGTCAGTTTTCGAAAAACAACACAAACAAATAATACTATCAAAAAAAAAATGCCCCCTTTTGTCTCAATTACTCGCGCTATAGTCGCTTATTTCTGTCTCGAATTTCAAAAAATTATGCAGTCAAAGAAGTGTATATTTTGTTTTTATTTTTATTCAAACAATCAAAAAAATACAAAAAAATCATTGTATTAAAATCATTTTGGAAATCTGGGCTTGAAGCTTTCTTGGTTTTTCAGATGTTTCTTTGCCACTTCAGCATATGAGATTGAACGGGTTACCATTCTACAATTGTCACTTGATCCTCTTACAATTCGATTGCTTGCTATCTTGAATCTTGAAGTTTTCCCATTCACCGGTATTTCTGCATTTTGCCTATCCAGCACACTTTCTCCTTTCACTGGGCCTTTAATCTTCGATTCATTCTTGGCGAATCTTTCAACTGGGAGCTGATTCACTCCTTTCTTAACCATTGCAGCATACGAGATCTGTTGATGTACTTGTTTACCATTGTCAAATAAACGCTCATTCATGGAGTTACCACTCCCTTCAATCACTGGCCGTATTGCTGCATTTTGATGGTGTCTCTCCAGCTCATCGATCGTCAATTTCACATAGTCTCCAATCTTTGACTCACCCTCCAAACCCTCAATGAATTTCTCAAGAGTCGACGGTTCCAAGGCAAAACTATTATTCGTAATCGTTATATAGTTCACTTTTTCGTTGCTTCGATGTAATGCGTTTACCAATTTACAAACTGCCTCGTTTCCCTTTTTTAATCGAACTTGGTTTTTCGAAATGAGCTCTTCAGTTGGGTATTTCTCCGTTGACTTCACCAGACATCTAAATCTTTCTCTGAAAAATCTTCAACTCAACAACTCACTCTTTCCAAGGGAACTCTCTTGGTATCTTCTCTTTCCATAAAACAACGACATCGAGGTCCAAGAGTTTGGAGGCAGAGTAGAATGAGCTGTAAATCAAACATTTCTTTTTCATTCATTTTGCGTACCTTTTAATTCTTTCTTTTCGCGCCTCTTTCTCTTTCTCTGGCCAAGTCTTGATCTCGATAATATCCGCATAATCTTTCCTCTCATTCACTCGTATATGGTCGTACTCTTGATTGATTAGTATCGAACATCCATTGCCAAGATCTTTCCTCACAAGAAGAAGATTCTTTTGTTTTCCTGTCAGCTGAATTTACAGCTTACAATTAAATTTAAGCTAGAATTTCAGCAATCATACCTTATCCTGCCTTTCCGATGAATCGTTTCTCTTATTGCTCGTCTCGAATTCGGCAGCTAATCCAATCCAGCGAGTCATTTGATATTGAGAATCCTCGGCTATCAATTTGGGAGCACCCTGAAAGTTTAAATTAAAAATTTAAATGCAGCTTTCAATGTAGTTTTTTTAATTTGAATTTCAATACAATCATTTTTTTACACTCTTCAAACCTTTATCCAAAAGAAATGCTTTCCATTCCGGGCGGGGAGACGAATCGCGTAAGCTCCCCACTCTCCGCCCTCTACTAAACAACTTCTCATCTAAAAATTAATAAAAAAATTGACAAATACAAAGTTCTCACCAATGCAAATGGATTATTTGCCATGTATAGATCTATCCCATTACAAATATTTGTATAATTATCGGTGTGTGTGTCACGCGAGAGACGCTCAAGCATGAGGATATCTTGAAAAAAAGGCCATTTTCGCGTAGGAGGCAGACTTTGAGAGAAGCCGTCCAGGAGATCGATACCTAAATTGTTGAAAAACTGAAGGTGTGTAAAAAGTTGAAGCCTTAAAGTTTTAGAAAAATCTTGGCTTTTGAGTAAGCCGGAGAGCCAAGGCTCGAGACGATAAACAAACACTATCTTTCCATACTCGAGACGGGAGACGATAGACTAATGACCCTAGAAAAGTTATGAATTCAAAGCTTGGCTCGCTACTAAAATATCCGGACAAGAGTATGGCAAGATGTTTATGTGAGCAAAATAATTTACCCTTGAGCTTTGACCAATCTCCATCATTGATGACCGTTGTCTTGAGATCTGATGGGGAAATCCCACGCAAATTCCACGTGTTTTTGGAATCCCAAACGCTAAAATCTATTGGAATAACTGCATTGTCAAACAAAAAAAGATCAACTTAACAGTATTATTACAAGAGCAAAGCTTATAAAAAGCTCAACTTCTTAAAAACTCACGTCTCATTTTCAGTGACCTCAAACGCGGCGACGATCTTTCCATTTTGACATTTGATCGGATTCATTTTTGGAGTCGATGCCATATTTAATTCCATGTTCGATCAATATGAATATTCTTACGAAAACTTGGAGAATATCAGCTGTTAAAATAGAAACTAAAAGAGACGGCTTATCACAAATCCGAGTCATCCGGGCAGACACCGAAAGGGACGGATTTTAAGGTGCGTTTTTGGAGTTGACACATTTCAGTGAAGAGCTTCTGTTAAATTAGACTTATCATTGAGAAGCTAGAAGGTAAAACTAGACTTTATAAAGTAGCATAAAGTAGTAAATAAGTAGCATTTATACCATCAAAAACTTCAACGTTCAACATCTCCATCTCCAACAAAATCAAACTCCAGCATCTCCAACCAACTGGAAGCCAGACCTAGGTCAAAGCTCGAGTACCTTTTGTAGATCAAGCAAAGTTTAGGCAGTTAAAAGAGACGGCTTATCACAAATCCGAGCCATCCGGGCACACACCGAAATGGGCGAATTTTAAGATGCGTTTTTTGGTGTTGACACATTTCAGTGAAGAGCTTTTGTTAAATTAGACTTATCATCGAGAAGCTAGAAAATATAAATAATAAAACTAGACTTTATAAAGTAGCATAAAGTAAATAAGTAGCATTTATACAATCAAAAACAATCAAGCTCCAGCATCTCCAACAAACTAAAAGCCAGACCTAGGTCAAAGCTCGAGTACTTTTTGTAGATCAAGCAAAGTTTAGGCAGTTTTAGAGCATTTACTCCATTTAGTCATCTAGTTTTTAGTAGCTTAATGGTTAATATTCTGCATCGTCTGCCGTCTACAGAAATCTCCGAAACAGCACAACATCTCCGTGTTTCAATGTTTCAATACCTTTTTTATTTTGCTAAAAATCTTTTTTTTGTGATTTCTGCAAGTGAACGAGGAGGGGTTTTATTTGGATAAGACTCACTTGAAAGAGTCAATTCGACTGGGTTTCCTTGAAATGCCCAATCCCTACTTATCAAAGAGAGAGACGGAGAAAACTAGAGTCTTCGGCAGAAAGCATACTTTCAAAAATGAGTTATAAACGTTGAAAAGCTAGGGTTTTGATGGGATATTTTAAAAAACATGATTTCCTCTTAAAATGCTTGAAACAATCACCTTATCCAATCGTTTTCTTCTCAGATATTTCCCTTTCCTCTAATCTTTTCTCAAATCATCTCGAATCGCCTTGTCTTTGCAGAATTGCAGGATTTTTTTTTGCTTTTCTTGAAATGTTTAACTTTTTACTCTTTCGCTACTCGTACGAACTCTTTTCTTTCAAAAAATTCAGAGTTTTTGCAAGTATTTGTCTTTTTGAACAAAAGTAACTCAAAATTAAATGTTTTTTTTTGTTATTTCAGCAAGTTTAGCGTTCATTTCGAATTTCATTTCATCAAGAATTTCGATATTCAAATTTCAATTATTTTTTAATTTACTTACTATTCATTTCCTTAACGATTTTCAGTAAATCAATCAAAAATGACGATCGGCTACCCGACAATTAAACTCTCAAATGGAGTCGAAATGCCGATTTTGGGATTGGGCACATGGCAGGTAAAAAGAAAATTTAAGAACTTAAAAAATGAGCTTGTATTTTTACACTTACAAAACCTTATAACTCTTTTTAATGTCTATAAATTTTAGTCATCACCTGAAGAGGTGAAAAACGCAGCGAAAGAGGCGATCAAAGCCGGGTATCGACTCATCGACACAGCGATGATTTACGGAAATGAGACACAGATTGGAGAAGCGCTCAAGGTTGGGTTAACAAAATGAAACTCTAAAAGACTAACTGTAAAAAACATAGATCAAGATTCATTTTTTAGGAATGCATTGCTGAGGGAATTGTGAAAAGAGAGGACATGTTCATCACCACAAAAGTGGGGAAATTTTGAGTTACCGATATATTGGGTTGGTGGAAAAGTCCTTTCCGATTTTTTGGGAGAGTACCTTAAATTTGTCGAATTTTGACGTTTTATAGCCCATCCTAAAGCTGAATTCAAGACGGATCGATTGGTAAAAACCGTTTTGAGATATCTCTTTTCTAAAAGTTTTTACAGCTATTTTAGTAAAGGGCGGCAGAGCCAAAAAATGGCTGTTTTCACGTTTCGTTAGTTTTCCGTGCAGAAACCTAGGCTAAAAACATGTGTTTCGTGATCAGCGCAAGAAATCGGAAAGGACTTTTCCACCAACCCAATACTTTAGAACAATTTACCTATACCTAAAACCCAAAAATAAGTATCCTAATGGATTTTCAACAAAACAAATGATTTCCAGAATTGGGTCACCCATCTTCATCCCGAGGATATCGAGGGTTCATTGAGGGAATCGCTGAAAAGACTTCAACTCGACTTTGTCGATCTTTATCTATCGCATGCGCCAACTGCAAGGAAGGTAGTCAAAGACTTACGAGTGAAAGTCAAACGGCTGAGGTGGTCAAATCAAATGACACCTAACTTTACGCTGAATCCGAATATGCATCTCGTTTTTACTAAATGCCTTCTTTCGTTAGATTAAAACCCAATTTAATCATTCTTTCAAGGTTTCAATTGAATAGCAGAGGAATCTGATTTTTCAATGGATGTAAACCAAAAGCTTTGAATTAGTTTATAAATTTTCAAAACAAATCATGTTTTACAGAAAGACCTTTCCGGTCAGGATCACACGCTGAAAGTCGAGGAGAACTGGAAGGTGGATAAATTATCATTTTAATTTCATTTCAAAACGAATATCAATTTTGATCTTTATGATTATGATCTTTATGATCTTTATGATCTTTATGATCAAGATCCCTTTTTCAATTCAGGGAATGGAAGCCGTTTACAGGGCGGGACTGACTCGAGCGATCGGCGTCTCCAACTACAGCACCTCGCAAATCGAACGTGTTATGAAAATTGCCGAAGTGCCGATTCACAATCAACAGGTTACGAATCAGTTTCAGTTATCTAATCTAAGAAAAAACATGTATTTGCTTGTCTAAATTGAATCAAATTGCTGGCTTTGGCCTTGGCTTGGCAAAATCCTCACAAAATCCTCAGAAGAGATCAGAAATAGTCTTCTTCCATTGCTTGAATTTTAACCACTAGATTCCAGATCGAACTCCATCTTTATTGGCCTCAAATTGAGCAACACGAGACGTGCAAGAAGCATAATATCTCACTCACATCCTTTTCAACTCTAGGATCACCGGGCAGAAAAACCTGGGTTCGCCCCGATGGATCGTCAGTTTTTTTATAGGATTTTAATTATAAAAGTCAACCTTTTCAAAATTTAAATAGAAAATTAAAATTTCATTTATCTTCCTAGTGTTTCCAACTACGATGATAATGTCCCCGCCGACATGGATGATCCATTCGTGCAAGAACTCGCCAAGAAATACAACAAATCGCCAGCTCATGTAAGAAAAAGTAAAACTTATCGTGTGGAAAAGAGGAGTTAGCTAAAATATTACAGAGCTACCGATAGATCTTACAAGAAGAGATATTAGAAAGGTCGATTTATTCACACGAATAATGTGATACAAACAAGACATAAGCACAACTAAGCTAAGCTTACATCTTGTTGTGCTTATATCTTGTTTGTAAGCTAAGCTTACAAAAGCTAAGCTAAGCTTAAGCCCTAAATGTAAGAAAAACCTATATGGGAAAAAAGAACGAAGTCTAGCCGGCGGGATTGAACCCTTGACTTCCCAACTAAGATAAGCTAAGACGGCTCGTAGCCAGTCGGCCATATATATTCGAAAAACTTTCACGATTGTTACTTGAATAATAGTCAAAGAAATTCGGAGATTGGTCTTCAAATGGTTTTCTGCCATTTGATCCCAGATCGCCTCTTTTTTCCATTCATATTCCAAGTTTAACCACAAATATATTGATGATGAATAACAAGCGACAAGAAAAAAATTGGCGAGTCTAATAATATCAAAACTATTTCTATCGGATAATCAATCGTCATGATATTTGGAGTTAAAGTTGGAATATGAATGGAAAAAAGAGACGATCTGGAATCAAATGGCAGAGAACCATTTGAAGACTCCGAATTTCTTTGACTATCGGATAATCAATCGACATGATATTTGAGTTTGAAGTTAGGTCGTCAATAAGCTGGAAAAGGCGGAGAACCCTTCAAATTAGGTTCATTTTATCCCTTGGATTGTTTTAACTACTCGATTTTGCAGTTTACTTCAAAATCACACTAAATTGAATCTCTGAAACGCAACTTGATCGGAATGATATTGAACTTGATACTATCTAAAAAGTGATCAACTTTCCAGACAATTAAACAAATGTGTGAAAGCTAGAGGAGGCCATTTTGAAAGATTAACTTTATTATTATGTTACATAATTTACCTAGTAATAGATTTCTTGAAGCGCTCGCTTTTAATGTCTAAAATTAGTTGCCTGATTGCTTCAATATTGTGTTGCATCCTGCACAATTGCTACAGATTCAAGCACTTATCTAGCTCTACAAATTCAGAGATTTGGAATACGGTACCTTATGCCGAGCTTGTGCTTGTAATTATCTTTTGTAGACGTACTTGTGCTCAAAAGATAAACACATCCTTTCTGGCACAGCCAGTGAGCTCTTAGCCGGTTGGTCATGGCGGCAATTGGAGGTCACTTATGACCTTAACATGGCCACCGTGAGCCAAATCAAACTTACTATAGTTATTCTACTTTCACTACTTAGCTATTCTACTTTCATTACTTTCACTTCTACTACTTTAAGACTTAAATCCCGAAATTTCTAGATCATTTCGTTTAAGAAAACGAGAGTTCTCATTTCAGATTCTTCTCCGTTGGGCAATCGAGCGAAACATTGCTGTTATTCCAAAATCCGTCACTCTCTCACGAATTCGTGACAATTTCAATGTCTTTGACTTCAAATTAACGTAAAAATATTTCAGCAATCATTATCAAGAAGATTTTTAGAGATGATGAGATGAAAAAGTTGAACAATCCCCTTCACAAACATCGCCTTTTCATGAATGAACCGTAAGCAAATGGAATTTTTTGTAACTGATCATTTTAGACAGTTGATCATCTAAAACTAATCATTTTAGACATTTGATCATCTGAAACTGATCATTTTAAACATTTGATCATCTAAAACTGATCATTTTAGAATGACCGGTCATCCAGAGGATTCACTCGTTGAGGAAAGAAAGAAATAAATCCAAAATTCTATGATTCTATGATATTCTTTTTTCATTCTCCCAAAAATCAATCAATTTTTGAATGTTTTAAGCTTTATTCTAACAGGAAATAACTAAAATTCAATAAGAATAACAATATTTCAAATAAATTTGAATTTAACACAAAAAGGAAGTACTCTGATACAATTGAAATTTTGAAAAAGAGAGAAATCTTTTTTGGACAAACCCGGTCAAGAGTCGAGGTTTTCAAGGAAACAGAGGATAAAGCGAAGTTACCTTTTTAACACCATTTCCTGTGGTGCAAGCTTTGTTTGTAGAGCTTTTTTAGACCCACTTGCTTCCCGACGATCTACTCCACGAAATTAATGCTAACTAATGTTAAGTTCAGTGGTTTTTATGAGTGGTTCAGTGGTTCTAAGCCTTACTTTTTTTACTTACTTACTAAGCCTAAGCTATATTCGCCGTTTCTTTTGATAGAGTTAGTGAAAAAAATTGAGTCAAAAGATTGGCTAAAGCTGAAAGAAAGTGTACACATTTCATGGATACGAATGAATTTCGATATTTTAACTTCAATTTTCAATGTTTTAAAGGGTGCTTTGCATGGAAATAAAGAAAAAGAACAACAATTTATTCAATAGAAAAAAAGAGAAGGCAAAGAATGGCAAAGAATTTCGAGACTCTACGATCGCAATGAAAAAACGATAACAGCTTTGAGAATAGGTTAACTCAAAACTCTGAATGTTTTCTCTGAATTTTCTAAAACTTTTCTCATTGCACTCCAAACCTGTTTGCTCATTCCTGTAGACGAAAAGAAAAGAAATAAAAAGAGAATAATTGGGAGTGGGACAGATGCGACCTTTTTTTTTTGCGCACCCGGACATTTGCGCACCTTTTTTGCCCATTAGCGCACCTTTTTCGCGTTTTAAAAAAGCTCTAAAAAGCTAATATTAACCAATTTCTATTCCAAATGTTGTTTTTCTAGGTAATTTGAGGGTGTCGAATTCAAATTTTGACATAATAGAGCGTGTGGAACCAATTTGCAAGACCAATTTGAAAGACAAAACGGCTAGATCAAATTACAGAAAATTGTTGATTTTTCTCTTTGTATAACTCCGTCCGTTTGTTTCCACAAGCTCTGATATGTCAAAATTTCGATTCTACGCTCTAAAATTACCTAGAAAAACAACTTTTGGAATAGAAATTGGTTAATATTAGCTTTTAGAGCTTTTTTAAAACGCGAAAAAAGGTGCGCTAATGGGCTAAGTGCGGAAAAAAAAGGTGCGAGCCTTCTAGACTGGATTCTGGACTTGTGCTCTACCATTGAGCATCCCCAGGAATAGGTCTCATATTGTGATAGTGACAGTGCCTGATGACTCAGACAATTCCGCAAATGTCCGGGTGCGCAAAAAAAAAGGTCGCATTTGTCCCACTTCCGAATAATTATTGAAAAAAACTTTCACCAAATTTGTTCATAAATCTTTCTTTCTTTCTCCAATTGCAGGCGCAAAAAATCTGTGATTTAAAAATGTTGAACTTAATTGCCGGTTTTATGCCGTTGTTATGAGAAACGGTCGCTCCAATTTTGAATCTAAAAAAAACCGATTTCCAATAGAGAAAAAGATCCTCACAAATTTTTACATCTTTGTACCAAAAACATCAAACATTACAAAGAGATTTTGATCACTTTCTATCGATTTTTCTATTTGTTTATGTTAAAAAATGGAGCCAATCAACTGCACGGCTATTTCAATGTACACAACGAGCGGGTTTCTCAAATCCACCATGTCTTGTCAGTTATTTTGTAGTCTGATTTCACTTTTTGCTATTTTCGCCACTCAAAAACGGGTCTTTTCGTCGATTTTGTTAGATTCAGCCTTTAAAGAGCATCTCATTTGTTGCTATTTGATTCATATTATCCAAAGTGTTACACTGTCTTTGCTTCAGGTTTGTAGGAATTTGTGCAAAGGAAATTCTAGAGTCAGCATAATAAAATGAATGATCACAACTGGCTGCGAGATACAAGGAAAGGTCAATTTCGTAAGCGGCTACGACATATATATGTTACGTCCGAATTTATCGGCATTTATCGAATTGTGGTCGGATTAGGACGTCCGAAACCGACCACAAGATAATCAACGGCCGGATTCGGACGTCCGGATCGGATTCGGACGTCCGAATCCGATCACACTCATTCTGGTCGGATTCGGACGTCCGGATCAGATCCGGACGCCTGGTAGGATTCGGACGTAACATATATAGATACAAGGAAAGGTCAACTGGTTGAGCCGGCGAAATGATATGTAAAACGTAAAAAAAATGTAAAAATGATATGTAATGATATGTAAAACGTAAAACGGATGAATCGTCACATTTTACTCAGCGATATAGACTTTCCCGTTTATGAGAGAGACAACATTTTGCGGGTGATCTCTCAAGTCTACAGAATTTTCTAAAGTTCGAAATTTACCTATACCATTCGACGCAGAATTTTGATGCTGATTCCAAATATATCTTCCGTTTTTGTTAAATGACAATCTGCTAGGAGTCTAAAGTTTTGTTAGGACTCTGAAAATGTGGTCTTATCGTTCGAGTCTCCTTGCAGACCCAGCTTGAATCAAATTTTCTACGCCAAATATCTCGCGTTACAGAGTTCTTCCGGAAAAGTCCGAACCGGATTCGGAATCAGCGTAAAAAACTCTATCAGATAGGCTTGGTCTCTTTCAAAAAGCCCACCTTAACTTGACAACATTTCCTAGTAAGATATCTGTCTGTTTAGCAAATCTATTTTTTCTCGACTCTTTCTAAGCCTTTAAATTGAAAACTTCTTTTTAATAATTTAATCCCCAGACTCAAGTGACTTTAATGGTCAGTAACTGAACTGTACACTTTTTCTTTAGGGTATCCTCCTCTTCCAACACCTCACTCAGCCTCCATGTCTTGGCACTATACCTGCCCTACTTTGTGACTCACTTCGACTATCAGCTGGCATTTCAACAATTTCATTACCGTCCCTTAACCTAAATCTTGCTTTTTTTCGATATCTTTCCTTCTTTGGGGGATTTGTTTTAAAAAAGAATGAGACAATGCTCAGAAGAGGGATTACCCTAATGGTGGTAAGCAATATATAAAGCTTTAACTGTTCATCTCTATATAATTATTCATCAGTTACAAGTGAATAATTTAAAATGTACTACATTATCTTAGACTATTGCCTTTTCTTTGGAATATTATTGGAAAGTGAGTGCCTACGAAGTCTATAATGCTCAAGTTCCATATTGTATTGCAAAAGTGCCGGGTTGGGCGGAAAAAGCGAATATTGAAATGTTATTGACGGGTACTTTCGAAATAATCACCATTTTAAGTGCCTTCTTGTTAGTATGGTTATATAAAAGAAAGGACAGGTGACTATGTAAAGCTTGGCTTTATTTTCTAAATAGTTTAGGCTCCAAAGATCGTATATAATTTCGGTAAATTTGAGAAGGCGACAACTGATGCACACCATGCAATTATTTTTGCCTTACAGGTAGGAATTTGGGATTTTGTGTGGAAGATGGTGAAACTAATCTTTTCAACTAAACTTACTTCTCTCAAATTGTTCATCTTTTCTTTTAACCAGAAGGTATCGAGCCTTCTAGACTGGATTCTGAACTTGTGCTCTACCATTGAGCATCCCCAGGAATAGGCCTCATATTGTGATAGTGACAGTGCCTGATGACTCAGAAAATTCCGCCCAGGGCTGCCATTTTTTCAAAAAAAGTCCAGCCAAAAAAACCAAGCTAAAGACAATTTAGTGTTGGCTTTTTGGCTTTTGAAAAAGCAAGTAGAGCTATCTAAAAGCCAAGTCAGCCTTGGATTGGCTTTTTAGCTTTTTATGAGCCTTACCACTGATCAGTTTTCACCTCTTACCAAGCAAGTTTCACCAAGTTCAACCGATTCTCTGAATTTCAGCGTTTTTCACGCCTTCTCTTTCGTGGCTTTCGCAATTTGTTCACCGGCTTATCGAAAAATTTTCGGATACCTCCAAGAACCGAACTATTCGTCTGGATCTGGATATTTCTTTGTAAGTTTCCAAATGTCATGGGAAAATCTATAAGTCATTTGTAGCACAAAAAAAAAGTGGGAATAATTTGTAGCCAACAAGAAACTCTAGCTCAACTCAAGATCCAAGAAATGTTCACCGTCAAATATCAGTTAGAAGTGTAAATGATCGTTTCTTATAGGCAGAGTACATTGCAAAATTGATATAAGAATAAAATATGTATAAAACATGAAAAACATTAAATGAACAGTTAACATTCGTTAACATTGAACCATTGGTTGGAATCGAATTGCTAAAATAAGGGAAAAGCTTGGGGTTCGGGATTGAAACTCGAATCAATTTGTTTGTCTACATCAATCAATTTGTCTCAATCAATTCTCAATTCATATAGATCTCTTGTATTTTTTTCTAGAAAAAGAAAGTCAAAGAGTTATTCTTTTCAGTTTCCCATGTATTTTACAGCGATCTCTCCATGGTTAATCTATTGGATTGTGGTGAAAACAGAGAAGAATCGACTTAATAAGATCTCCGATCTAACAACTTTGGAAAGAAATCAAGCAAAGAATGTCTATTTTGAGAACCTACGATTACAATGGGAAAGCGATAAAAGCTTCATAAAGAGGTAAACTTCATTTTCTTCTAATCTTACATAATATGTTTTAGTCAAAGCTCTCAAAATCTGCTTTTTCGCTTTTGGAGATGATGAGATGGAATATTTTTAAGAATAATTTCATTTATCTTTGCTTTAGTCACAAAAAAGCTGTCATTTCCGTTTAATACATTGGAAATAACACTGACAAATCCATTTCCAAGGTAAAGGAAAAGTCTAATTTATCGGGTCAAGCAACAATGAGTATTAAAAGGATTACAAGAGAAAAGGAAACAGCACAAAGAGACATTCCTTCATTTGAGCGCAGTTTTCACGTACAAGTTTACAAGAGCATTAGTGCTACTTAATTGAATAGAAATAAAGCTTCATTGTTTCAAGTTCTCGTCAAAAACCTTCAAATTTTCGAAAAGAACACCGTCAGCTTGATAAGATCTATCTGGCTAGGTCAATCCCATCTGCTCTTACAAATAGAATCGACCCGTCAAATTGATTTTAGCCTCTTCATAGGAACTTGTAATCTATCACATTGATTATTAGTCATGTATATTTCCTACGAAATATGTGCCAAAGTTGAACAATTTATCAATAAAAACTATAACACTATTTTAAACGCAAAGTAGAGAATTACAACAAAACAACAATTCCAAAAATAAAATAAGTTTCAATAAAATGAGATAATAATTAGAACAAATCTTCCCGATCAGCAGCCGAAATTCCAAGTGGATCATCAAAGGCTTTAAAGTTTCGGAAGTGCACAGGGCGATGATCTTCATGATAGAATTCTTTTGGCTGAGCCAGACACAAGTCGTATTTCATCGATGGCTCAAAGCGAACACCTGAAATTTACTAGTAATTTCTTAACGTAGCGTTTTTTAAGACATCAGAAATATCCAAAAAATCCACCTTGGAAATTGTAATTCCAAACACCGTTTGATGGAACCATGAAGAAGCCAAGGAATTTGTCGGAGAGTAGCATCTATAACAGGCAAAAAAATATCCATATCAGAAACCAATGAATATACCTGAACTTTCTCGTAATGCGATGGCAAGTATCCCTTTGGATTGTTTCCTTTATCAGTGTTTGCCTTTCCCCACTCTGAAATGCATTTGAAATGAAAATAAAGTAAATTAAAACAAACCATATCCAGATGGTGTCAATTTGTAAGAGGTGAGCGAGACTGATCCAGGCGTAAACGAGCAAGTGATCACAATTGACTTCTCTCCATCCCAAGCCGCATTGTCAGTCAGCACTTTTGCATGTAATGTCACGTCTTGTGGCGACAGTTGTGGCAGCTCATTGGGTTGAGTGTGCATCCTAAACAGCAATAGAAAGCGAAATAATAGTGCACGCCTACCATCCAAGTGGTTCCAAATCATTCAGCAGCTCGTGTCGAGGCAAATTTTGAGGGAGGGCCACAACTTGATGCGTTCCCGTCTGTGGTGTCAACACAATGCATCGAATTTCTTTCACTTGCGAGTTGTCCGGAGGCGAGACACCATACATGAATCCAGCAATCTAAAGAAAATAACTGTATTAATGTATATTAGATGGCATAGAATACAACATGCAAATAATTTGACGTTGTCTTGAAAAACTCATAAACTTACTTGAGTTCGAAGATCCGAAATTGTGATAAACTTCTTCAAGATATTTTTCGGCAATATGTAGGTGTAACCAGTGTCTTTCACATCATCCGAGTTCACATAGATATGCTAAAAGAAACATCATTATTAGTCTCACGAACAAGCGTCATACCTGTGTTCTCAAGTGAAGGTTTGTCGATGAGATAGCTCGCACACGCCACTCAGTTCTCGAAGCAAACGAGGCTGTCTCATAATTTGATGTCGTCGCTGTGATGATTTCATCTCCATGTTTGTTGACAGTTCTCGTAGTTGTGGCTGTGACCTACAAGTCAAAGTGATGCGCTAAAAACTAACAATTACTGACTTGGCTTTGTTCTTTCGTTTGCTTTTCAATCTCGGCAATTTGTTGACGTTGTTGAGAGGGGGCCGAGATTTCCATACCAAGAATAATATCGCGGACCTAAACAACAAAAGTATGTTAGTCAACGTGAAAAAATACCTCCGATTGAGTCAATGAGGCTACATTGACATTGTTCTTCTTTCCATAATCGGCCAAAATCATATCCTTCAGCGAAAGCTCCACTTTGATCCATTCTTCGTCACCAAGACTTGGCCAAATGTGATGTGGCTCGGTTGTTGTTGTTTTATCCGGCTTTAGAATCACCTAAGGGAAAGAATAGCATTAAATCCTCCATTAAATCTAACCTTCGTCTTGTCTGGATTGATGTGCATGCCTCTCATAATCAAAATCACTCTTGAAAAGGCAGTGTACGAAGAAATCGTTTTCAGCCAATCATCGTACAGATTGAAGAGCACCATTTGAGGTTCCGTTGCTTTCAAGATGAGATCTCCGAATTTCTCAACCTAAATCAAAAAAGTTGAAATTGACTATTAAATAGTGTTAAAAATTTTACCTTCATAATCGCTTGGAATGGCAACATCAACTCGGATCCTTTGATGACAATGTTGGGGAAGTCGAGCAAGTGGACCTCCAATGGATCAAGCATAGCCTTTCTTGTCACGATGATCTGCCTGGGTTGCTCTTCAACGGGCAATGATCGAATGAGAGCAGCCACTTCTTCTGCGGTTTTCCATTTAGCAAGCTAAAAAGGATTTGCATAATTACATAAACCATAACTCCTCAACCTGTGAAAGACGCTTTTGTCCTGCCCATACGGAAGTGTGAATGATCTTCAAGAAAAGCTGTCCTAAAACAACTTGATATGAAAAAAAAACATTACAAATGCTGTACCAGTCCTCGGGTTGAAGATGAAAATAGCTCCATTAATCGGCTTCGTAGTGAGATTTCCTTCGAACGTCTTGTGGATTGTGACACGGTATACATTTGTATCATCGACAAACCTAAACCGCAAATATTAATAGCAAGGGAAACAGTAAACAAACCAAATGATTTGGTTGCTGAAGAGCTCTCCATAATTCTGCGAAGTCAAATACGGCTCGGTTGGCTCAGACGAATACAGTTGAAGACCTTTTCGGATACGTTCACGCAACACATAGAAAGCGGGATTTGCCTGAAAAGAGTTGATTTAGGTTCATAGAAACTTCCAATTAAAATACCTTAATGATCTTGGCCATGGCTTGTCGAATCAACGGTTTGATGCCAGGGAACCAATTTCCGTATGCTGAGTATAAATTGTAAGCCAAATCGATCGCAATCAGAACTCCAGTTGGTGATGGATAGATCGACATGTTATCCGTAGTGTAATCCAGGAACTTTGCTCTCGCGTATCTTTCAATATCTAAAATTAACACATTAGTTTGCCTCGACAAAGACTGGCACAATTTTAATCGAGGAATTTGGAAAATCCACTATTCTTAAAATGTGAAAAAAATGACGTGGCTGAGTGGTCTAAAGCGCCGGCTCTGAGGCCAGCGATGAAGGAGTTGTTTAGATCCCTCCTCCCCAAAAACTTATAGGTATTTTTTCTTCGCAAATTTATTCTTTAACTCCCGATATAAATTCTGTGTCTTTCCTATACTATTAACGATTTAACCAAGCCCCGATCAAGCTTCCAAAGGGTGAAGGCTGTCGTATGGCGGATTCAACGGCTGGTTGTGTTTGGTGATTCGTTTAATGTCGTTAAAAATCATTTTTTCTTATATTTTATATTAATTGTAAGTCGAAACCGTGTGAATCGAAATCGCCCCATCGCAATTGAATGTCGAGCCAGTATTTCTGCGTTGTCGTATTGTCCATGATATCCCTAAAATGTTAAAATATGATTTAGCCTTGAGATCCGATTTAATTAAGATGAGAGTACTCAGGAAAGATTTGACTTATTGCAGTGCAACAAGTACCCACTACTTTGTTACTAGTTGGATATGTTCAATACTCACTTGCTATCAGGAAGTAGCGATGGTCGACTGACAGGCCACTTGTATTGGGCAAAGAGAAGAACATCAGCACAAGAGGAATTCATCTTGTAGGATTTTCTGGGATGGATCGTTTCCTTCTGCACGGTTTGGATTTCGAGTGCATCCAATTCTTGATCAAACACCTAGACCTCAAATAAATCGATTTCTGCAGAGAGCGTTACCTGACAAAGATCCATCACCACTGACTCGTGAATTTTCTGCCACAAGTGAGCACGGAAGATTTGGATAAGCGAGATTTTGAGTGTTGGGATTTTGCCATGCATGAAGATTCCAGTGAGATCCAGTTGTACTTGGAAACCGACGTACACCTTAACTTAATTAAATTGTCGCTTTTAATCTCGAACTCACGTTAGCTCGGTTGATTGTTGGCGACCACCAAAGCGTAAAGCGTCGATTCGGGATTTGATTCAAACCAGATCGTTGCTAAAATTTATCCGCTCGTAATGGAACAAAACAAAAACTACCTATCGTTAATTATCTCTTACAACACCAAAATAATGTATGTAAAATGTAAAAATAATAAAAAAGCAAGCTTACAGCATTGGTCAACTTCTTGAACTTCATCGACTCTTCGAAACCTGAGGCGCGTTCCCAGAAAAGACCCTCCCATGTGGGGAAGTATGTTCCCTAAAAATTGATAGTCAGTTGTAATGTAAATCTAGCTTACTCTGAAAAGCGTGTGTTCCAAGATTCCCTCTACTCCACCAAGTGCTTGAATCATGTCCGTTCTGTAGTTGTTCAAATTCCAAAGCTTTCCGTCGTGACGTTGATGAGTCCACCAGAACGGATTCTGCTTGAGAATCTAAAACAACCACATAAATAATGCATGCAAAGTAAAAAGTTACTTGGTAAGCCTTGAATTCAGTTCGGACACGCCATCCTTTGTCGTAAGCAAGGGTGTGTCGATCTTTTTGGAAAAGTGTGTTGATTCGCGGAATTCCACGATCCCAGGAATCATCCAAGTCTTCCAATGTCAAGCGTCTAAGGTTTTTTCTACAATCAAACAAGAAATTTGATCAATACCTATTCTGCGCATTTGCTTCTTGTCTTTTGAGAGCGTATTCGGCCCAAACACGCTGAGAGTCCACAAATTCGGCTTCCCAAGGCTAAACAATACAAAATTAAACAGATGGTAACATATACTCTACCTGAATGTAGCGATACAAATTTGGGATCAACTGATCTTCGTCGTGAGTCATTCCTGAACGGAAATGAGTAACACCACCGGAATCAGTTTGTTGTATCCAGCGGAGATCGGATTGTGGAATGAGCACGTGACCCATGGAGAGCATTCCAAGACCGCCAATTTCTAAAAGAATCTTATAACAAGAGGTAAGAAAAGCATAAATTATCACAAGCACCTCCATAAAATAAAATAAAATTCCACCTTTTGGTGTGTAGAAAACGACCGGAGGGAAACGAGCGGGCATCTTCGAGTTAAGGCCAATCTTGATACGCGTCTGGATCTTGTTCTCGCACTTCACCAAGAGATCGAGAAGTTCTTGCGTGTTCACGACAGCTTCTCTGAAAAATGAAAGATGTTAACTTGCTTAACTAATTGTACCTGAAGTAAGTCATCAATCCAATAAGAGCAGTGTTCCATTTATTAACCTAAAGTTAGCGCTTTGTTTGAATTAAAATGCCAAAGATACAATTTTTGTGAAAGTAGTCGATCCAGAGCTCATCAGGATTTGTCGAATTCTGTTGTGGAATTTGCTCATCGAATCATCATCAACTCGCAAGAAGCATTGAGCTGTCCTTTCTTTGGTAACCTAAATGTAGTGAATGATTTTGAACACAGAACACAACAACCTCATTCTGCAAATTCCAAACACCATCGCGATGTGTGATCTCTTCATGTGTTGTTCGGCATTTTGGCAAAATACGACACTCAAATCCACCCATGTCGAAGAGAAGGTTCGGGTTGTCCTTTGAGTATACCGACACAAACGAACTTTCCCACTCAATCGTTGTGACAGAACGAGGCAGACGATTCTAAATATTAAAAGTTTAACATGATTAGTATTTAATTGCACCTTTATGTCCCAAAACACAGCTCGTCCAAGGTTCACATCGTGTTTCATCAAACGCATTCGAGCATCTCGAGGCCAGCACTTCTTGTTGTTGTATCCCACAATGTTTTCATTATTTGGGTCCGGGTGTTCCGTAAGGTATCGTTGAATGAGATCGCGACTTTCATCAGCATTGAATCTAAAAATTTAACTATAAGATTTTTGGTGGTAAGTCTTCAATTTACCTGAACAGGACCCAAATTCGATCGACGTAGCGACAGTACAAGCGGATTGGATGGCCGGTTTCCGTGGAAATATCCTAAAGTGGTGTGTTCGTTTGTCTGATAGTAACTTTTAAAATTTACTTGAAAAGTGAGGAACTCATTGGGACATTGTGGAGGACCGGTAATTTGACTGGCACGTCGCAAACCGAGAATCAGCAGATCGAGCACCAAGCCATAGTACTAAATAATTTTTTCAAGTCTTTTCGCTAATCGATCTACCTGCACAATGAACGAAGCAAATTGAAGTCCACGGATAATTCCAAATGAGTTCGTGTGATTCATATCCTTGTACGTAATAGTGACATTATTCTTTGCGGACATGTAGTCGGCAATGTTGTGATCAACGATCAATCTAAAGTAGGCAGGTGATAGCTAAAGCAACCATGAAAGCTCACCGAAGCAATCTGTTCAGCATCAAAATGTCAACTTTCTCGCAAATCTTCTCCAATTTTGCCTCCATCATCACATTGCATTCTCCTTCCGATGTTTCCCATATATCTTGTAGATTGTTGATCCCTTGACACCATTTGTACACCAAAAGTGGTGGTGGTTCACTGTCAGCCGGTTTGATCCAAGATGGGAACAATCTAAAAGTAACAACTATAGTTGTTAAAGCTTTAAGGAAAACATACCTTCGCTTGTCGGCTTCATACCACAGATATTGATCAAGATAGGCGTCGGTAACTTTCTCATGAGGTTCGATGTCGTACACAGGAAGCAAGTGCTGAAAAATGTTTTATAAAATACAACAATTAGTACACAAATATCAATCTTATTCTATAATCGTGTATCTCAACCAAAAGAAAAAAAAAGAAATTCCAACTAACCTGGTAGAGGTCCATAAACTCGATTTGTACTTCCTAAAAACAAATTATTAAAAGCTTTTAATGAAGACCAAATACTTTGAATGTTCTTTGGGTGAGCATATGACGTTTGATCCGAGAAAGAGCTTCATGAGGATTGTCGTATGCTTGCTCAATCAAGGCGAGCTCTTCTCTTTGTGATTGGTTGAGACGATTCTTGACCGAATAAGCTTCTTTGAGTCGTTCAAGTGCCTAAACCAAGAAATTACATGTGACCTAGGAAAAACACACCAAAATGAGCAGTTTTGTATCGTGCTTGTACGACAATGGTGGGAAAGGAATTGGTGAGAAGCGACGCGACTCCAGCCAATGCACAGTGGTCGTGTAGATGGCGACAGCTTCCTCGGCCGAGATGTAGGGTCCATCCTTCAAATAGTTGTGTTGCCTTTCTTGTTCAGCCTTCAAGTAGAGACGGGTGAGTCGTCCGAGATTCTTCTTGCACACAGTTTTGTCCACGGTTGCACCACGTCGAACACGCTCCCTAAATTTTAAACTAGATCCCAATACAATACTATTAAATCACCTATTGTAATGAGCCGAGTTTGTCCACCAATCAGCCTTTGCCTTGACGTAACGAAGAATCATGTTCTCGACTGGCGTTGGAAGACCAGGCACCTAAAGTTTAAAGCTAAATGTTTATTTCACAAGACGAACCTTCCAAGGAATGTTTGCTTTCCAGCATCTCCAAGCCTCGCTGAGATGTTGAAGAATCACTCGAGCCTTGTTCTGCTTGATTCCCCTAAATAATTACAGTTACTCTGTGCTGGAGTAATCAAATTATGATAGTTTCAACTTACTCAGGCATCATGTCCAAAAGATCGTGAAGGACCGCAGCTCTAAAAGAAATAATTTATTAATCGCAAACAATGAATAACCTCAGTTCCAAATCGAAGTGAGATTCAACACGTTGCTTTGTAACCGTCTTTGCGACTCCCTTAGAATGACGACCTTCGAATTGGCGAGAGAGCAAATTTCCCAGCCATCGTTCGAGTAAAGGTGTAATACCTAAAGATTATTTTTTTATCTTGTAAAAATACTAGTTTTACCTCGAAGGAAGAACAACCAAACACGCCAGCCGGGAGCCCAAAATCTGAAATTTAGACATTTGAAATTGAAACAGCAGTTTGATAAATTAATTATTAAATCTTAAATCGACCTACCCGCAGCCGGGTCCCTTGCCCACAGGTCCAGTATTGAAGCGATAGTAGATCACATGTTTGAGGTCTTTGCACATTCGTACCTAAATACTAATAGATCATGAAATAAAATTATTATTTACTTGTCGCATCAGCTTGTATTTGTAACGATACATTCCCGTAAGTTGTCCAACTAAAAACAATTGTAAAATAATTCAAAGTTTTACCAACCGTGTCCAAAAATGTACTGCATTCCATCAGCCAATTGATAAGCATCGACGTTGTTCAAACTAAAATTGCATTTATTGCCTCCATAAGCGTTTTCATTACTTACCGGTATTGCACATGGGCATCAACAACCAGCTTTGTTAAACGCAGAATTTCACGGCACAAATGGAAAGCATTTCCGAAACGAGACTTCTTTCTTTCCTTGGTTGTCAATGTCTTCACGGGTTTTAAGTTGAAATTGTAGTCGAGATGGAGATAGTTGAGATTCTTTCGGTGAATCAGCAAATTCAACATGTTGTAGCCTTGGCGAAGCACCTAAATTAAAAACTACCAAAGACTCAAAACTATTCAAAACCTGCAAGCCAGCTTCAACCCAATCTAAGGTGGTTTGTTGGAAAAACTTTGTCCCCTTGAATGATCGGAACAAGTAACGTCTCTTTTGTGGTTTCGGTGGGCGATGTTTCAAAGCATTTAGCACAAACACCTTCAGTAGCTTTTGATACGAAACGCGAACTTTTACTGGCATTCCTAAAGTAAATAATTAGCATTAGAAACAAGTACTTGTAAGCATACCTGCGGGGCAATGTTCTCTATACCATGATTTGACAAGTGGAACATCAAGAGCGCGGCGTGTTCTTCCCGATCGCAGATTGAACGGTCTTGGTGCCCACATGAGTGCGATGCCATTGTGAGTGTTGTCCGAATAGAGTGGCACATCTTCAAAGATTGGTATGACATCTTCAGGGAGCTCCCATTCATCCAATTCCTCATCTTCTGGTAGTGGTTCCGCAGCCTGAAGTCAAGATTAAAAGCATGACATTAAAAAAACTAACTCTTTCAGTTGCACTCGTAGCAATGGGATTGATCAAAGGATCATAGTAAAAAGCTGGCAAATCTGGGTCTTCTGTTTTGATGAACACGACTGATGGTTCATGATACCTAAAATAATATAGATATCACTAAAGTAGACACTATAAAACTCACCAAGCCACTTGCACTGGAAGAGAATTCAGCAAATTGTTGTACATATAGGGGAACGCAATTCGATACTCGGTACGAATCGGTGCTCGGATGATGATCTTGTTGATGTCATTAAATTCGTTCCAGTCCTCATCTCTAAACAATCAAATAGAAAGACTCTAAAGGCTATTCTTTACGTATTCACATCTTTGACAAGTGGCTCAAATTTGGGTCCACCCGGGATCGCCACATTGAGTGCTTTGGCAGTGAAGAAACTTTTCAGATCGAAGAGATAGTAGTAATTGGTGTCCACAAGATCGGTGAGAAGCTGATTAGCCAAACGGTAAAGCGTCGACATCATTGGGATCGAGAAGGCCCATTTGCGATAGGTTTGACCATTGACGAACCTAATGCAAAAATACAAGCGTTTCTTCTAAAAGTGATACCTTGTGCTGGCCAAAGGCTTGTGATCGTATAGCCATCCAGAAACTGCTGCGTCTTCTTCGGGATCCAATTCCATTTGAATTGGCTCCAACGGTTCCACATCTAAACACAATTAGGTCAACAGGCTACTTGATTGAAAAATACCGAGAATATTGTCGGCATAATCAAGAGGAGGCTCTTCATCGTCAAATGGCGGGAAGCGCATACGCTAAAATACAATAAAGTGAGAATGTCAACAGCAAGATCAACCTTGAAATGTCGTCGATCTCTCTTTTCACGCCTCATCATGATCCACATTGCTCCCCATTGTGCAAGATAGACTGGTTCGATCACACGCGGAATATCATTGACGAATGTGATAGCACCGGTGATATGGTACAAGATCTAAAATGAAAGCGTAGACATGTTTAATCAATTTGCACAAACCTTGCAATCTCGAATCTGCTCCCATGGCATTGGCATATTTTCGAGAAGCTTCAGAACAGCATGCGGCATATATTTGAGAGCACCCAAGTAGACTCGCTTGTCGTGACGATACTTCCTCGACGTCATATCACCGTGATCCCTTATGATCTTCCGAACATGCTCTAAATAAACACAATTTTTTGTAGCAAGAAAATTACAAACCTGGAGGCATTTCCTCTTTCTGCGCATCAATCACTCCGAACTTTCTCTTCTCAGCATAACGCTTTGATTGCAGTTGTTTCCATTTTCGAGCCTAAAAAAGATAGGTTATTAATCATGAAAGGCTTCAATACTTTATCTTCCAGAGCCGCTGCTGGAATTTGCGATCGCTTCTGTGTGGCCATTGGAGGGGCTCGAACGAATTGGCCTCCGGGTGGGCCTGGTGGACGGCCTGGTCCTAAAACAAAGATTGCAAGTTGCATCTGGACATTAAGAGTTGTACTCGATTGTTTAACCCTAAAATGTAGCTCCACAATAGCCTTACCTCCTTGACCACCATAGGGTGCATTCCATCCTCCGGTCGCACCACCGGGAAATCCTCCTTGTCCAACGTCGATTTGTTTCCGACGGGGCTGTCGGAATATTGGACCGTCGTCAACGGTCATCCTGAAACAACAACAAATTACCCGCTTTAAAACAAAGTGCAAAAAATAAACGAAATGAAATCACAATTAAAAGTACTAACTTTCAGTCAAAGATAAATCGGCTAATTTACTGAAAATGTCATTTCTGTATTGTCGTTGGAAAGCTTCGCGGAAGAATCCAAAAATTTCTGAAGCAGCAGCAAGCGCCATTTCTTCTGCAGCTTTGCTTAGCTCATCGTTCCACGTGCCAAACTTTAGCGATGAGATCGTTGTTGCACCGGCTTCACGTGTTGCTTTGCATGCAAAAACGATGAAATCGCCCGTTTCTTCTTTTCGTTTTGGGTCCAAATGCAACCTGCCATCTTGATCTTTGCTTAGTTGAACCCCACACATCACAGAGTTGCACGAGACGGCGCTGTCCAAAAGGGCCAAACTTATCGCGTTGAGTGCCGCAGATATCATTGATCCATCTTCTTGCAAAACTTGAGCCGACACCGTGAGCGCTGTGTGTGGATGTAGATCGCATTCGACGACTTTTTCTAGCACGCGTTCTATAAAAGCATCAACAATTTCGTTCTTTTGTTGATCGAAGTTTGTCGTAAATTGGACATCAAAAGCAATCCTGTCGGGCTCGAGAAAATTCGATGGCGCGTTTCCTGGGCCAGAGATCGATGCCCACACCTGTGTCATGCCAGCTTGGAAAATTGAAGACCCGTCGACGCGGGAGAGATGACCGAGCGAGGTCCTCATGGTCCTCAACCTTCCTCTTTGTCGGTTCTCGGGATCCATCCTAAATTAAAAACATTAATGAAAGTTTAACTCCAAGAAAGAACGTATGAATAGTCAAAAAAATTATTTTAACCATCTGAACTAAAACTAATAAAACGATAACGGTTTTATTAGTTTTAACCGTAAACGTCTAAAAGCAACAAAACGGGGACTTTTGCAACTTAAGTGGTCACAAAAAGAGGGTTGCTCGTTGAATTTGTGAAAAACATGAGAATAGCGCTATTTATTCATTGAAAAATCATTTCTGCAAACTTTCGGTGCCTCAACCCAGTGACTTTTTGTCAATTTAACGAAAAAAACTGTACGAAATCGCAAAAAGACTATCAACGGTGCAACGTGAAGAAAACTTTGAAAAATAATGCGTTTGAATGAATGAAAGGGAGGGCGAAATCAAATTTCGGAAAAAACACGAGCAGCACTTGCGGGGCTACGGTGGCTGGAGCGCCTTTTGGGACGCCCCTAATTGCATTCAAAGTGGCACATCGAAGAGGGGCTCGTTAAAAGCTTTGTTTATTGAATGAATGCGAATGAATTAAATTGAAAAGTGCATTCAATTGAATAACAAGGATGATAAGAAAACAAGGATGATAAGAAAATAACACGCAAAAATGTTGTACTGAATTCGAGGTTCAAAGTTCTTGAATTCCTCGTTTTATTACTTTTGCTAAAACTTGTGAATGTGCATGTTGATAAGGAACTTTCGTAACTCTTTATGCGGTGTTTCTAAAACAATTTAAGATCAGTTTCCATATTTATCGATTACAAAAGCACTTTCTATTCCTCGTCGATTTCCTCTTTTCGATGCAAATCGGGTTGAATTTTTGTCTCCATCACCTCGTTGCTCAAAATCTCATGATCACTGGTGATCGATTCTGAAATGTTTGATTAGAAACCTACCGTAAATACTGTAATAGTACCCAACCCCCATAATGACGGTGAGGAGTGTTGCGTAGTCTAGCTTTGAACGAGTTTTTCTCGACACTGGTTTATGCTAAAATGCGCGCTTAGGTATCAAAAAATAGCTGAAATTCAGCTATTTTTTGATACCAAAGACGCATTTTTGAAAGTGCGGGAGCTTTGAAAAAAATGAAATACTAAAAAACTTTTGCGACTACGCGACTGTACGAGGGGGGTCGGGTACTATTACAATATTTACGGTAGGTCCTATACGGGCCGGGAAGGGCCAAAAATTTTATATGCTAATTTTTGTTTCCGGCTATGTTCCACATCACAAAATTGATTGTTTTCTTTTGGGTAACAACATTTATGAATTAAAATTAACATTATCAACAACAATACAATAAGATAACTTAATTCAGAGGATAACGATCAGCAACAACTTCCCAGAACTCATACATAAAGCTTTTTGTATGCTAATTTTTGCTATTTGACAATAGCTATGCAATTTTTGTTCTTTTAACAACTTTCATACTAAAATTAACACAACAAGGATTTTGTAAAATCACCATATAAAATTTTTGCCCCCCGACCCGTATAGCACCAGAATCTATTTTCAATGTAACACATTGAATACTGGTAAGACATTAATAATATATTGAATTTGCTGGCTCACAAAAGACACTGAAAGCTGCCAAATCAAAGCATATGTTTTCACTTTTCAGCACGAAGCTCAACTATGTAAAAACTTTCAAATCATTCACCAATAGTTTCGGCTGTCGGTGGGCGTGGGGATTTTCTGGTAGGCGGCCTGGGTGTCTCCAGGAATCTCCTCACATCCGCACTCGATACTCTTTCGGCTACATCATTGATTCGTTCAGTTGGTTGCCCTTCAGTCATCTCATCAATCACCGATAGACTTCCATCTAGATATTTTATACTTAGATAAGTCATTTTTGCTGTTTTGACCAGTGGGATGACAATTTTAACTCTCTTGATTTCATGTGATGGTGATTTCAAGCAGTTTACCATTCATACGCTCACCCACCTTTTTCCGATTTCAACTCGTTGATCAATGGATGATAGACAAGCTCCAAGATTTGCTAAAGCTCACTTTTTCAGAAAATCATACAAATATCCTTACATCGTTCAACTCTAGATTATCGATATCATGCGATGCACACTCATTCGGTATGTGAATATCCGATTTAGTGAGTGCTGATTCGGGGACCGACATCTAAAAGAAATCATACATAAAAACATTTCTCATTTGCAAAATCACAGAATTTTCTCTAACAAACCTTTTTCTTCACATCCACGTCAAAAGTCTTTCTTTGCAGAGCCAAAGCTGCTTCGATCTATCATTTTTTTTGTAGATGAACTTTCCCTTCATAGCGTACCTGATCATTGGCCTCGAAAAATCGATCCCTTGTCCGAATATAAAAACTCCATAAAGTATTGATGATGATGTCAACGAGTTGTTCAGCTTTTGTGATTTCCTGTTGAAATGTTTCCATGTCTCTATTCGATAAACGCTCTCCAGCTTCGACTAGTGCACTTCTCAAGTCGACAAGTTTTGAGATGTTGTTCTAAACTTAATCGTCATTATTGCCTGATTGGCTGGCTACTATGTTCTACTAGAAATAAGAGATATTCATCAATCAAGCTCGAAACTCACATTGTTCGCCACTTCAATATTTTTGATTGACTCCTTCGACTCACTCAACAATTTGACGATAACCTCTTCCTGATCAATGATTCTGAAATATCTTTGTCCATATCTATTTCATCTTTTCAACTTATATTTAGCACACATAGATCGAGATGGTCGAGATGACTCACTTATTGTTTGCACATTTCCCCATGTGTTCAAGTGTTCTCAAACGTGTTTGAATCTTCAAAAATACAGCCATCCCATCACCGGCAGTCAGAAGAGATTGTCGACAAATGGCTCTTGTCGCCGTCAATTCAATCCACGTCGCTTTATCCGAATTGTTATTGTTGTTGGTGTTCACCTTTTCCACGATTTGATCTAAAAGATTCATTAACAGAATTAACGCTACATTCTGCATAAAATTCTCCCATTTTCACTCACCATGCAATGTTCTGTGAGTCTTCAGCGCCGCTTGCACCTCCTTTTCCCATAAATTGTTCATTTCCATCCCTTTACCGACACAATCGTTATACTTGCGAACGATCGACGAACGTGGCTGTAAAGTAAAGATTATGTTATCTAGATGAAGATTTAAATTACAAAATTAAAGAAAATTTCGAACATTTCCCAACCTCATCAAGCATGAGCACACGCGCGAGAAAGTCGTTCAACTGCGGGGTCTTCTCGTAGCAATCTCTGTAAATTCTTTAATTATTGGGTTGGTGAATTGAAAACTGCGGGCTATTGTCATATGTGACAGTTTGAGCACTTTCTTCAAAAGAAACCCATTTTGGTGTCAATGGAAAAGTTGTAGAGAATCAAAAATGAGACTTATAGCAAAATTTTCAGAACGATTCAAAAACTGGTTTTCAAGAAATGCCAAATTTAAGAATTTTCACAAAACTTGCATTTTAAGCGAAACTACTAAGTGTATCTTTTTGGAAATTTGGCTATAAGCCTAATTTTTGATTCTCTACAACTTTTCTATTGACACCAAAATTGGTTTCTTTTGAAGAAAGTGCTCAAACTGGGACATCTCCAGTCCTCCATTTTTGAGTCTCACACTTGTCTCACACACAAACCAAAATCCTACTACGAAAGAGGAATCCGCAAATTGCCTGTAAAATGGGTAGAAGTCGTCAATAATAATGGAAATTATTTGGAATGAATTGATGGTTTTATGTTGAATAAATTTTAGTTCAAAGTCCTGCAGTTTAAATTCAATTTTTTTCAACCCAATAAAATTCTATTTCCTCTAACGATACCTTGCTTGGGAAACAGTGTCCGAGATCTCGGACAATTGAGTAGCAAGTAGAAGTAACAAGTCAGAATTGATAATACACTCTTCCAAACGTTTCAGCAATTGTTCCTTCTCTAATCCGCACAGGAATGAGCTCAAATAGAAATATTTCTGAAAAGTTCAATTCAATGATAAGAAATCTTTTACATCTAACCTTCAGTTGCGCATTTTCATTTGTTTCACTCTCGGTATTGTAGACAGATGATGAAATTGATGTGCGTTGTGATCTTTGCGATGAATCAACCACCGGCATCTCTGGGGGCATTCGTTGAGCCCATTGACCACTCTGAAGAGATAGATTTTTGCATTTCCTACGTGAAAGAAATCATCAGCGAGTCGAACGGTTTTTCTAAGTATTAAACTGGACTAAAGTAGGCAAGATAACCAAGCAAAATCCCAATAGCAATAGCAAATGTCATTCTTTCGAACTTCGAACTAATGATTCACTAAACATATCTTGAATAAATGTTTCCAAACTCACTCCCGCATAGCTGACATTCGTTCTTCCCGTCAAAAAAGCCGAGTTCAGTGTCGAATTGATGCAACCCATTTAGCAAAAAGCATTTGCATTCACTGTGAAAAATTTTCAAACACTTATTTGGAAAGAAATGATGAGAAAAAATTCGAAGAAGCCTCACAAGAAGATTGCCAAAAAGAGATCCAAATCGAGAGAAAGACGAAAAAAGATCTTCGATGTTGAAAAACGCGTTGTCCGGGAGAATTCCCTGAATATTCTGGTCCATTTTTGCGACACAAAAACGTGCTTGAAAAGCCCAACAAACCATATTGATATGCTGCTTGGGGTTCAGTTTTCGAAACGCGAAACAGCAATGAAAATCTTTTTGACGGGAATCTAAAACTATTTCAATTCGATTTTGCAATATTCTACCAAAATGAGTGCATTGATCAAAGACAACACTAAAAAAAACCACCAACACTCTCTCTTTTCCATTTCAAAACTCAATTACAAGTGTTGACAATTGAGAAGAACTTTGAGCCACAAAAAAGTGTCTGAAAGCTTTGTTTTTAAAGTTTAAAAATCCTAAAATTGATTTAAATGTGATCGTTTTGTTGAGAAATCCAAATCCAAGAAAGTACAAATGATGTAAACGACTTGGAACTAGGACAGATCAAAAACTTGTGCGTCGCTGGGCCTTGCATCCGTTTCGCTTACCGGGCAACCGTGCTAAACCACAACTCATTTGATCTTCCTTACTTCCTTCCAGAGGAAGTTAACTAACGCACCTAATCTGGTACACTTTTTTACTTCATTTTTTAACTTTTCATCAAATCATGGGTGAAAACATATGCCAGGGGTTTGTTTGCAAAACTTGAGCTCAAAAAACAAAACTCCTTCCACTCTTAAACCAACAACGATTTGCGAACTTTCAAATCACATGTAAAGCTTGACGAATCATCAGGATGGATGCCGTGATGAGAATGCTGGATAAATCCACCAATTTCTCTTCACTTTACTCACAAAATAGGCTTTTTCTTTGCGTCTTCTTTTCCAACAAGCAATCAAAAGAGATCTTTCCTAAAATTTTCTAAGAATGTGATTCCCCTCCAAAATCTTTGTCCTCTCTCATTTCCTCTCCATTCAGCAAGCTTCCCAAAAAAACAGCCAACTTTTCTTTTTCTGTTTAGCTTTTATCAATGAACAAATTTGATTAGTTGACTTTTAGGATATTGATTATGATTAGTTGACTTGATTAGTTGACTTTTAGGATATTGATTATTTGATTAGTTGACTTTTAGGATATTGAATGGAAAGTTTAGCTTTAAAGAAAGCTTTATTGAGTCTAGATCCAGCTTGAAAAAACTTCAAAAACTTGTTAGACTTATCTCAACCTGTTTTACTGATCACTTACTAATCCTTTATTATATCTGGGTTGAAAATTGAGACACTACAGTATCCTTCAAGAGTTGTAAAACTTCAATATAACCAGTTAACCCTGAGTCTAACTATATTCGAGAAAAAAGTCAAACTCAGCCTCTGTTTTTAGCAAAGATTTTGCGTGAGAAAGCCTTTTTTTGCTCGAAGCCAATCTACGAACACGTTTCCTTTCCTTTTTGATTCACTTAGCCCTTCTACTAGAATTTTCTCCATCTCTTTTTTTACTTTTAGACCCGTGGACTTGTTTTTCTCACCTCTTAGATCTCCTAGATTTGTCCCGTTTTTGATGATGGACCCTTTGAAGAGGTTGGAAAGCTTTTTTGAAAAGCAAAAAACGGCCATCTTTGCTCATTTCGATGAACTTTACAATTTGTTATGGCACTAGCTTTTATTTCTAGATAAACTGTTTATTGGAGCAGATTATATTTTAGTCTGCTGGCAACACGTATTCAAAATTTACCCAAACTTGTCATCTTTCGAAAGCTACCGTAATCTAGCGCCTAGATTTATCTACGACTATGAAGTCTGAATATAAACGTCCATAAACGATACAAACGATACAAATGATACAAGTAAGATGATTGGATAAAAACTGAAATCCAGCTGATTCTTTTTCGTTCTACGATATCAGCTACAAGCTTTAGTTAGTTTCTCATTCCAAAATCGTTCCCCAAACATTCCCAACATTATTTTTATTCTTTTCAAGCTTTATCAATGCCTGAGACACTTCATTCTTGTTTGTTCACACTCATCCAATTCTCTTCTTTTCACCTGATACAACAATATTTTCAAGCTCTCCCGCTTTAACGATCCGAGAAACCGGGCGCGTGCAAGGTTTACACACAAGGCTCCTTTTAATCTTTGCAAAGTAAGCTTAACTGTGAAATGTAAGCTTTATTCTTAAAATAGAGTGTGTTCTAAAACGTGTTAACTTTTCGAAATCTACAGTAATCTATCGTAATCTACAGTAATCTATCGTAATCTACAGTAATCTATCGTAATCTACAGTAATTTATCGTACAGATCTACCGTGTGTCTAGTTCTTTCCAATCAATCTACGCTTTGTCTCTCCGGATTTCTTTTTATTTGTGAAAACTCACTAAATCAGACCTAAAGCAAGTCGAATAAAGCCAAGAATACAGGAATTTCGAAAGTTTTCATGTTTTAGAAAACATAAGAGGAGTATACTCTATTTTTCTCACACAATTTTATCACCATAAAGAGAAGAATAAGAGAAGGGGGGGCCCGGTGGTCGACGAATATACTCTATTTTTCTCACACAACTTTATCACCATAAAGAGAAGAATAAGAGAATGGGGGGGGGGACCCGGTGGTCGACGAATATACTCTATTTTTTCTCACACAACTTTATCACCATAAAGAGAAGAATAAGAGAATGGGGGGTACCCAGTAGTCGACGAATATACTCTATTTTTTCTCACACAATTTTATCACCATAAAGAGAAGAATAAGAAAATGGGGGTACCCGGTGGTCGACGAATATACTCTATTTTTTCTCACACAATTTTATCACCATAAAGAGAAGAATAAGAAAATGGGGGTACCCGGTGGTCGACCCTCGATCACTCATTGCGCAACCTCTTCCCCCTTCTGCCCATTTGTGGGTTCTCATGTACGGATGAGTGGACAAGAAAGAGGAAAAAGACTCTGTTTAGTACAAACATTCCTTTCACTTACTCATTCTATTGATTGATCACCAGTTGAATTTAGCCTAACCTTATAAAGATAAAAAATTAAACAAAATTTCTACCTTAGTCATTTAAACAAATTTTTTTTGCTAAACTTTGAACCTTTTCTTTTCTAATTTATCGTTTTTTTTCAACTGATTACTTGAATTTTGATTGATTTTGATCGATTTTTACTTTTCAAAGTTGCAATTTGAAAATCTGAATTAAATGAACAAAACTGGATCATAAACCTTAAAATACTTCAATTTAGTTTCGACAAAATTGTTCAAATGCTCAACTAAAAACAACAATTCCAATGATTTCCATGCTGAGCACGATCAACAATAATTTTGGTGAGTGCCTTCATTTTTCATTCGCCATAAGAAAATTTTTATTTCTTTTGAATAAACAACTCTATTTCTTTTCAAAATATAGCGTTTTCCTTATATCAAATTGTCTCTAGAAGTAAAGAGATCTGTCACTGGACATTCCCAGAAATGAAATGATGGCTGATGTCAAAAAAGAAGTGTTCCTGGATTTTTGCTTTTCAGCTCTGCCTCAGATTTCTTCTATCTTGACCAGATTTTTTGATGGAATAGCTTGAGATTACAATGCGAGATATCAAAAAAATGAATTTACTTAAAGTTTAAGAAGATTTAAGAAGCAGAGATTGCTCTAGGAATACTAGAGTCAATGAAAAGCCAATCTAAAGCCAATCTAAAGCCAATCTAGAGCCAATCTAAAATATTTTGGCCAACTTTTATATTCCAAGCAACCTTGTACCTATACGTTTACTGTTGAATCTTAAGCCTTTTAAGAAATTTTAAGAACTCTTACGAAACTTCGAAGGACCGTGAAGATTACTCTTTTCTTGTTACACTATTCTTTCTCAATCACGTGGTGAAACAGTGTACTGGTTTGAAAAACTTGCATCTACTACCATTTGATCTTGTAAGAAGATTGATAGTAAGATTAAAAGATCATTTCAAAATATTCATGAGCTTTTTGTAGAAAACGAGCCAGTCTCCGTTTTAGCAAACAGCTCTTGTTTTCTAAAGCTCAAAATAGCATCGTATCCACAGTTTAGAAAAAAGAGCTATTTGCTAAACTGAATAAACTGAAACTGACTCGTTTTCTACAAAAAGCCAATGTCTATTTCAAAAGTATTAGTTCGATAACTCTATTAACTATCGATACGATAACTTCAATGACTCGACAACGAAGAAAAAGCAAATACAAACAACTCTACAGGCAAATTCATAGTGGACATTGAGATGAAGTGATGAAGACGGACAAGAGAAAGAAGTGTTCGGCTCTCCATCTCTTTCCATTCTTTTCCTAAATCCTTTCTCTTCTCAACCATTTCGGGATTCAAAAGTGAGAAACGGATGCAAGGGATGATCTCCCCAGGGGCACATTGGAGGGCATCTCTCAAGCCTCAACCCCTCAAGCCTCACCATCCATTGAGCCACACGTCTCTGTTTACTCCTCGCTTCCCCTTCTGGACAAGAGTCCCCTTTCTTCTAACACTTTCATTCTTTCATCTCCACCCACTTTCCATCTACTTCTTCTCCCATCCTCCCTTTTTCTCAGTAGAGTGAAACGGCTCCTATATGACCCAAAATCAATGCCATCTCCTCCTCTTTAGTTTTTCTCTCAATTTCTTTTGTCTTCTAGCTCTTCCCCTTGAGTCCCATTGAATTTCGCTTCTCACCATTCCCTTGCCCCTAATTGGGCTTCAACACATTCGATCTGTCACCAACAGATCTCAATCTATGAAGGATTTCTCAAAAAACAACCAGCTAACTTATAAATTTTAAAAGATTACTGTATTCTACTCTAAAGATTCTTCTTGCTACAATACTCATTTCTAAATCTAAAGCTGATAAAAGTTACCTTTTTTGAGGATCATTCAGCTACTACCACACTCTGAAATTCTTCACATACAGTACTCTGTCGCTCTCACTGCAGTAATTCCTCTAAAACTCACACCAGCTACAGTATCCGCTCATTCTCTTACCTCCACATTCCATATTCAATCTGATTGCCTTATCTCAACCGCGGGGACCCACTGTGGTCCCCATGATAATGCAAGATTGTGGAACAAGTGCATATGAGTTCATCACAAATACGCCATTACTTGTTGTGAATCAAGTCGAAGATGCTGATGCTGTTGATGACTATGCATTGGCGAGGACAATCAACTTTCTACCATTGCCAAAAAGTTGGTTTCTTTTTCAATTGTGCAAACTATTGCTTTGGTTGTCTTTGTAAAATCTTCTAGTGATCCAATTTTCAAAATCAACCCACCCCTTTTGAGATAGAGCTTGCGCAAACCTGTCATCTCTTTTATCTTTCACCTATTTTCGGATACTTCATCAAATTCAAACCAAAAAGTCACCCAAAACTCTCATGACTTTCTGACGTTTTTGTTCTATTAAAAATTGTAATTACAAACTTTTCGCATAACCTTTTCCCAAATCACCTGTCTCTTTTACCCAAACTTTTTGAAAAGAATTTTCTTCAAAACTAAAGCAATCATTTATTGAGCTGAATCTGTTTTTCCCATTCTTTATGTCAAAAGGAAGCTCTTCCATTGTTTCTGAGGCACTTTTGAAAAGCACCGTCCAATCGGGTCAATTCCCCAAATGGTCGCTCATCAATTTCTCAAGTTCAAACGATTCTCATGACTCGAAACTCTCGTCAGTTAAATCGAAAATCACGAGGCTCAGCTGGAAGGGTAGAAAGAAACAGGGTAAGTACTGCATTTCATTTTAATTCACTTTCTAACAAACCTGGTACCAAATTGGTAAAAGATCGATGGTAATACATTTTGAATCAGCTAACAAATCCATGTAGATCAATTAGATTCACAATGGTACCAAGTCTGTAAATCAAGATCTTCGATACTTGCAACGATTCAAAGCTTGAAATACTCTAGAACTGGCAGTTTTATCTCTCTGTAGTTATTTTGATCAATTATTAACAAGCATAGTGACAATTTCTTCAATTTCACAACTTTTTACAAAGCAATTCTCAATTGTTGCTTTCTGAAACAGTCAACAATAAGGCCAAGGTTTTTCGGGATTTTTCTGCGAAAGAAAGAGGCTAAACCCGTTTGAAGGGGGGATATTTGAAGGGGAAGAAAGGGGAAGAAAGGGAAAGAAAGAGGAAGGAAGGGGAAGAAAGGGGAATACCACCATAATCTCCTCACTGGGCAACCTTGACTCAACCCAAAAAAAGAAAGAAAAGCGGAAAGGTCAGAGAGGAACTGACTGTTCACTCAGATCCACCTTCAATCATTACTAGTTCAATTTTTGGTTTTGTGAAATTAAGAGAGCTAATTTTGAACTGAAACTTCATCATCATCGACAATAAAATTTCAATTTACCCTAAAGTCGCGAGTATAAGTTCTGTTTGGTTTTCGCATGCAAATTGACGGCTGTCTCCGGTGCGGTGTGTCGAGGGTTCGAACCCCGCTGCAGCATAACTTTTTTGCTTTTTAAGAACAATAATAGAAGTAAATTTATTGAGGGTTATAGCAATTTTATGCTGTTATTTGTTGCTCCGGGCGTGGCTCGGCGCGTCCGCCCTGCTCCTCTCCGGTGCTCAGTCCTGCTCATCCCTCCCTGGCCTCTTCATCCGGCCAAAGTCCACGTCGACGGTCGAAAGAGATGCTTTCCAGCGTCTTCTTCAACACTATCGTCTGGATGTATCCACGCACATAACAAATAGCAATGGTGATAGGCTGTCACCCTGTAGTATCCCGCGCTCCAAGAACAATAATAAAAGTTTATATAACAATAAAAACCCAACAAAAAGAAATTCAAAGCAATTAAAGCGAATGTAAATTAAGGCAGAACTTATACTCGGATGAACTTATACTCGAGACTTTAGGGTAATGAGAAAAATTTGAAGCAAAATCAAAATTAGATTCAAATTTTTACAGTCAAATTAAAGTCTCTGCAAATCTTTGGTGAATTTAAAGGATAAACCAATCGTTGGTCATTCAATTCTATGTGTGTTCCTGTTTTCAACTCTCTTTTCCACCATTGAATCAATGGAACTCTTGTCTCTTTGTCTGCTTTTTTGAAGTGGATTCTCGTCATCGACACTATCTGGTAGACAGTCATTGAAGTACCAACAGATGAACAGAATTATTGAATACTGAACGATCATCTCTTTTTGAGAACTTATAGAATAATTAGATCATCAAAATGAGATTTTGTGTCAGTAGAAAGTCCCCAAAGTTGTTTAAAATAATACCAATTCTTATTCATTTACATCTTTCAAAGTTTTATATGTTTCTTTGCATTTCTATTTCTATTTCTATTTCTATTTCTTCTATTTCTATTTCTATTTCTGTATTTCTGCATTCTCCCTCTTCTTCTCTTTTTTGTATTTGAGTGAATTGACCATTTTCTCTTGTTCATCCAACACAGTCAAAGGACACACAATCCATTCAAATCGTTTGTGACGAGGAACACCCCGATTTAGAATCCAAAACTGAACCGTTTGATCATCATAAATGACTTTGAAAATTTCGATTCATTTTCTTATATACTTTAATAAGTAAAAACAAAACACTTCTACTCAACTCATGCATTAGCTTGCATAGCACAGACAGCTACTCAACTCATGCATAGCACAGACAAGTAGCATGTTTAGTGAGTTATCATTTTCAGAATAAGAACATGAATTGATCGATCAAGAACAGGAATTGATCGATCAAGCACAGGCATTGATCGATCAAGAACAAGATGCGCTAAAGCTTCGTTTGAGTTGACTGATTTGAATCACAGATCTCAACTTTACAACTTCAATTCTCATCCAATTCTTATCCAATTTTTATTCTCTTTACGTGGATATCCTTCTCATTTCCTTTTCCCTTTTTTCCTTTCCGCCATCTGTTAAATCATTTTGAGGGTCGAATTTCGTGAGTCTCCTTCTCACTTTTTTCGCCTTTCCACGGAAACAGCTGCAAATTTTGGCGGTTTTCTCCACTGAAACCCGGTGTTTTTCTTTGTTATTTTGAAAAATCTATTTTCGATTTAATATAATAATTCGTAAGACAAATTGTACTTGATTTAATACCTTCCAAAGCACAAACTATCTAGAACAAAGCTGTTCTTCGGATACTTTTTTGTGTTTTGAGATGATTCTATCGTCTCAAATGCTTACCATTTTTAACCCCAGCTGTGTGGGATCAAAAAAAGTGTCGCAAAAATATCCACAAGAGTGCTGACTATGATCACTTGCACAACCGGATTTTGCGATTATGAAATTTCACTCAAAACACTAACCGCTAAAATTTCAGTCTTGTACTTAACCATTATTCTCAGAGAAAATTAGGTTCTTGATGCTAATTCTCTTGATGCATTTGATCACTATCAATTTTTGATCAATCTTTTCTTTATAAGCTTCTTTCCGATACCAATTATAGCTAATTAAGTGATTTTTCTACTTATTTCACCATTCCAAACCGTTCTAAATACTTGCTTTAACGCTTATTTTAACAGAAAATGAATCAAGAACAGTTCACTAACGTCACTGACTCATATGGTGTAAACTAAAGCTCTTCAGCTGATTGTCAATAGATGTAGAACGGAAAAACGAGTTGTGACCACTTTAACAACAACTTTTTCAAGAGTTTTTCAGACTAAAACATAGAGCTTAAAAAATTCAACCTTGTGGCAAGAAATCCTGAAAAAGTAGCCATTAAATTGGTCAAATCTTGTTGTTCCGTTGTAAATCAATTTACAATCATATCAAAAATGAATAACTCTAGTATAAACGATGATTTGACGAAGTATAGGCTGTTATAAATTATTGATACCGTATTTTCTCTAATAGTAGTGCACCCTGGGCGTTGCCTAAATTGCTTGAAATCTTGAGAACCGCTTATCAGAACCTATCGATTTGGGGTCGGCAAATGTAGCTGATGATGAGATCTAGTGGGGGATTAGAGTGTTGAGCTTCTGGGATAACTTGGAAACCGTAAAATAGGCATCAACTCGGCTCGCCAGGCTGCACTACTATTAGAGAAAATACGGTATATAAGCAATGCCTTCAGGTTGGAGATTGGCAACCTGTTTGCTTTTGTTCTTGCCAAGCTTTTCTTATGAAAGAACTGTAGTTGAGTAATATTTTCTAATATGAATAGGTAAAATATTGCCAACTATCGTATTTTCTCTAATAGTAGTGCACCCTGAGCGTTGCCTAAATTCCTCGAAATCTCGAGAGCCACTTATCAGAACCTATCGATGTGGGGTCGGAAAATGTAGCTGACGATGAGACCTTGTGGGGGATTTGAGTGTTGAGCTTCTGCAAAAGCTTGGAAACCGTAAAATAGTCACCAACTCGACTCGCCGGTGTGTACTACTATTAGAGAAAATACGGTAAGTTGTTAAGTGCATCTAAAATCTATAATTTCCAACGAACACTTAAAGTGGAAATGGAAAGATTCGATTTTCGTTGTATCGAATGCGTCACTCAAAGAAAGAGAGTCGGCCCTCTGTTTATCGATGAGACATCAAAAGAAAGGGTTTTTGCGAAGAAATGAAACCACCAAAATTGGCAAAATTTTTGATTTCAAGCTATATTGATAAGCTTTTTACAAAATGCGCGCTTGTGGATTAATCGATGGAGAGTCCTCGTATTGGACAATGGCTCGGAAACACGTGTTGCCCATCATGAACACGGCGATCAAAGTGAAAATGTATCACGATTGGCTGAGTTCGTTGATGCTTCAAAATTGATTTGCAAATTCAATTTCACCGATTCAATCAATACTCTTTTTATAGCTTTGGCTCCTTTTCCTTCATTTGACTTCTATTACACAATTGCATGTCTAACTTTATCAAAGAATTTCAATTAAAGAACTAATTTGAATAGAAAATTTTTTGAAAAATCATTTTGTCCTTTATCTTTGGAATCTCGACGAGTGATGTTCAAACTTCCCAGGGGAATTCACCAAGGATTTCAGTCGGAGAAAATAAAAAACGGGAAAGAGTTTTGAATTGAATAGAACAAGAGCTTGATTTAATAACGAAAAGCAAACGTAAAATTGCAACTTAGACTTTGAATTATTAGGTTGGTGAATTGAAAACTGCGGGACTTTGAACTAAAATTTATTCAACATAAAACCATCAATTGATTCCAAATAATTTCCATTATTATTGACGACTTCTGCCCATTTTAAAGGCAATTTTTCGGATTCCTCTTTCGTACTAGGATTTTGGTTTGTGTGTCAGACAAGTGTGAAACTCAAAAATGTGGAGGACTGAAGATGTCCCAATTTGAGCACTTTCTTCAAAAGAAACCCATTTTGGTGCCAATGGAAAAGTTGTAGAGAATCAAAAATTAGGCTTATAGCCAAATTCCCAAAAAGATACACTTAGTAGTTTCGCTTAAAATGCAAGTTTTGTGAAAATTCGTAAATTTGACATTTCTTGAAAACCAGTTTTTGAATCGTTCTGAAAATTTGGATATAAGCTTGATTTTTGATTCTCTACAACTTTTCCATTGACACCAAAATGGGTTTCTTTTGAAGAAAGTGCTCAAACTGTCACATATGACAATAGCCCGCAGTTTTCAATTCACAAACCCAATATAATAAATTCTGACTGATTTGCTGAAAAGTTGTTGAGAATTTCCGAAAATTTGCAACTCTCAATGAGCCGTTCTCAATCAGTTTAAGACTGATCTGATCAAGAAACTGTTTTTAGGAAATTTTAAGTCCCAGATCAATTTGCTTTTCAAATCTTACTTAAATTGTCACATATCACAAGATCAATGAGCTATGACTAGCTATGGCTATAATTAAAATCAATCCGTTCCTATCTAAACTACGATCAATCCGTTTCTATCTTCATCCGTTCCTATCTAAACAATAGCAACGGATGAAGAGCTGATTTTCGAGGCCAGGCCAAGCCAAAAGCCAACGCTAGCCTTTCGTTTTTTCCTCAATTCTTGCTAACCAGAAATTTTGTCCGGAAAAAACTTGGCCTTCATTCTATTGTCATATCCAAATCTTCTCAAATAGCTGTTCGGAAGTGAAACGAATGAATCAGCGATCTGTTGGGAAAAGAAAAGAAGAGAATGGAGACTCCCAGCAAAATGAAGTTATCTTCTCTTTTCTCTTTTTCTTCTCCCCCTCCTTCCCTTGGATTGCCTCGTTGTTCTGACCTCCTCAAAAAAAGAAAAAAAGAAATCCGAGATTTGTTTCATTCTTTTCTTCTTTCTTTTCGTCTCTTTAGCATTTTCCGTTTAGCCTTTCACCCCCAAACAATTGTGGCAACTTTATACAATCTGTAGCGACTTTAGGCTTCTTGCAGCTTTCATTGCAAACCCTAAGTCTCTTAAAGAGTCTCTCTTTAAATTCTTTTAAACTTCAATCTTTTGCAAATCTATTTAGATCACAATTTACAGTTTTTTTTTACTTCTTTTGACTGTACTTGCGGATGTACATTTAAGCCAATATTGAGCCATTTAAGCCACATTGACCATTTTCTATTCTATTTCAATTTCTAATCCATTTACATAACTTTTTATTGGATTAGATCGTCATTTTTGTACTTGACCATTTACATAACCTTTTTTGTTTCATTCTTTTCTTGATTCTTTTCGTCTCTTTAGCATTTTCCGTTTAGCCTTTCACCCCCAAATAATTGTGCCAACTTTATACAATCTGTAACGACTTTAGGCTTCTTGCAGCTTTCATTGCAAATTCTAAGTATCTTAAAGTTTAAATCCTTTTAAACTTCAATCTTTTACAAATCTATTTAGATCAAAATTTACAGCTTTTTTGTAATTCTTTTGGAGTGATGGACTGTACTTGCGGGATGTACATTTAAGCCATTATTAAGCCATTTAAGCCACATTGATCATTTTCTATTCTATTTCAATTTCTAATCCATTTACATAACTTTTTATTGGATTAGATCGTCATTTTTGTACTTGAGATGATTCAAAACCGTTTTATGGATTAGTTCAATTACCAAAGCATTTTCATAAGTGAACCACTACCCTAAATACCGTATTTTCTGTAATAGTAGTGCAGTAGTGCAGTCTGTAATAGTAGTGTAGGCTGAAGGGGGGGGGATTGAAAAAATAGTAGTGCGCACTACTATTACAGAAAATACGGTATGATATTTGATCCAAGAATCAGGCAAAAAAAAGTCATTTTTCTTGATCTAGAAACAAAGAATTCGATAATTTAGTTATAAATTTGAAAGAGGATTTAAAAAAATTACCATTTTACCAAAGCACATTAACAATTTTTGCCTTTTCCCCAAAAATCTAGCAATTCTTCCTCTATAACTCAAACTTTTCTTGCAATATTCACTTGAAACCAAATATTTTCTTGTCCTTTTCACTTGTCTTTTGATAAATCCCTCTTTGGGGACATTCCAAAGTATCCAAAAAAAAAATCGAAGAGTCCCTTGGAGTTAAATCTTTGTAAACTGGCGTGGGAATATTTCCCTTTCACGAGTTCAACTCTGCTTAATATTTTTCTTGATAAACACTCGTTTTCTATTTCTGCTAGATCTGATCTTGTTATTCGGAAGAATCAAAAATTTTGAACTTGATAAACTTTCGTATAAAAATAGCTGTATTCAGTTGAATTCTAGCTGAATTCAGCTGAAGTCTAACTCTGAATTACCCTCTTTTAAATCGTTCCTTATTTTAATGTATAACTTAAGTTAACTTCAAATAAATAAGTGAACTTCAACTAAACTAAACTTCAAATAAATAACAAGTATACAATTTTACAGACAAAAGCTACGTTTAGTGTGAGAATTTTCAAATCTAACCTCTCATTTCCAGGTCCTGCCCCATCAGGGGGCATGATCGAGCGTTGTGTGGTCGTACAACGGCAACCAGGTTCGTCAAATCTTTCATTTAAAGTTAATAACTCTAAAATACTGCTGTTTTTCATATTTCTAAAACATATTTGGTTACAAGTCTCTGCCAGTTAATCATAGCCAAGAACACGTAAAATTAGAAGATGAGGCAAGAGAAAATCAAACCGTTTATCCACTTTATCCTTTTCAAACCGTTTTCAATATACAGTCAACTCCGATAAAACGATTCGCTTGGAAAATCGTTATATCTAACAAATAGTTATATAATAATCAAACCGGCAATAGAAAATCAAATCGTTTATCCACTTTATCCTTTTCAAACCGTTTTCAATAGACAGCCGATTCCGATATAACGATTCGCTTGGAAAATCTTTATATCTAACAAATAGTTATATCAAAAATCGTTATATCAAATTATTATAACGAATTTGTCAACAAAAAAAAGTAGTAAATAAAAAGCGATTAAGAAACAATCAAAGCTTATTGAAAAAATCTGTTAACGAGGCTTATCTATTAGTAAACAAAGACTAATCGTAAAAAAAATCATCAAAGCTTTAACAATTTTTGAGTCAGTCTTTGCTTTAGCAAAACTGACATGATTTCGGTTTTTGATGATTTTCGTCTTTATCTTCTGATGATGATAAAGAATTCGAAAAAGTTAATATCAATCAAAGTTTATGATCGATTAGGCAAAACTCAACTCGACTCTTGTTTGCAAAAGTAGAATTACTACAGGGAGCGTCATAATTATTGCAACAAGATACTCAAGGCATTGCACACCAAGAAGTTTCACTGGAAGAAGATTTTTAAACAGAAATAGCTTTATTTAACAGTAACAAATAAGGAAACAAGAGATCATTCGATATGACCACCTTTTGCCTTAATAACAGCCCTTAATCGGTTCGGATATGCCTCCACCGCGGCCCGAATGTCATCTTGAGGAGTCGCCTTCCATCCTTTGGTCAAAGAGCAGACATTAGCCTCTAAGATTGCCCAAATGGAAAAGTCCATCACATTGAGATCCGGTGAGTTTGGAGGCCATTCATCCTTGGTGATCACTGAGGGAAAGTTGGCCACACACCAGTCCTGAACCGTCTTCTTCGTGTGAGCGGGAGGCAATTAGGCAAGAATAAAGAAGATAGAACGCAACACAACAAAAAAGGGGGCAAAAAAATAAGAAAGCTGTTTGGAAAACGGTCTTTGAACTCTTGTTGCAATAATTATGACGCACCCTGTATGTAGGTTAAAGATATTCAATGAAAGAAAGGAATATTTGTTGCATTTTAAACTGAAAAACATTATATTGAATGCAAATTTCAAATCGTTATATTGAGGATATCGTTATATCGAACATCGCTATATCGAGAATTGTTTTAAGAATTATGAGGAGCATTACTGAGCATGACCATCGTTATATTGAATACATCGTTAGATCGAGAGTCGACTGTACCGTAACTTTTTCCAGATGGTTACGGTCTAACGGTGAATGGCGATCATCCCGTTTTCGTGCACACTGTTCGCTCGGATGGAGCCGCCTTTTGTGCCGGGGTTCGACAAGGAGATCGCATATTAAAGGTCAAATATTGTTCATTTAAAATAAATAGTAAATTACAATGCACAAGACGACTTTCAGGTTAACGGAATGCCGGTGACCAGTCAAAATCATCTCGATGTCGTTCGAATGATCTCAGGTGTGTTTTGATTCTTTTTGTTTCTGTTTTGATTCCAAAAATCTTTTAACTCACAGTTTTATCAACTCTGTTTTAATGTTTTAATACAGTACTCAAAAATGCTCAACTCTTGTAACCTGAATCTTTTTGTTCTGGACGACTGCAGTAGCCTCCGGACTCCGGGATATTATAGTAAACTCCGGGATACTATAGTAGACTCCGGGAATACCATAGTAGACTCCGGGATACTATAGTAGACTCCGGGATACTATAGTAGACTCCGGGATACTGTAATGAACTTTAAAAAGTCTGAACTTTTTCGAAAAGCTTGGTTGTAAACAAGCTCAATAATTTAATCGCCTAACGTCACAAGCTTATTTTTCAAATCCTGAATTATTCCCTCGAAATCATATGCCGAATTCTCCCTCGATGAGGATTAAATCGAGCGGAAGTTGCTGTCTTTTCCCTTTTCTTTTCGATTTCCTTTCAACTCCTCCGATTTTTTTCTTCTTCTTCTTCAGCTTTTTTTTTGCCTGAACAAAACAAACGATGGAAATTTGGGGCCATCCTCCCCTTTTTTCTGTTTTTTTTTCTCTTCTGTCGACCCCATTGCGTGACCCATTAGGAAAGGGAAATACCCATCGACGAACGGACAAAATTTTGTCAACTCTTTAGGTCATGCGATCGTTTTGGCGGTTGTTTTTCAAAAACACAATGTTTTTATATAAAAGATTGAAAGATTAAGTCAATAGATACTTTGAAAAAGAAAATGAAGATCAAAAAAGATCAAAAAATAACTCTAAAAGCTTTCGATTAACTACAGTAGACTCTATAAGCTCTATGGAATATATATATGCTTTATTCAGTTGAATAGCGACAAGACAAAATCACAATAATTACCCGGGACACCACTCAAAACACACCCATAAGATAAATGGATACCTCAAGAAAGAATCACAGAGCAGTCAAATCAATTGCCGAAATTGCGGCTTTAAATATATTGAACTTTCAAATATTTTGTATTAAGGAAAAATTTCAACTGAATATTTTCTAGTTTAGGGTACTGTGCTACTCCAGTACTCTAAACTAGAAGAAAGTTCAATATATTCCGTTGAGCTTATACAGTGTACTGTGGCTAATCGATTCTACAAAAGAATAACTTTCTTTGTAAACAGAATTTTCAATATTTATCAAAAACTCGAAGTTGAACTTGAGTTTGAAGATTTGAAGAGATTGTTTAACGCTTCCAAAATCGGTTTATAAGCAAATCATTAAGAAAGCACTGAATTAGAGTTGAGAGAAAGATGAAATGCTCATTTAATTTCAATTGTTTACTCAATTATATGAAAATTTATATGAAAAATCGATTCATAGAACTCAGTAAATTACACCTAAAGGGATCAGATCTATTGGGTTAATGGAAAAGTCCTTTCCGATTTTTTGGGAGAAAAAATGATTGATCCTTTCCGATTTTTTTGGGACAGTACCTTAAATTCAGCTTTAGGATGAGCTATAAAACGTCAAAATTCGACAAATTTAAGAATGGACAAAAGAAAAGGACAAATTGGACATCAAGGTACTCTCCCAAAAAATCGGAAAGGGCTTTTCCATCAAACCCAATATAATATTTAATAATAAAAAGTAAATAGAGTTAAAGAGTTAAAATGAAAGAGTTATTAATGAAATCTGAGTCTCTAGTTAATCGGAATTCGTCGCGAATTCGGCTACCAAACTCTTCTCTCCGATTGGAGGACTCTCCGATTTGAAGCCTCTTTTTTTTGGATTTAATTGAGAAAATCCCAAAAGACTTTTCCATCAACCCAATAGTTATGCTCGTTTAATGATAAGAAATTCCTCACTATTTACCATTTTTCAGCTCTATGAGACATTAGAACGATTGAAAATAGATTTCGATCGAGTTTTGATTCTTTCAAGAAAACTTAACATAAATTTGTGACAAAATCAATTTATCCAACCTCTTCAAGAGTTTCTAGACAAACATCAAGAATATCAATAATTTAGAAAAAAAAACTAACTTAAACTTGTTAAAGTAGATGTGTTTGATGTGTTTGTTTCTTTTTTAAAATTAGATTTGTACAAAACGAGGTTTGATCCTAGTGATCTAGTGATCTATTGATCCAAATATTGAACACTCAAAAGCACTTTCAGGCGGTCAAACAGTAGCGTTGACACTTCTCGGCAAACCACCCGATCCATTGAATGTTGACATCTTTCATGAGCAAAAGACCGAGCTCACCAAGGCGATCATTTCCGATCCGATGCCTGTGGTATGTTCTTGAAAATAAACTCTTTATCTACTCTTGTAGTTTGCTTAATTTCTAAATTTCAGGCTGAAAAGGAAGAATGGAAGCGAAGACGAAAAGAAGTGATTGCTCAAATGTTAGAAGATGAGAGGAGACATGTTGAGGTTGGAAAAGCAAGATCTTGAAATCTTCTTCATCAACTTTCATTGGGTTTTTAAACTGAAAATGAGCCTGATTCACTTTACATTAATACAGGTTCTTTTATGCTTAAACCCCCACTTTCTGGCGTTCAAAACTCGAGTTCAAACTTTGATAGAAGTATAGTTTAGATTGAAAGCAGTAATCTATAGAAGAGTAATCTATAGATACGGTTAAGTTTCATTTTTGAATATTGTAAGAAGACTGAAGAGAAGAGAAGACTGAAGACTGAGACTTTACAATACTTTTACAAGCTGTCATTAAGGATACAAACTTTTGAACAAAGAGATACTGTAAGAAAGCGATCCTTTACAGTACTTTTACTTAAAGATTGCCACAATAGGAACTGTTGAACAAAGAGATATTGTAAGAAGGCTAAATAACTGTAAAGTCTCGATCTTTAGCCTTCTTACAGTATCTCTTTGTTCAACAGTTCCTATTGTGGCAATCTTTAAGTAAAAGTACTGTAAAGGATCGCCTTCTTACAGTATCAATACTAAAAGATCGATACTTTATAGTACTTTTACTTAACGATTGTCACAATAGGAACTGTTGAACAAAGAGATACTGTAAGTAGGCTAAAGATCGATACTTTACAGTACTTTTACTTAAAGATTACCCATTCAAATCCCCCAAGTTCAACTCTGAAAGTTTCCCCGCCTGTGTCCAACCCAAGTTTGGATTGAAAATGAAGAAAAACGGGAGTGAGGGTGGCGTGTCAATGCATCGTGATTGGGAAAAAGAAGGGAAAAAGAGATTTTTGACAGACACCCCAACAGATTCTCTTTCAAAAGCCCTTTTTTTCCACAACGACAACATTAAGCACCCTCCGCTTCTTCTTTGCTTATCTGTCCACGAAATCAGAACATTTTTTTTTATGTCAATCTCAATCTATTTTTGTGCTTTTCAGCTTTTCAAAGAACTCTCTTAAAGTAGAATTAAAGTTTTTTCTTAAAGAACTATAGAAATTCAAGATTATTATTCAAAATTGGCTAATTAATTCTTCAAAAATTCCAAATTTAGAGACTTTCACTTGTTTTTGCTTACATAGACTTTTTTTTTTGATAAAAGTGCGACTTTCAGTAGAAAACATTGCCTGTTTACTTTTCAAGATTAATTGTACTTTGAAAAATGATTGTGTTGCTTTGAAATTCGTTATCTTTGAAAGAGAAAGATGACTTCAGATAAAAATAAAGCTTCCAATTGTTTTCTTAAAGCTTTACAGGAAAGATTTGGTATTAATTTCGTTTTTTTCAACTTTTCGTCTCTTTAAATCATTCCTTAGCCTTAATTCTAAGTTTTTTCTCTAAAATTCTTCTAGAAAGATACTCTGAAATGTTTTTTGTAAATAGTGGACTTCAAATTTTTGCAGATTTAAAATCTTTGACAACGAACAGAACCTTTGAACAACCTTTGAACAACCTTTGAATCTACTTTATCAACTCAGCTCTTTCCATTCAGTTCTCTGAATCAAGCTAAAGCCGTTCCTTTTCTCAAAAACGATTTTTTTTGATTCTTTTCGGATTCTTGTCCTCTCTGGCAGTGGTGTCAGAAATTTGTGTGGGTCTAACTGGGGACATTAGGAGGGGAAGGGCAGACCCTAACTCGAAGCTCGACCCCAACAAAAAGAGAAAAAGAATTTCGGACAAGAAAAGGCTAAACAACTTTTGAGCTTCTTCCTCTTTTCCGTTTTTTCCCTCCACTTCCTACAAAGTCTCATTCTTTTCGCTAAAAAGTTGCTGTTACGATTTTTTTTGTTAAAGAATACCAGAATTTAACAACTAGACATTAGACTGTTACCGTATTTTCTCTAATAGTAGTGCACCCTGAGCGTTGCCTAAATTCCTCGAAATCTCGAGAACCGCTTATCAGAACCTATCGATGTGGGGTCGGAAAATGTAGCTGACGATGAGATCTTGACGATGATTAGAGTCTTGAGCTTCTGCAAAAGCTTGGAAACTGTAAAATAGTCACCAACTCGGCTCGCCGGAGTGCACTACTATTACTACTATTAGAGAAAACACGGTAACTGTATTTTGTGCTCTAGTAATCGCAAGTTAGCCGGTATTCTTGATTTCTTAGTTTTCTCTGGAGATCATTCGTGGAATCCTTGCGCCGGAAAGTGCGGGCTTACAAGCGCATTGAGCACAACAGACTTGGAAAACTGTAAACCAAAGAGTTTCTCAGTTCTGAGCTAAAGTTCTTTTACAACTAGCCATCTCTCAATTCATTTTTTGACTTAAAAAATCTTGTTTTCTTTCAATTAAAACAACTTTTTTACAGAGCCTCCGCGACTCGAGCGAAAACGGGGACAAATTGGAGAAATCGCTGAAGAGAATTCAGAAATTGCAATCACAATTGAGGGGACAAACCCCACCACAACAGAAATCAATACAACAAATCGATAATACGAATAGTACGGCAAATAACATCAACAATCACTCCTCAAGCACAAATCCCTGGATGCACGTGGGTTATTTGTTCTACGCTTGCTTGAGAAATTGAACTTATTGTTAGAATGAAAAGATTTATTTATAAAAAAACCTTATCGCTTATTGTGCAGCTTATTTGATTGCGAATTTGAGATTAAAAAGTTGCTTTTTTGTATGTCTTGTTTTTATACATCAATTTGCACTCAATTTTCGTTTCTATTTTGCATTCAAAAATTCCTCAACGCAGCCTTTAACTTTTATTTTATCACTGAACTTTCCAAAAAATGAGCTTTTAGGTGGGTCGCCGAGCCTCGGACGGGCTCGTTTCGGATAGCGAAAACGATGAAGATATGCTATCGGTGATTTTTCCGTAAACAATTACCATAAATATACTAATAGAAGAGAAGAAACATTCTAATGTTTCGAATTCTAGTAGATTCTAAACATTCTAATAGAACAACTACCGTAAATATTCTAATAGAAGAGAAGAAACGTTCTAATGTTTCGAATTCTAATAGATTCTAATCATTCTAATAGAACAATTACCGTAAATATTCTCAACTCTTCTATCTTTCAATGTCTCTTTAAAATTCTTTTTCGTGCCCTAGCTACAGTATACTCATAGAGCTCAAAAATGAATCTTTTTGTTGGATTTTCATCCGCTTTTTGAGTCTATAACTATTCAAAGTCTATTGAAAGCCTTTAAAAGCCTTTAAAGTTGACAAATCCGAAAAAAATGAAAATTTTCGTCTAAAGAATAAATACAGTAATCTATTTTTAAACATAATATTGCTAGAATATTAATTTAAATCAAAAGGACTTAGAGTTAGCGTTTTAAAGTATATTAGTCTTATAGAAAACAATCTAAACCATTGTTTGCAGAACGAAACCTCCGGCCCCTTCTCGTCGATCGTCGAGCTGAAGGGACATCCGGCTCATCTCGCCGTGTTCATCTCATTCCTTTTGAGTAACGCAAATCCGAATTCTCTCTTCTTTTACCTCATCACCGATGCCTATCAACAAACGAGTGCATCGGCGAAAGTAAAACCCGTTTTAGACTAGCAGATTAGAATCTAAATTGGCCGATTGATTAGCCGATTGTTAGCCGATTGTTAGCCGATTGTTAGCCGATTGTTAGCCGATTGTTAGCCGATTGTTAGCCGATTGTTAGCCGATTGATTAGCCGATTGTTTGCCGATCGACTAACAATCGGCTTAAACTTTTTTTAGACATTCAAATCGATAATTTCAATCTCTCTAACTTCTAGGAACTCCGTCGATGGGCTTTCGAGATCTTTACAACGTTCGTTGTGCCAAACTCGCCGATGCATGTGCAGAATATGGATCAGAATATTATACAACCAATAGATAAGGTGAGTTAAGAAGTTTGTTCTTATATTCTTTGTTCTATTGTTTAAAAGTTTCGTTTTAAAATTTTAGATCATTTTTTCAGGCAATGACAAATACTGCTCAAGATGTGCGAGACGCCGACGCAGATATTTTAAGAAAAATTTTCATCCCAGCACGACAAAGGGCTGAATTAGACATTCGAGAACATTTGGCTGATTTTCGAGTAAAGAAACATATAAGTAAGTAAAGCTTTTTGTTTTTAAATCAAAATTTTTAGGCAATTTGTTTGAAATCGCTCAATTGGGAGAAGCGAATGATGACTCGTCGTTGGAATGGAAATTGGGTGAATCGTTGTTGTTGAGAGCGTTAGAGACAACGGTTAGAGCGGCGAATCCTGATTACGATTTGTGTTCAATCAATACGCAAGCATTACTCTCATCGTTGGCCACACTGATCAAGGTGAGATCCAGGTTTTAGTCACAATGAGTAGTACAATGAGTAGGAGTACAATGAGTACAATGAGTACAATGAGTAGTACAATGAGTACAATCAGTACAATGAGTACAATGAGTAGTACAATGAGTACAATGAGTAGTACAATGAGTACAATGAGTAGTACAATGAGTACAATGAGTACAATGAGTACAATGAGTAGTACAATCTCTAAAAACTAGCTGTTTAAAAATTACCGGAATCAAGCTGTCAGTTTTCAATTTTCACACAAAAATTTGCGCTGACAGTTTGCTTACAGTGAAATAAGTCCTTCTAGAAAGTATATTAAGCAATAGAAATACTTCTCAGCTATCATACAATCAAAATTTCAACAACTTTTCGTTCTTCTCATTCGTTCTCATATCCTTGAACCAATCTGAGCTAATGAATAAAGATTTGACGCTATTCACTCGCGATACGCTATTCACTAGAAAGCAATGTATCATTTTAAAATCCAATATACTTTAAAAAGTCAAAATTGAATTTAGTCAAAAGAAAATCAACTTAAAAAAGAAACTCTTTCTCAGTTTGACAATGAGATTACGGGAACAAAGGTGAGTAAAGTAAAGTAAAGTAAAGAAAAGAATGTTTTATAGCATGAATTGAATGATGATTAGTGATTTGATTGACTAGATTTGACTTTGACTTGATTGATTAGACTAAAAATTCATTTAGGTAATCCTTTGCCTTAAACCGAACCTCTCAAACTGGGAGCGACTTCTCGAGAAATGCCCGACTTTTGTCACCAAAGACAAAATGATTAAAGTGAAAGCGAAAACGCTGACGAAAAAGATCGTACAAGTTAGTGAAGTGAATTTTTAAATGAAAATCCGATTTCTCTAGGTAAAAGGCCATCAATTCTCGCTGAATCCGGTGAATGTCGTTCATTATTGTTATCAGTGTCGAGATGTCATCTGGGCAATGCAACCGTATGCCTACTCTTGCACAAGTAAGCCCTAAAAAGTTGAAAATTGTTTTTAAAAGTTCAGAAAAGCTTCATAAAAGATAGACATTAGACTGTTACCGTATTTTCTCTAATAGTAGTGCACCCTGAGCGTTGCCTAAATTGCTCGAAATCTCGAGAACCACTTATCATTGTCATTATGTCATTATGTCATTATGTCAAGATTAAACTCTTGACAGGTTAACTGGTTCGAAAATACAATAAATTTTCAGACTGTGATGTGGTAATTCATAAACAATGCGCTACTTCATTAACTGATGCTTGTTATCCAGCCACTCAAGGAAAATCAAAGGATAATAAAGAGAATAAAGCAAAATCAAGACCAAAAAGTCGTGAAGGACACGGCGATGAAAGAGTAAGTCACGAGAATAAAAGAATAAACAAGATTTTTAGCGTTTGAAAGTTAACAGCTGATTTTGTAAGCTTATGTAAGAAAAGAATCGGCTAAAGAATCCAGTTTTTTTGAGTTGTCAAAAAAGAGCTGATTACTATAGCTTTTCCCTGCACTCAGGGAAAAGTACTGTAGTACTGTAGCTTTTGTAGCTTTTCCCCCTTCGAAAACGCTTCATTCAAGTAGTAAAATGATAAGATTTGACCAGATTAACCGACTTTTCTAGATACGCCGAGACGGTAGCCTTCCTCGTGATGTGAGTGTCTCGAAATTAGCCCAATCTGATTCGGGAATCGGTGCTGAGATCATCCATCCAGGACTCAATCAGCTTCAACAACAGGAGAAGGTGGTCGGACGATCGCAAAGCATGAGAGGACGGGTTCGAATGTTTAGATTTTTCCCTACCTCTCTCTAATTTGTTCACGAAACTTTGATATTACAAGGTTGTTAAAATTAAAAAAAATCTCTTGTTAGAAAGATTTATTAGAAAATTGAATTACTAGGCATGGGAAATCGGGGTGTAATCGGGGCGACGTTATTTTGGCCAATAATTTTTTACCGAAAAAAAGTTATTGATCTAATTCTTTTTGCATTATATAAAGCATCTTATGAGCTAAATTTTGACTTGTAATAAATAGCAAAATGAACGGATGAACGAGATAAATTCGTTTGACCCGTCACCCCGACCCGAAGCGTCTTTCCGATCGGAGCGACGGGTCAAACAGGTTTTCTCCTCATTCAATTCAAAAAGACATTAAGAAGTATTATAGGTCAAAATGTAGCCCATAAGACGCTCTATTTAATGTAAAAATAATTAGAACAATAACTTGTTTTGGTAAAAAGTTTTGGCCAAAATCTCGTCGCTCCGAACCGCCCCGATTTCACTCCGATTTCCCATGTCTATTGTCAACAATGCACTGAAATTTTGAATTCCAAAGTTTTGTGAATACTCTTTCCCCTTTTGCATTCTCTTTCCCACTCCTGAATGTCGTTTTTCTTTAATTTAGCAATGATTTTTTATTTTTTAGCGTCACCGCGCTCATTTGAGCCTTAGATTTCTTAGCGTAAGTTGATTTGTAATTCCCCCAATGTACTCTAAATGTTCAAATATTTCTAAACCTTTGTGGAACTTTAGAATTCTAAATTTATTAAAATTTTCTAGACAACGAGTGACAGTTCGTCGACGCTGAGTGAGCCGGCCGGGAGAAAAGGACGATCGGCACTGTCATGGGGAACAGATTTGACTCCAGCTGATGAAGAGGCGGAAACTGTCAGGAGGTGAGTGACAATGTACTGCTATTACAAAAGTCATAAGCTATTGGCAAAGATACTAACAAGAGTATCTGATTGTTGCGGTAGAACCAGAGCTGGACCGAGATCTAATTTTCAAAATCATGTGATTAACTTGGTTTTTTAAAGCTTGACTAGTCCAGCCCAGGTTAGAATGCTCAAACTAAATGAATTCGAAAGTTCTTTACCTTTTGGATGATCTTTTAGATATTTTGTAGATATTACGGTAAATTTACAAATTTTTATTTGATAACTTATCTTCTTATCTTATCAAATTCTTATTTTTATTTCAGTTTCAACATCCGAGAGCTGACCGCTGAAAGAGCGATCGATTTAGCCTCAGTTTCGGGAAGTAGTGGAGTCTCTCATTGCAGTATGCCTGACGACGAGGTACAGAATAAAATATGCTATGAACTTGTTGAATTGTCTAGGTCCGGCGAATGATGGAACGAATCCAAGTGTCAGCACTGGCGGAAGGAGATTCCGATCTTGATGTGAGTTTCATGTCTTTCTATCAAATATTTGTTGTCAGGTTGAGTCAGAAGTCCCCCCGATTGAGGCAATCGTCGGATGGGATGTGGTCAGACATTTGAAGCCAAAGGAAAAGAAAAGACAAGAAGTCATCAATGGTTGGTGGAGAAAAGAATTGATTGTTTGCTTATTGTTTGCTTTACAGAACTCTTCCATACTGAGCGAACACACGTCCGAAATCTGAAGATCGTTCACAAGCTATTCTATACCCCAATGACCCAACAGAATCTCATTCCACCCGATATCGTCGAGTTGTTATTTGCGAATATTGATGAGATCTTGCAATTGCATCAATCGATGAATAAGCAGATGAGAGCTGCTGTTGAGGTGAGAGTGACAAGTTATAGAAGATAGTGCTTGAACAAGGCCAGCTAAGATACTGGATAGACAAAGACTCACTACAGTAGACTAAATTGATAGTATTCTGTTACAAGATTTGCAAAAGATTCAATCTCTTGAAAGATCTATTACAAAACTTGCAAAAGATTCAATGTTTGAAAGATCAATGACTTGTTCAGGAGTGGAAACGTGATCCGCAATTGAATGGTCTTTACGGGGATATCGGTGAATTGATGGACGGAATGTTCAGCGGGGAACCTGGAGAGAAATTACGAGAAGCGACTGCCGAATTCTGTAAACATCAACAACACGCACTAGAGATTTTGAGGACAAGGTGAATTGAGTGGGGACTCAAAATTAATATCCTAAAGATCCAATCCTAAAGATCTAGCTATTGTAAGCCTTTACAAAATGCCCTGGAGCCGGAGCAGAGACCCCGGCTTATTGACTGGAGACTCAAAATTAATATCCTAAGAGATCTAGCTATTGTAAGCCTTTACAAAATGCCCTGGAGCCGAAGCGGAGATCCGGCTTACACCAACTGGATCTACTTAATGAATGAAACTGGATCCACTTAATGAAATTAACCCGCTTGTATTGCTCACATGGGAAAGGCACCAGACTATCCTAAAGATTCACAGAAATTCACATGAGCTACAATCGATTTTCCAACTAAAACCTGGAAATTCGAAATTTCAGATATAAAAGCGAGAAAGAGGACGCGTTGAGCAAGTTCTTGGCAACCGCAGAGCTGCATCCATTATGCAGAAAACTACAGCTAAAGGTGAGACGCTTACCTTACTTGTTTAGTATATTATTTATTATCTAAAATTTCAGGATATGTTACCAGTGGAAATGCAAAGATTGGTGAAATACCCGCTTCTCCTTGAAACAGTCGCGAAATACACGAATGAACCCAGTGAAGAACAAGAGAAATTACTGAAAACTGTCGCTGAGGCAAAGAAAATTTTGCACACTGTGAACACAGCAAAGAGAAATGCCGAGAATTATCGAAGGTTTGTTTATTTGGTTTTGAAAAATCGCATTCATCAATAAGACTTACCGTATTTCTTCGAATAGAAGACCGGGTAAAGAGTATCATCGCGTACTCCTGTGTAGCAGCCCTTTTTAAAATTTCTTTTCTGCATAAAAGCTTTCAATCAAGTGCTATAGAGCTGGAAAATGGCTCAAAAATCTGTTAGCTCATGTGGTATTTTTGAGTCATTTTCCAGCCCTATAGCACTTCATTGAAAGCTTTTATGCAGAAAAGAAATTTTAAAAAGGGCTGCTACACAGGAGTACGCGATGATACTCTTTACCCGGTCTTCTATTCGAAGAAATACGGTATATTTTACGAATTTTTAAGTCATTTATGCAAATACACTACTGGACAATGAAATATCATATTTAAAAAAAAAGATCGTCACTTTCGCGCGTCTGTAACTCCCTTGTCTTTACCGTATTTCTAAATATCAATATTACCATTGTGTAGCCCTTGAAAAGAGCTTTCAGAAAATGTATAACACTAATAGTTTAAACTCAAAGACAAGGGAGTTACAGACGCGCGAAAGTGACGATCGTTTTTCAAATATCATATTTCATTGTGCAGTACTGTATCTATCACAGTTTAGTAAATTTAACCTAGTTGAATGTATTAGAAGAACTTTTAGATACCTTTTAGAACTTTTAGAAAATGCATTACTTAAGAGAAACATACTTTAACTTGAAAATAACTCTTTACCGTTAAAATAAGAATTCAACTAGCTAATTCTCATTCGATTTTCAGACTTGAAGAAATCCAGAAACGACTCGACACAACTCCATTTGACCGCGATTTTGCTAGTCACGACTTTGCGTCTCTTAACCTAACAAAGTCAGAGTTTAAATGCTGAAATTTATAGTCACTTTTTTAGGTATCAACTCGTTCACGATGGCCCTCTCACTTGTCGTTTCAATCGCGGGAAATTGGTGGAACTGCACGCGATACTCCTTGATCACTACTTGATTCTTTTGACGAGACAGGGTGATGGACAGAGATTGCAATTGAAATGTTTAGAGCCGACAAAGGTAAGGAGATTTGAAGCAATACAAATTGAGCACAAAAGTCTACCCAATTCTAATAGGAAAAACCATTCTTGTGTCTTGAATTTTTCTAATCGAATAGAATCAGATTTCTCTTTCAAAACAAACTTTTCATCTCAAAAAAAACCAACAATTTGTTCATGATAAAAAGGCATTCTTTTTGTGTGTTTGTTTGGAGAGCTTTACAAGACTTCTTTCGACCACTTTTTCCTTTAACTTCAAGAATAAAAGATCCCGGGGGATTGAAAGGAAAAAAAAGAAGGGGAATGTCCGGAAATCCATCCAAGAACGAGAGAATTTGGTGGATGAGGAGAATTTGGTGGACAAGGACAACGCCCCCTCCTCTGCAGCCATCAACTGTCTCCTTTCTTTTTGCGAGATCTTCTCAAACTTGAAGCCGCGTTTGAATGATTTCCACTCACAAAGCTCAAAGATTCACTTTGTGCTCAAGAATCAGCAAACCAGCTTTCTTTCAAAATTGTGTTTCGCTCTGGTACAGTTATCTATACTATTGGACAATGAAATATCATATTTGAAAAAACATTTTCGCACTTTCGTGCGTCTGTAACTCCCTTGTCTTTACCGTATTTCTAAATATCAATATTACCATTGTGTAGCCCTTGAAAAGAGCTTTCAGAAAATGTATAACACTAATAGTTTAAACTCAAAGACAACGATGTTACAGACGTGCGAAAGTGACGATCGTTTTTCAAATATGATATTTCATTGTTCAGTAGTGTAAATGCTAGTATCTTTTATACTTAAACATTTTCTTCACCACCCCAACCGCACCTGTCCATTTGTCTTGTCAATGTACTGTGGCAGTGAAAGCTTAGGGTACTACTCTAACACAATAGTCTTCACCATCGTCTACTCAAATGCTAAGAAATACCGGCTATTCTATAGAGAACTATTGGAATAGTTAAGCTTCATTAAATAGATAGTAAAATAAGTAAAAGATAAGTAAAGGTAAGTAAAAGATAATGAGTAAATGGCAACATTGAGGACTAGAATAGAATCGAAATAGTAGAAAATTGTCCAGTACTGTATTTATCTAGCTGAATATTGTAACTCAAGATCTTTATAATAAATTTTAAAATCCTTACCCAACATTGTCATTGTTTTTCAGAACTAAATATTCCATGAATGCTTAGATTTAGCTTTAAGTAGTGAGCTTTAAAGAACTCCGGTTAAAAAGAAGCACGCCATTCACATATATAGTTGTTTTTAGAGCTAAATTTCAGCAATATAATCCTGAATTTCAGGAATCAAAGTGGGCACCGATTCTCCCGTTATTCCCGTTGATTCCCCGCGAGAAAGCGAACGATAAACGCACGTTTTTCCTCGTTTTCAACTCGCAGAACGGCGCTCAAATCTATGAATTGGCCGCACCAACCGCCACCGATCGAAAGACGTGAGTTTGTTGATGAAAAAAAGTTTCATCTAAGCTGATTAAGAACCAAATTGAGCTGAATTTCATAGCAATTAAACTCAAATTGGCTCTGAATCAGCTCCCCGATGAAACTTTTTCATCAAAAATTTAAACTGGCTAACTCTTTGTCGATTAGATCTCTTAATACCGAACAGGTTTTGTCTTTGAAATTCAAAAGAAAAGCTCTATCGTACTTTAAAATTCAAAAGCTACCATAAAATGAGCCCAAACCACTCAAAACTTCTACAAGATCGGCATTGAATGACCCCTTTAAAAGGCGAGATAATGGGTTGAAGAGGGTCCATCCCATGGGGAAATCTCCTTTCTCTTTAGATCTATTCTTTTCCATTCTTTCTCTTTTATTCTTCTTCTTTTCATATATCGATGAAACCGCGAAAAGACACACTAGTAGCTTTTCCCCTTAAAGCCGACACTTCAAATCAATGCGCCTTGAAATTTTCAACGACTTTCAATAGGATTCTTTCAGCAATCAAAAATCTTTTGGCAAAGCTCATTGTTAAATTTAACTGTAACTCTTGAATTTATTCATTCATTCAGTTGATAAATTCAATAATATTGGATAAAGTTGCATTCTTATCAGCTAAAACCACAAAGCTTCAAATTGGATTCAAACATAACTTGTAGAATTTGATTTTGATTGATTTTGATTGATCTTTCAAATGTTTAACAGACTTTTAAATCACCAATCCATTCATTTGAATCTTTCATTCCTCTTTCTTTATCTTTATCTTTATCTTTATCTTTATCTTTATCTTTATCTTTATCTTTATCTTCTGCCTCTTTGCCAATCTTTCAAAAACAGCAAGAACCTTTCTCGTCATTCTTTAAACAAAACTCTCACTTTTTTTCTTTACTTAATTAATGTTTTTGACAGCTTGGAAAATAGATCTTTTAACATCATAAATTCATTAGGCAAGCCTAAGCCTAAGCCTAAGCCTAAGCCTAAGCCTAAGCCTAAGCCTAAGCCTAAGCCTAAGCCTAAGCCTAAGCCTAAGCCTAAGCCTAAGCCTAAGCCTAAGCCTAAGCCTAAGCCTAAGCCTAAGCCTAAGCCTAAGCCTAAGCCTAAGCCTAAGCCAATTGAAACTATTAAACATCTTCAATGAACATTTTAAGATGGTATAAGTTGATTTGTGACCAAGTCGAGCAATCGAAGAAAGCGAATCGACAAGGATTATCGTGAGTTGAAAAGAATTTGTTTCCAGAAAGTTAATGAATTTGAATTTTTTTTAGTCCCTTCTTTGACGTGACCGCTGCCGGGAGCTACCAGGACGCGTCAAGTGATGGACAAATGGCAAAGGTTGGGGGTTTTTTAAAATGAAAATCTTGACTAATAACACAGGTGAATGTTCTCACTCATCCTCGTCTCGTTTCTGCAAAAGAGATCCGCATCGAACAGCCAACCATTTTGGAACACGCGAAACCGATTCTCACCCCAACCGAGAAACTCAAAAGAGCTGATCAACAAATCCTTGAGGCTTTAGCTGATAAGAATGCGATATTGGCTCAATTTCTGCCTGGAGATAAGGTAAATATTTGCTGATTTGCTGATACTCATCAATCTAAAAGTAATTCTTTCAAACATTTCAAATATTTCCAGAATGGACGCAAAGAGGAACTTGATAAGTTGGCTGATTTGTTGAGTGGACTTGCGGTGGTTGACTTGAAACAGAAAGATCCGAAAGAATTGGCAATGGCGGCGATTGTTCACGGGAATCGATTGCTCGATTCGATTAATCAAGGTTAAAACAAAGGAAATCAATATGTAGAACCGATTTTGGAACAGACTAAAATACAAACTGATTGTCTGATTCTAATCAATCAATTTCCAGGAATGGTGGCTCACAAAAGCGGTGATGATCCATCAGGTGCCCCAATTTTGACTTTGGACAATCAGGAGAGACATCTCGCATCAGTGCCTTGTTATAAATTGACCGCTATTGCAGCACCATTGATGAATCATTTAAAGGTTTGAGAACGGTTAAGTTTAACTAAAACTATATTGTTTTTTAGGCGATGATGGCATTGATTCAAGAGCAGCAAAATGAGATTCAGACACTCAAAAATCAAGTTCAACATTATAAGGTTTGATTTTAAATCTATTGAAATGAGAAAATAGTTGAAATACTTTAAGAAGAAGAAGAAGAAAAAAAGCTTAGAGTTCTGTGTCTCTTTGCAGTATAATGGGATAAAAATTCGGTTAACGGACATTTGAGACCGGCTCCTTCCCATTTGCCAATCTAACTTTGAGCTCAAATATCTTCGTATTGAGCTGTCCAATTTAAACATTCTTAGTTTCATTGGATGGATCAAGTCTTTTTCTATCGATTTATCCAAAAACTGTTTGAGTTGGACAGCTCAACACCAAGAAATTTGAGCTCAAAGTTGGATTGCCAATGGTAAAGGAGGCGGGGCGCGTATCAAATGTGCTACAATCTAAAAATTCTCGTGTCATCGCGGAATACCCTTTTTCAACAATGGTATAAAACTATAAGCTCAATGACTCAAGGCGATTAAAAAACTATCCCGATTTCCAGGACCTAGCCGATGGTGGTCACGGTTTATCGGTTTCCGAGGAGACTCTCACCGATGTGAGCTCGCTTCCTGTTGATCCGAATGATCGAATCTTGTTAACAAAACGTTTCCTACCCACAAATATCCCTCCACAACCACCACCACCAACCTCTTTACCACCAGCAACTTAAAAAAAACCTACATCACCTATTTTTTTGGTGTACTTTGTGTTTAGAAATGAAAACACTGGCCTTCTGATGCACTAAAACATAATAGTTATTGTTTTTTTATGCAGTTTAGGCTCGGATGCTCGGAACACACTCTTTTTAGTGCATTAACAAATAGAAAAGCACGTTTTTTGTGTACTTTGTACTCAGCAATTGGCACACACCACATCTAGTGCATTCAATTCTTGTTATTTTCTCTTACAATTGAAAACAGCACGCCAGAACCCGAATGTTTACACATTTCTAAGCTCAAAGTACTGTACTTAACCTCGAAATTTTACAAAACTTGTACAAAATTCTTGATTTATTCGATTTTCAATGGATTTTCCCCAATTTCATACGTGTACCTTGGCTCTGTACGTTTTCAGATGAAATTCCCAAATTCTCAAGTATTTTTTGTGTTTTTAATACAAAATCCCGAAAAAAAAGAGCTGTCACCGATTCGATCTCTCAAAAAAATCCTTTAATTTTCATCTTAATCAACATTTTTAGTACTTAAACATTGGTTTTTGCTTAATTTCTCTTTTCTTCTTCTTTTTTTTGTTGTTTTTGCTCATCAAATTCTTCCACCTAGTCAATTTCCCATAGAATTTTCTGGGGTAGGCTAATTTCCGTAATTTTTTTAACCCAACAGTGACCATTTGTGCAACTGGCTCGTTTGCGCCACTCGTTTGCGTTTTGCGTTTGCGCAACTAGCCATAACTTTCTTGTAAGTCGGCCAATCTTTATGGTTTTGGTTTCATTTTGTAGATCTCAATAATTGCAACAAAATGAAACCAAAACCATAAAGATTAGCCCACTTAGAAGAAAGTTATGGCGAGTTGTGCAAACGGAAACGCAAACGAGTTTTGCAAACGAGCCAGTTGCGCAAATGACCCTGTTGCGTAAAAAAATTGCGGAAATTAGCCTACCCCAATTTTCTTTCAGTTTCCCTTGTAATCTTTGTCTTTTTCATTTGTTTTTTAAACCCGGTTCCCTTCATCAAATTTCCCCAATGTTTAGGGTATTCTTTTGTGAAAATCAAAGCCACATTCCTTTGAATTTTCTAAAGAATCTCAATGTTTTCAATTTTTTTTCAATAAATATTATAGATTTGAATGAAAAAGAAACATTTTGATACTACAGTTAAGATAAAAGTATAAACTTTTATCTTAACTTTATGGCCCACTCATTTTCCCAAACAAATCAACGATGATTTTACTCATCACCATCGCCACCATTTCCCAGCACCAACATGATAAGAGTCTTGGTGATGCACTTGGACCCAGGCTGTAAAATTCAGATAAAATTTAGCGTAAGACTACGGTAGACAAGACTTTTGAAGGCATTCTTTCAAAAACTACTCTAAATATCGACACACAAAGCTAACAGAGCAAGAACAAAAAGAATTTGATTTTATAACAAAAAACTTCTTTTAAGCCTTTTATAAAGAAGAAGCAAATGAATTATCAAGTTATTTTATGGAGTTATGAAGCTAATTATAGCGGTTTACCTTTTGACAAAATGATCAGAAACTCGCTGTTTTGTTTTGTAAATATTTGCTTTTTAAAAGCATTTATTCGGAAATGTTCGAAGAATAAGCTACCGTAAATACTGTAATAGTACCCCACCCCCCTCGTACAGTCGCGTAGTCGCAAAAGTTTTTTAGTATTTCATTTTTTTCAAAGCGCCCGTACTTTTAAAAAAATGCGTCTTTGATATCAAAAAATAGCTGAAATTCAGGGCTATTTTTTGAAGCCAAAACGAACATTGTAGCATAAACCAGTGTCGAGAAAAACTCGTTCAAAGCTAGACTACGCAACTCTCCGCACCGTCATTATGGGGGTGGGGTACTATTACAGTATTTACGGTATTATTCCCTTTTATCCCCAAAAGCCCCTAAACTGATGCAATACTTGGGTGGCGGTTCATTAGTAAAACCCCAATTCCCGCAGAATACGGGTTGACAACTCTCCAACCCGAAATTCTAAAATACCTACCGTAAATACTGTAATAGTACCCCACCCCCATAATGACGGTGCGGAGTGTTGCGTAGTCTAGCTTTGAACGAGATTTTCTCGACACTGGTTTATGCTACAATGTTCGTTTTGGTTTCAAAAAAAGCCCTGAATTTCAGCTATTTTTTGATACCAAAGACGCATTTTTTTAAAAGTACGGGCGCTTTGAAAAAAATGAAATACTAAAAAACTTTTGCGACTACGCGACTGTACGAGGGGGGTGGGGTACTATTACAGTATTTACGGTAAGCTACCGTACTCAAGACACTATCTCTCTTTTCCCTTATAAAAGGAAATCCCATCCCTTCAAAATCCATTCTTTTAAAGATTCGTTGCCCGGTTCGGCCCTGTCTTTTTCGCGTGTATGTTCCCCTTTCTCTATCTCTATCATGTTCGATTCAGAATTTGGATTTTTGGAAATACGTTGTTCATTGATTACAAAAGGACAATATTTTAGGTCTTCTACAAGATTGTTGTTGCACAAAGGACAGTGATTGTCACAATCACTGTCCTTTGTGCAAGCATTGATAAACAAAACCTTTGAAACAATCAATCAAGAACTTAGCTCTAGATTTAGTTTAGAAAAAGTCAAAGATAAAATGCTTGAGTAGACAGTTTTCTGTTAGAAATCTGTGCAAAAATCTTTCCGAACATCAGCAATGCAAAAAGAACAAGGATAAAGAACTTTATTTTTCAAAAAATGAAACAGTTTGCTTTATTTTGTATTTTCTGTGCAAAATAAAAACGTTTTACGGTTTATTTCAAATGAAATATGGGAAGATTTCACATAATAGATTGAAGATTGAATAGATTGAAGGTTGAAGAGGTTGAAGGGTAATAGATTGAAGAAAATGAAAGACTACAGCTAAAAGCAAGGAAAAACCCAAAAAAAAGAGGAATTGACAGTAGAAAAGCGCGGTTTTTAATGAAAATTGATGAAAAATGTGTAAAAATCAAAGTATCCATTCACAGACAAGAAACTACTGTAACTAGAGCTGATTTCTAAAGCAATTCGTTTGCTAAATGGTTAATGATTTGAAAAACTCTCGTGATCTTCATTCACAATAGAAAACGCAATACTTACAGTAGTTATCTGTCGAAAAAGGATTACGGTAGCTGATTGAGTCTTTAATAAGAAGCTCTTCTCAATTCCCTTTCCTCATCATGATGATCATCGTGATTTCCATTATTGTTTCCATTTTGTTGATGAGTTTGATTTTACTTTCTAGCACAGATTTTCTACATTTTGTATTTTGTGTGCAAAATAAAAACGTTTTACTGTTTATTTCAAAACAAATATGGGAAAGTTTTACATAATAGATTGAAGAAAATGAAAGACTACAGCTAAAAGCAAGGAAAAACCAAAAAAAAAGAGGAATTGACAGTAGAAAAGCATGGTTTTTTAATGGTTAATGATTTGGAAAACTCTCGTGATCTTCATTTAAAGTAGAAAACAGTTTACAGTTTACAGTAGAATACTTACAGTAGTTATCTGTCGAAAAAGGATTACGGTAGCTGATTGAGTGTTTAATATGAAGCTCTTCTCAATTCCCTTTCCTCATCATGATGATCATCGTGATTTCCATTATTGTTTCCATTTTGTTGATGAGTATGATACGATGTGGCGTAGTCTCTGTAAAAAAAATAAGATATTTTGCGATTTCCAAACTTTCTCTCTCAATCTAAAATGGTTTATTATTCTTGAAAACGGATATACAAAGATATATGCTTAAAAATCGTGCTAAAAGGATAAAGATTTGGAGGTAAAACCACACAAAACACCAAGGTTTCAGCTCATTTTTGGGATTGAAGTGAATAAATTGGTTCTAGAGATGAAACTGGTAGATACTCTGAACTCTTGCAAACGTTTATTGTCTGGTGCACTGTATTCTGAGATGTTTTATGTGTTTGTTCTTGTAAATACACGCCTTCTGGCACACCATTCTACTTAAATGATCGGTGTTTAGTGCGCTAGAAAGTTATGAACACAAAGAATAAACTAAAAAAAACTCAGTGATTCAATTTACCAGACAATCAACTTTTGCAAGAGCACAAAGCATAAATCAGCTGCTTAATTTCCATTCAACTTTACAGTAAGTTAAATTTCATCAAATTTCTAGCTATATAGTCTTAAAAACTTGAAAAAATCGGGTCAATTTTCTTTTCCAAATGATTTTCTTCTATGCCCATAGCCTGGGATTTGTCCATGATCCCCTAAAAAATGACGTTGAAACTCAGGGAAATATCAAAAACAAAACAAAAACGGTGAAGAATTTTTGGCTCACAATTCGGTATTTCTGACGTCTCTTGGAAGTGCTTTGTCTCCAGTGGCTCGTGAACGATTTGTCGCCGCCTCGACCGCGTCGATCAGAATCCCCTTCAAATTACCGCTCTCCAACTTGTGCATTCCGTAAATCGATGAACCGCCCGGCGATTGCACGTCGTCCTAGAAAAAAAGGAATTTGCATAAAATAAGTCAAGTATCAAGTTGTTATTCATTGCTTTTTTTAGCAATAAATCTTTTCTTTTAATGTAATATACTTTGAAGATGATCAAGACTTGAAGCTGACCGAATACAGGGTGCGTCATAATTATTGCAACAAGAGTTCAAAGACCGTTTTCCAAACAGCTTTCTTATTTTTTTTGCCCCCTTTTTTGTTGTGTTGCGTTCGATCTTCTTTATTCTTGCCCAATTGCCTCCCGCTCACACAAAGAAGACGGTTCAGGACTGGTGTGTGGCCAACTTTCCCTCAGTGATCACCAAGGATGAATGGCCTCCAAACTCACCGGATCTCAATGTGATGGACTTTTCCATTTGGGCAATCTTAGAGGCTAATGTCTGCTCTCTGACCTTGAAGAAGTCTTTGACCAAAGGATGGAAGGCGACTCCTCAAGATGACATTCGGGCCGCAGTGGAGGCATATCCCCGAACCGATTAAGGGCTTTTATCAAGGCAAAAGGCGGTCATGTCGAATGATCTCTTGTTTCCTTATTTGTTACTGTTAAATAAAGCTATTTCTGTTTAAAAATCTTCTTCCAGTGAAACTTCTTGGTGTGCAATGTCTTGAGTATCTTGTTGCAATAATTATGACGCACCCTGTAGACTTCTTTGAACAACTTTAACTTATTCATAATAAACATTTTGTTAAACCTTTTTATACCTTCAAAATCTTTGAAAAAGCTACCTTCAATTGAGCTGGATGAATGCCAGTCTCGAGAACCATCTTCGCTGCTCCAAGCAAAGTGTGAGCGGCAAGTTTTATCGCGAGATCTCGAGGAAGACCCACTTTCACTCCACCATCGGCTAAACCCTCGATAGCGGAGAACATCTGAAAAATAGCTATGAAAACAAAGATCTTCTGGGTTTATTTGATCTATTTACACTTACATAAGATGGTCCAGATCCAGAAAGACCGGTGACTGGATCAATCCACGCTTCCGGCACCTCAACGGCAAACCCGACTGTGGAAAGGAGCTCTCGGACTGAAATTCGAAGATTTTGATGGTATTTGAGTCTCTTTGATGTTTGAAATAAGAATAAATCAATCTTTTCACTCACCAACATCTGAATCTCCGTCTCTACAAGCGGATCCCATCGCGAAACCCGATGCCCCAGCCCGAACAACCGATGGAGTATTGGGCATAACGCGGACAACGCGAGATTTTGAGGGAAGAAGCTGAAATTGGGAATAATTTAATGAATTGGTAATAAATCGTACTAATTTTCTCACCGCTTCCATATTTCGAATGGTGATCCCCATAGCGATTGAGACGAGGAGATGATTTCGGCTGACCGATGGAGCTATCTCTGACGTCACCTGAAAGGTTTAAAAGTTGTTCTAATGTAAAAAAAGGTTCATAGCTCTTAACTGATAGTATATTATGAAATCTAGCACTTGAAGAACTAGTTGATGTAAATAAATTTATAGTAAGATTTTTCAAATTTAAATCTAACTCTTGTCAAACCTTACCTTTGGCACGTGAATCGGTTTGACCGCCAAAAAAACGACATCACTTTTGTGAACAACTTCTGTATTTTCGTGTGTTGTGTGTAAGCCCATTGACTAAAAAAAATGGACTTAAACTTTTTCATAAAGCTTTCTTTTTTATATCCTTTTTACAGCTACCGTATTTTCTCTAATAGTAGTGCACCCTGAACGTCGCCTAAATTGCTCGAAATCTCGAGAAGCGCTTATCAGAACCTATCGATGTGGGGTCGGAAAATGTAGCTGACGATGAGATCTAGTGGGGGATTTGAGTGTTGAGCTTTTGCAAAAGCCTGGAAACCCTAAAATAGTCACCAACTCGGCTCACTGGGGTGCACTACTATCAGAGAAAATACGGTATATAAGAAATGCCTTCAGATTGGAGATTGGCGACCTGTTTGCTTTTGTTCTTTCGGTATCTATTCTTTGCTTTGTTAAGCCTAATTCAAAACTGTTTACCGATTCTTATTTGCTTGTTTTCTGAAAATTTTTGGTTTCAATGAAACGATTTCTCTATTTTCTTAAAAACAAATACCCGTTAACGTACTTTGCACTGATCCAAAAAGGGGACATCTTTCTTTGGAGAGCTGGCAATGATGTTCTCGGGAGCGATTCGACCTGGAGAATGAATAAAATTGACTTTGGCTATAAGAAATTGACTAAAAACCTTTTTAATCTTTAGTAAAAATAGAATTTGATAGTTTATTAGACAGGAATTGACTAGTACTAGATTAGTGATCGGCAAATCTTTAGCTTCAACAATCACTAAAGTTATTTTGTTTCATTTTGATTTTGATGATTTCATTTTGATTCTTTTTTTGAACAATTCATCGAAATTGTTTCGTTGATAGGATTTAAATGTACAGTACTGGACGATCAAATATCTTTACTTTAAAGAATTGAGAAAATAAGTCTAGCTTATCGTTGAAACAAGAAAATTTGATATTAAGAACAAAAGATTACAAAAATGATCTAAATTCTATAAAGCTGTTCAAGCTTTCAAGCATTCTCAAGCCTACAAAGCTGTTCACATTTAATAATAATTCATTTTTGAAGAGATTTAAGCTAGATTTATTCTAATTTATTAAATTAATCAGCACAAATATTAGGTACAGTACTGAACAATGAAATATCATATTTGAAAACGATCGTCACTTTCGAAGGTTTGTCAAGAGTTAAAGAAGTAACTACAGTACTGGGCAATGAAATTGACAAATAACTACAGTACTGGACATATTTGAAAAACGATCGTCACTTTCGCGCGTCTGTAACTCCCTTGTCTTTGAGTTTAAACTATTAGTGTTATACATTTTCTGAAAGCTCTTTTCAACGGCTACACAATGGTAATATTAATATTTAGAAATACGGTAAAGACAAGGGAGTTACAGACGTGCGAAAGCGCGAAAGAGTTTTTTCAAATATCATATTTCATTGTCCAGTAGTGTACAAAGATGTACGTTTTCCTAAAATTTTCATCTTCAACCCACCCGAATTGATCAATCCTCTCGCCAAAGCTTGAGCCATTTTCCCTGCACCAATAAAACCGATCTTCATGACTTTCTCGCTTGCTTCCACTACGGCCATTTAATGTCAAAACTTAAAATATAAGATATAAGATATTCAATGATAGTTGTGAAATAAAAAGCTGAAAGCAGAAATTGAAAGGAAAATGACCTTGAATCCAAGAAAAAATGTGGAAAAAGTTCAAGAAATGATAAGCAAAACGATTGTCTGGGCAGAAGAAGAAAGTTCGACTGGAACTATGCAACGAAATCATTTGCTATATAAAATCTTCACTTGTATAAAATTTATCTAGATTAAAAAGCTCAAAAAGCTTTAAAGTCTTTGAAATTCAAGCTGTTATAGAATTAAAAATAATAGAAAAGATTTGATACAACAAAGTTTTAATTCAAATCTTTACTGAATTTATACTTTTACAATGATTTTTAATTCAAAAGAATCTAAAAAAGCTTAATTTAATAAGAATTATGATTCTTTAATAAAACAAATCCATCTATATACTCAAATCACAATGAATAATGAAATGTAAACAATTCCCTTGAATAATAATTGCTTGAATCATGCCAATTCAATCAGATCGACTCGATTAATGAAGAAAAGAGCTTTTTGAATAGTCACATTGTGCAATTGCCTTTTTTTCATCGACAAATCGTAGAGGAAAACTTGAATGAAAAAGAGAAATGGACTGGATTGATGGCTATCATTTGATTGAGGGATTGCAGTGAGTTTTGAATGAAAATACCCGCAAATAGAAAGGACGGATTTCCTCGATTTTGTTTCACCATAATTATATAAATACTTTATTGGCAAAACAGATAGGATAAGCGTACAGATAAAAGTGTTGAGGCGTTTAGGCTTGACACTGGTGTCAAGATTGGTGTCAAGATTCTAACTTATCTTGTCCTTGTCTTTCCTATTTCTTCTTGGGCAAAGTAGTCGCCGATAGCTGAGTGGTAGAGCTCGGAATATATATATATATATTGGGTCGTCACAAAGTAGAGAAACTGTAATATGCTAGCGTTTCTGGCGTCGCTGTGCGCCGCGATTGAAATCACTAGCGGCTAGCCGATGGTTTCAATCACTAGCGGCTAGCCGATGGTGATTCAATCACGAGCGGCTGCGACATATATATAAACACTTTATTTAGAAAGAAATAAAGTGCGAAAACGACATGAAAAATGTAGCAGATAAAAGATGACAAAGTCACTTAAAATGCAACGAAGTAGCCCTTTTAAAATCACGGTGGAGATCAAACGCAACTTGTTGGGAAAAGCATTTCAAACTTCAATCAAATCAGCAAAATTAGTTATAAACAAAAAGAAGCTTATGTTAAGTAAATGTTTAACAATAAGTTTTTGTTTTTGAAAGTTTATAGAGTAAATTGTAGCATAAAATAGTAACAAAAGGCTAAAATTGCTGATCTATCTAATCAATACGATTTTTATTAATTGTAGATTTAAAGATATTGTCATTATCATGCTAAATGCCATATTTTTCAACTCATTAGTACTTAAAGCTAGATTTTTAAAATGTTTTTAACATCATTAAGCTAAAATTAGGTAATTTTTACACTTTTGTGAAGACTAAAACCTAAAAATGCTTTTGAAAAATATCTTGAAACACTTTAAGATCTCAAAGCGTTAAAAAATCTGCTCAAATCGGGGAAAAAGATCGCTCAGATTAATGAAATAAGCAACTACTATAAATAGTTGATTGAATTACTGAAAAAAAAAGTGGAAACAAACAAGCCAATCCGAAATTAGAACACTTTCAAGTAAAGGATGAAAAAGAAATGCTGAGTTGAATGAAAGGGGAACTCCTTGACCACAATCAAACAATTTCTCCCCTCTTTTGCCTATTTCCCCTCAATTTTTCTGATCTCTTTCATTTCTGTTATCAATATTGCCCCCTTTTTTTTCTTTTCTTTCCAATTTCAAAGACAAGTCCTTGTTTTGTGATATCAATCCGTGCTGACCATATGATATGACACAAATTAGTGCTAAGGATTGACCCTTTGAACTCTTATATTAAGAAGATCTCTAGTTTTATTATATTTACAAAGAAACCTTTTCAAGCTGAATTATTTACCCAATCGGTAACCCTATTGGCTAAACAATTCACCGTAAAATTTATCATAAATTATCATTTGACGTTTACTGTGAAAGCATCGAATTGGGATAGGTTCCTTGATTTTGCCAAAAGCATCGAAGCGTATACCGTTCAATTTTCAGAAACCTGATCGCTCCCAGTAATCTTTTTTTTTTCAAATTTTTTTTTTTTTTAAATTTTTTTGGGGTTTTTTGTGGGTGGTTTTTTGGTTTGGGGGGTTTTTTTTAATTTTGGTTTTTTTAAAAAAAAATAAATAAAAAAAAAAAAAATAAATTTATTTATAATTTTTTTTTTTTTTTTTTTTTTTTTTTTTTTTTTTTTTTTTTTTTTTTTTTTTTTTTTTTTTTGGGGGGGTTGGTTTTTGTGGTGGGGGGGGGGGGGGGGGTTTTGTTTTTGGGGTTTGGTTTTTATTATTTATTTTTTTATTTTTTTTAGGGAAACCCAAAAACAAAAGGGGGAAAAAGAGTTAAAGCCAGGCTAGCCATGGCTTCTAGCAAACTGAATACCTGTGCAGCCAATCGCCATTCTCTTTGAAGATCTCTAGCTTTTTGCTGGCTTTGATGTGCCTTCTCATTATGAAAAGAACAAAAACGTCGATGCAACAGTATCAACACGAATATATCGAATAGACTCGTCAATGACATGAAAACAAGCCCGGGCTGGTAAAAAACAACCGGAAACATGATGCCGACCTCGATCAAATTATCAGAGAGATCACCATTCTCAAGCTCAGAATCAACAGTAGAATTTGAGAAAAATTACAGTCATTGTTGTGATTTTAAAACTAAAAAAACACTCATTTTCCTCAATCTACTTTGAACGAATTGTATCCGATGGGAAAAGTGCGATTTTGTTCTCGTATTTCCTTGTGTTGTTGAAACTTTTGAGTATTGGAAAGGAGTTTTCGGGGAAATTTTGAAGAAACAAGAAAAAGGCTTAAGTAAATAACTATAAAATTCTAAAAATCTTATTGAAAGCTGATTTTTTTACTTAAATTTTTAGTTCCAATGCTATTAGTTGCCTTAAATTGTGTGCCAGTTGAAAAACTTTACATTTTATTGAAAGAATAATCACAAAAATCTATTCTTGAAATGAATTCTCCAAAGTTGAAATGATTATCCCAAGGTGCTGAACTGAAATTCGTCGTGATCGATCATTGGAGACGATTTCTTTTCGTTCTTCTCGTTCTTCTCACCTTAAAATTCTTTCATATAATTAACGGCTTTGTCATCAAAACCCTTTATATATTTCTGAAAGCACGTTAATAAAATGAAACACAGAAAATCGATTCCCCAAGTCAATTTCAATCACATACGATGCTTATCGTGATGGATTCTCGATCGCGTTGTTGTCTCCGGTTCTTCATCAGTCTCCTCCTCATCCAGCTCCTCATTCGGTGGTGACCACGGCTTGCACAACCAATCACCCAACACGAAACCCGGACGATCGTATCTAGAAAGTATCTCTAGCTTTAGTTTCTTAATCTTGATCAGGACTGTTCCAAAAACCCAAAAGCCAAGGGACCAAGGGCCAAGCTAAAATTCAATAATTGGCTTGGCTTTGGCTTGTCTTGGTCTAGTAAATCGGTCCTAGAAACAGCCTTGATCTTGATCCAAGTACGGTTCAGCAAACAGGCAACGAAACTAGTTCTTAAGTTTGAACTGAACCCAAAAACATTCTAAAGCTTGTTTATGTGCTTTGAATGAATTTCACTCACTATCAGGATAATGCATGAAATAAGTTTTGCCCGCAAACAATGCACAAAAGTCAGTCTGAACTGAACATATCATATCTGAAGTTGAGTTTGTTCCTGTTAGAACCAGACTCTATGTGTAAAAGTTCTTAGGATGCATTCATGAAGACTTCTTGTTTTGAAAGGTTTCTCTCACCTATCCAAAAGGAGCAACGTATTCTCATCCCAGAGTGGCGTGAAGACGAGATGGGTCGTGTCCGTGCAGTTTCGGCTCTCTTCACTCTCGGGCCAAACGGCGCGTGTCATCAAGCCCATCTAAATAAATCTACTATATATAAAAAAGCAGTGTCTGTCCGTCAAAAAGCATTTTCTTGGGTGTGTTTTGAGCAATAAAGCTAAAACTTCTTTAGAAAACCTTAGAATATATTGTAGTTGTGGCATTTAAAATAAAAAAATCAAAAAGTCAAGATTGAGTGGCACTACGAGGGATCGAACCCGGGTTGTGTGGGCCGTAGAGAAGCGCCGCTAGAGAAGCGCCGTAGAGAAGCGCGCTCCTGACCAGAGAAGCGCCGCGAAGCGCCGTAGGAAGCGCCGTAGAGAAGCGCCGTAGAGAAGCGCCTGACTAGAGAAGCGCCGTAGAGAAGCGCGCTCTTGACTAGAGAAGCGCCGTAGAGAAGCGCGCTCTTGACTTGAGAAGCGCCGTAGAGAAGTGCGCTAAAAGCGCGCTTGACTGCACTAAAAGCTTTGCGTCATCCTGCCAGAAAAACCCGATTTTAGGGTTTTTCGGCTGGGATTTTGCTCTTCATTCCGCTGATTCTCATTTTTGGTTATCAATTTCCGTTATAAACCTCACCTGCATGTAATGATTGACTCCTTTGGCCATGCACTCGACTGGCATTCCCGTGTCACCCTAAAACGTTGTTTTGCAATAAGATTAGATATCTATAGATGATTCTCATTTCCTCAACCCTCACCAAGCAGGCAGTTCGATTGCCACTCACTTCCACCAAAATCATTTGCCCGTCGTTTCTTGGGAAATCGTCAATATCGAAATGGAGAACCTTACGATTAGCGGCAAAATCATTGGCTGAATTTATCATTTTTACAAAACCTAAGAAATCTTTATTAAATCAAAACCAAGGCAGCGGATTAAAAGGATTTTCGAGCACTCACTGTTCGAATCGAATCCAATAACTCGACAATTTGCGAGATACTCGGGATAGTCATCAATTTTCGCGCCACGGAAGAGTGAAGGACGGAATGGGAGGAAACCGAGTCGATTGGACACTTCTGGCAAATCCTTGATCTCCTCTGACTTCTTGAGCTTTTGCTCATCCTTTGGACACAACTGGAAACTTTGAAATTCTATTTATAGCTCTAAAAAAACTTGAACTACCTCTTGCATAGGAAGAGGCGACATTTGAATGACAGCCTTGTCCCCAAGCACTTCCAAAAGTGTTCCCAGTCGCTTCTTTGTGATCAATTCGGGAGATTTGCGACCACTCTTTATCCACGGGAGAATCACCACGAACTCATCAAGTTCCCTGAAAAAGTTGGCTTTTAAAGAACCCTTTCTACAGTAATGTTCTTTTTATCTATTGTAACATTTTCTATGTTTAACTCACGTTCCACCACGCATCACGCAGTTCCTTGTGGTGAGGACGAGGGAATTCGTGACGAGGAGACCGGTACAACCACGTGTTTTCCCACCAGTCGTCTTGTCACGAGCCAACACCTGAAAACTTGATGTCAAGGTGAGAATTGGATAACATTGATTATCCAATTCTCACCTTGACAAGATACCCATGTTGATGCCATTTAGCTGCTTCTCCATCCAAAATTCCGTCAACAACGAAATGAGAGATGAAACAAAGGAAAATGAAGAGACTTCTCATCTGAAAAAGGAAAAAATTCAAGTTTAGATGAAGTTTAATTCTTTAGAAAAGAATCTAATCAAAGTCTGATTTTTTAAACGTTTTAATGATCGTTTTGCCAACTAGGGTTGCGTTGAAGAATGTACATATGATTCATAAGAATGTACAATGTACAATCTTCTAGTACATATTGAAATCATTGTTAAATATGAAATTTGAAAGTTATGAATGAATAAGAAATTGAAAATCTTTTAAAAACCGATTTGTCTGTGAAGGAAGATTTCGAGAATTTCCATTAAATCTTTCCGATATCGGGGAGATCAAATCAAAACATGGCCGGGGAAGATTTCGAGATAGAAACAATGCGTTTGATCTCAAGAATTTCAATGTTTAAAGTGCTTGAAAGGGTTGATTCATTCAATCTGTTAATATTGAATGAAAAGATTTATTGAAATTGTGAACTTAACAGATTTTTGATTCTAGATTTGAGCCTAAATTCTCTCTGAATACTAGTTTAAAAGGGAATATATGCAAATTTTATAGAATTTATGCAATTTTTCCATTATATTGTACTGTTTTTGTCTTTAAATTTCAAACAAAACGTGGCAATTTATCGACCCGTACAAAAAAATCAATGAAAAAAAAGTGAAAACATCGATTCATAGCACTCAAACGGATTCCCTTGTCCAGAATTTTGTCTGCAACATTCGGAAATAGATATCGTTCTCTTGTTGAGTTGTGTAATTCAATTGCAATCCGTCAACGTTAAAAATTTGCACCAATCCAGGTTTAAGCGGCGGATCTTTCTCACGTAGGGGAAGAAAACGATAAAGTTCGGCTTTGAGCACGGGATGTCTCAACAAAACGATGAGCATTGTACCAGAGACCTGTAATAGAATAGCAATTAGATCATTGATTAGTTTGGTTTAGAGAATCACCTAAGTTTTTTAGCCTAAACTCTGGCAAAGGAGATTTTTGCTGAACTACTTTTCATTGGAGTCTCATGACTTAATTGGTGAGATGAACCTCACCAGTTAAGGCATTGTTTTGACTTTTTTGACTAGCTTTTAATACTAATAGCAAGTCTACGATGATAAGCACAATACTAGAACCAAAGTTCCCTGAATACTTTATTTGGTTGATTGAAAGCTCAAACAAATAAAGCGGTAGAAGTTGATTTGTTTTTAGCCTAACTTGAGCCTAAAAAACCTGGGATAGACCTAGGATAATCTGTTTAAAACCTAAAAATGAAATGTAGAACAGTCAGGTTTCATCTCTAGCATGTGTTTTTTGATTAGATAATTGCGTTGATTGCTATAGGTGTAAGAAATATTCGGTTGGTGAATTGAAAACTGCGGGCTATTGTCATATGTGACAGTTTGAGCACTTTCTTCAAAAGAAACCCATTTTGGTGTCAATGGAAAAGTTGTAGAGAATCAAAAATTAGGCTTATAGCCAAATTTCCAAAAAGATACACTTAGTAGTTTCGCTTAAAATGAAAGTTTTATGAAAATTCGTAAATTTGGCATTTCTTGAAAACCAGTTTTTGAATCGTTCTGAAAATTTGGATATAAGCTTGATTTTTGATTCTCTACAACTTTTCCATTGACACCAAAATGGGTTTCTTTTGAAGAAAGTGCTCAAACTGTGACGTATGGCAATAGCCCGCAGCTTTCAATTCACCAACCCAATATATTTATACTTTGATCTTTATAATTTCTTGTGAGACTGTGTCTCGGCGTGGTTCAATGGTAGATGTCTTGAAAACGCACAATTTACCAAAACTCTCCCTTATTAGGGCAAATTTCGTTCAAACTGGAGCAACACTATTACAATTACTTAAACGCTTGCGTGTGAAAAAGGAGCACACAACTGACTCAAGACAAAGCTTAAATAATGGGTTTTTAAGTACACAAGCTACGACAAACGGATAACTGAATATCGTCTAGTGGCTGATTACGGTAATTTCTCTATTAACTTTGAATTTTAACTTGTGTATTGAATTTTGACTAACTGCAGAGCAGTGGCAATTCGCCACAGTAGTAAAGGAAAGAATAACTCATCCAATGTCAGAAAATCTCCAAGAACATTGTACCATGAACTTACAAATTACGTTATCAATTTCAAACTTTCTATACCCGATTGTATCATAGTTCAAAATAGTAGAAAAACCATTAATTATGACCTTTTGAAGGAGTTTAGCACATTTATCTCAAATTGGAAGCGCATAGTCTCTCAAATTTTCTTTATAATTAAACCAATTTATTTGAAAATTTGCTATGGAAACCCCAGAAAGTACATTGTTTTTTTAAGCAGTTTTGCAAAGTGAAAGTACAAGAAGCTATTGAAACTCCGAATTTGCTGTTTCTGCTCAAGTTCTATCCATCAATTAGAGCTAATTAACTTCAAAATTATCCCGTTTTCTTGTCTAGAGATTTCCATGACAAATAAATAATAGTCTTGACGTTTTATTTAAATATCCTCACCTGTGCCCCAATCAATATCATATAAAGATTCCAGTAAAGCTCGAGTTTCTCCAAAACAGTCGTCATTAAAATAAAGAGAATCAACAAGAGCACTTCACAAGCGCAATAATAAGGAATCAAAAGTTTGAGGACCTAAAAATAACTAAATTAACCTAAATTAACTTTAAGAGCAAATAGAAAGGTAAACTGAAGCTGAGAAATCGGTTTAAATCTCAGTATTGGTTCAGTAGTGATAAAAAAAAAGTTAGATTTAATTGATTTGAAAGATTTTCAGTTAACTTATACATTTTGCTTTCTAAGTTTAAAGACTAGAGAGTAGTTTTTCTCATTTGCTGTCTTTTTCAGTCTTTTTCAGTCATTTCCAATCTTCACTTACCCTAACTATCCGCAAATTCTCCGTAGTCTGATATCTTTTCGAAACACCGGCAAAATTCGCGGCACTTTTGCTATAGTGTCGTCTTGCTAATGGGTTCACAACAAAAAACATCTGAAGTTCAGCTGATGAATAGATGAATAGATGAATAGATGAATATTTATATCCAAATCAATAACAAATCTTTTCCTAAGAAGCTAAGCAAATGCTCTTGATCACTCACCAAAACCGCTGAACTCAACGCAACAATGATAATCCCAACACTCAAATAGTTTGAAATAACAGCTGAATAGGCTAATGGAACCGTGGAAATGCCTAGAGCAATCTAAAATTTACAGGCTTCATATTTCGCAAGTTTTCTTTATAAACCTGTAATGTAATGAGAAATAGAGATAAAATTGGCCATCCTCGGCAAATATTTTCATATTGATCCACATAAAATGTTGATATTAAACGTTCAATCGCTAATGACATCAAAGTGTAAGAAGAGACGCTAAGTCCTGAATTTAAATCACTTCTTTGCTGTTTTGAAATGTCTAATCTTTAAGAAAATTGAGGAAATCTCAAACTACAGGCTCTACAGGTAGATGAATTGAAAAAATTGGCTTTTTACAGCTCTACATGTAGATGAATTGAAGAGATTTTAGGCTATAAGCCTAAAAGTAGTATAGTTCTGTTTAGAAATGGGGAAATTCCAATCCGAACCTAATTCTGTCTTCGTTTTCTTCACTGATTGCTTTGAAATTTTGTCTACGGATAAAAATCGAGATTTTCAGCTTGTAAACAAAATTTCAGAGTAATCGGCGAAGAAACGGCCGAACAACAAAGATTAGGTTCGGTAATTAGGTTCGGATTCGAATTTTCCCATGTTTAGTACAGCCCGTTGACTTAATTGAGCTGAGAATGCGTACTGTGAAAGCTGTCTCAGCAATGGATCGACTTGATTGAGAAATTCTTGAGCTAAACCCTGTCTTGTACTCACCCGTATCAGAAATCGAATATGACATCAATGTGAATGCATTCCCATAATTGAATCCATTTGATTGTAAGATGATTTTGTTGAGAAATTTGATTAACAATGAGGTGACGCTTGGAAAACCGGGAAGCGCGATGAGGATCATGAGGAGATTTGCGTGAAAAACCTAAATAAAACATTGCGCTTTATTTTGAAGCATTCAACTCACCCTTTTCCTCAATAGAATTATTGTATAAATGATTAGAAAGATGAAGCAAAAAAGATCCGAAAGACACTCAATCATTTGAGCTAACGTTAATTGTTTGCATTGTGAAGTGCAGAATAGAATTGATATCAGTGATGTCATCTAGCTAAAGAATGTTTATCAATTTAAAAATTCAATTAAATGAAAAAAACAAATGTGTTTTGTAGTGTTTTACAATAAAAACTCTAGAAATTCCTTGCTAAATAGCTAAGAAAAAGTAAATTGTCAAGAAATAGCAAAAAGAAAAGCGTTTATGACGTTGTAAAGAGATAAATTGCTTTATCTCATGAAGCAAGAGTGCATTGAAGTTCAAGAAAGAAGTTAAAGAAATGTTTTCAAAAATTTGTTTACTTAAGAAAGGCTTAAGATTCTAGCTTTGAGTCAAAATATTCTAGCCACAAAAGAATTTTGAAACGATTCTTGCTTGTGAGGATGCCAAAGAAAGACCAAGGGCGGTGATAATACGGGATCTCGGTATCATTCTCAACACTGTAAACTAACTGACTTCAAATTTTATGAGCAGAAGATGCAGAAGAAGATGATCCTGATCCACAATGTCTCCTTGTGGATCGTTCGGCTTGGGTTCTTGGATGCAGTCAGTTTTTCTAGCTGGTGCTATTTGGCTATTCCTAAAACTAAGTCATCCCCGATGATAGAGTTTAGAATAGAACTGCAATTTTGGAAATGAAATCTTTACGTAAAGCTGCCTAAATTCTAGCTTTTAGTCCAAAAAAAACACAAATTTCTCTTGGAAGTTTCTGTTTGAAACAAGAAAAAAACAAACTGAAAATTACTGTAATTAAAAATACTCAAAGAAAAATATTTTTAATTTTTACCGAATTTTGAAACAAATTGAAATGTTCAAATCTTAATTAAAACAAAAAAAAAAAAAAAGTTTCATCAAACAACACAAATTTCAAGTTTAAATTTCATCCGAATGAAAAGATTGAATAATTTGTCTACAACTTTTTCCTCTTTTTCATTATTTACAAATTTTTGTTAACAACACAGATCTTGGAGATCTTGGAGATCATGAACTCTAATCAAAGTTCGTTAATGATAAAGAAAAATGAAACAATTAAAGAAATTAGGACAGTTTTCAAACATTCTGATCAATTTACTGATCAAAAAGAGACCAATCGGAAGAAGCATCAATATGGAGGGAGATCTAAGACCAGAAATCGCCAGAAGAAGACGAGCGGCCTGGACAGCACTAGGAAGCATCAAAGAAGTCACAAAGATACTCAAGAATCATCAGAGAACTCGGGCACACCTCTTCGACAGCACTGTCCTCCCGGCACTCTGCTATGGGACAGAGACCTGGGCCACGACATAGACCGCTGAACGAGCCCTGAGAACGACGAATCGAGCCCTTGAAAGGAACCCCCTCGGGTACAATAGGAAGACGCAGCTCGACCAAGACCTAAGAAGTACGGATATGCGCCAGCTCTCGGGACTCAGAGATCCAGTGGAAGTGATTGAGAGAAAAAGACTCAGATGGGCCGGCCACGTAGCCCGAAGAACAGACGACAGATGGACGATACGGATCACAGAGTGGCTACCACGAGACCAGAAGAGGCCCATCGGAAGACCAGCAACGAGGTGCAGCACAAGAGTGGCAGAGACGGTCAGAGAAAGGATGGCTAGAGTGCAACCACCATCAGCACCAGCAAGTCGAAGACTTCGAACCAGGAACAATCAAACTAGGAAACACTGGATGACAATAGCAAGGGATAGAGAAATGTGGAAGCAGGTTGTTATCTGCGCAAATAGGAACACCTAAGTGCGAAAACAAATCAAAAAAAAGAGACCAATTCTAAAGCCAAAACTTCAAAATTCCAAAAATTTTAGCAATTTCTAGATTCTTCTGAAATTTTTGTAAAGTAGGTTCCTCGTTTTTTGCCAAAAATCGGAAATGAAAGTTTTGAAGGAAAAAAGATTAGCATTTGAAAACCCAAGGGAAAGTTTTGAATTTATTTTTACATAACCTTTCTTTCTCGTTATTTTGTATCAAAATAATGAATTATTTAAATAAATGTAAAATTTTGAACCAAATGATAACTAAATTGATTTAAAAGATGCAAACGCGACAAATTCTTGAAGATTCTGCTTTAGTTACCCAATCAAAACTGTGACCAAGATTGAATTCTTTCAGTTTTAGATTAAATGATCGATTTGCTACCGTATTGAGGAATGAAAACGCTAGCCGTTTGGTGCACTTGTTAGCGTTTTAAAGGCGCTGTTTTAATTACTCAATCAAAAGCTAGCAAAAAAGACATTTTGATTCTACCCATTCATCCATTTTTTATCAGAATACAGATTAGATTCTTGAAATTTTCTGGGAAATTGCTATCTTTAGGCTGTGCCGAACTCACCTCGTACTTCATCCTAATCCCTTCCTTTCACAACTCACTGAAACATAGATCAAATGTGCCAGAAAAGTGACAGTTTGTGCACAAAGCATACAGTTATCCATACTCAAGTTCAACTTCTCTTACTTACTCCATTACTTTAACCAAAGATTCCTTAGCTACCCAATCAAAACCTAAAAAGAGACGGCAGAGACAGAGACAAAAGCAAGAGACAGCTCTTCTAAGCAAGAGACAGCTCTTGTAAGCAAGAGACAGCTCTTGTAAGCAAGAGACAGCTCTTGTAAGCAAGAGACATAAACGAAATGGAAATAAAAAACTGATTTTAAAATCCATCGTGATAACATTTAAATGTGTCATTTTTTAAAAAACAAGCCAAAGGCCATTCTAATCTCTGAACAAAAAGGATCAAATTTCCGTCTCTTTTTCTCCATTTTCTCCTCAACTCCCCCACTTTTTGTCTGTTTTTGACGTTTTAATGAAAGCCCAATTTCCGTCTTGCAAAATATAAGAAAAAGAAAATTCAAGGATCCAACAAAACTGAATACTTTTTAAGAATTAAATAGATATTTGTGACTTTTTTCCACGCAAAGAAACGTAAACGCAAATTTATATATGAACTTGCACAATTCACATTACATTTTAGATATGTAAATATGTGAAAAAGTGACAAATACTATTAAATATTTCTCAAAATTTCCTTTGGCTAGAGCCTAATAATGCTAAAAGCAACATAAAAAGAGTGGAACTTGTACAAATTTCTGGGAAATCAAAAGCTCTGACGAATAAGCAAGAAAATTTGAGTTTTCACATCGAATTTCCCAGAATTACAGCAGCATCATCAATTGCAAAACAAGCAAAAGCTCAGTTTTTATGTGAAAGTGATGATTTGAAAAGAATTTTGTGAGCTCATTGTCAGATTTAGTTGAAAGTAACACTGAGGAGTATATAAATTGTTCTTGTAGAAATGTACAAGTGATTGAAAGATTAATGACGATAACTTTATCCAAAGCAATCATTGACTCATTTCCAAAAAGCTTCCGGGAATAGCTAATAGATAAAAGGAAATGAGAAAATCAATAAAAATCACCGAGTGCATTTAGGCAGCTTTACGTAAAGATTTCATTTCCAAAATTGCAGTCCTACTCTAAACTTATCATCGGGGATGACTTAGTTTTAGAATAGCCAAATAGCACCAGGATAAAAACGCTTACAACATAACAAGAACACGCAACATCCAGCATAATAAAGAAGTAAAGAAATTCGCAAGAAAAAATAGAATTCCGGAGAGGGGATTGAAACCTCGACCTTTTGCTTTTGCAATTGCTCTAAGCATTGAGCTATCCGGTACCTTTACTTGCCATGAGAAAGAAGAAAGGGAAGGGGGAAGAGGGAAGAAGAAAGGAAGAAAGGAAGAAAGGAAGAAAGGAAGAAACAAAGAAACAAGGAAAAGCTTGACGGTCATGATACGAGTACAAAACGGAGTGACGGCTTCGTCGATGGTAACACAAATATTAGCAAATTCTTTTTATAATGTTACCTAAACTATCTAAACAGAATCTAGAATCTTAAGGGTATTTTAAAGTAGATTGGATTTATAATTTTATAGTTTATTAGTAAAGAAAAGAAAAGGAAACGATACCTTTTACAAAAAGAGCACAAAAAAGAGAAGAAATTTGAAATTCTGAAAGAACAAGAGCAAAACTCTAAACACCAAAAAGACGAGAATTCACACAAGTTTTTCGAAAAACCAAAAAAAGTAATTTAGGGGAAAGAATAAGACGAAAAAGCGACGCAAATTAAATGCAAATAGGAACGTAATTAAGAAGGGAATGGAAGTAACCTTGCAAAGGCAAGGGGGGAGAAGAAAGGAAGAAAGGAAGAAAGGACATAGAATCGATTAAGAATTTCATCTAAATAATCATTTCTGTTAAAATCTACTCAAATAGCTAATATATAAAATTTAAATTTGAAAGAGATCAAACAAAAAAGAAAATTGTTGGGTCTTCTAGTTTCATTTCCCAGCCATTTCTTCTGAAAAAGACCCCTCAATTGGCAATTTTCGGTACAGTTTTGGTTCCTTTTCGGTACAGATTTGGTTCCTTTTTGGTACAGATTTGGTTCCTTTTCGGTACAGTTTTGGTTCCTTTTCTCTACAGATTTGGTTCCTTTTCTCTACAGATTTGGTTCCTTTTCTCTACAGATTTGGTTCCTTTTCTCTACAGATTTGGTTCCTTTTCTCTACAGATTTGGTTCCTTTTCTCTACAGATTTGGTTCCTTTTCTCTACAGATTTGGTTCCTTTCATCTAAATAATCATTTCTGTTAAAATCCACTCAAATAGCTAATATATAAAATATAAATTTGAAAGAAATCAAAAAAAAGAAAATTGTTGGGTCTTCTAGTTTCATTTTCCCGCCACTTTCCTTGAAAAAGACCCCTCAATTGGCAATTTTGTGGGACACAAAAAAAACAAAAATACGTCTCAAGATTGCCAAAAATGAAGGGTGAACTAGATCTGTGATGGACAAATTTATGACTAAAGTACGAAAAAGATTTTGTTGCAAAAATGTTTTCATTGTTTTCGTATAAAAAGTGGATAATTCATTAACATGACATAAATAAAAAAAAAAAAAAAAAATAAAAAATTTTAAAAAGGGAAGAAAAAAAAAAAAAAAAAAAAAAAGGAGGAAAAAAAAAAAAAAAAAAAAAAAAAAAAAAAAAAAAAAAAAAAAAAAAAAAAAAAAAAAAAAAAAAAAAAAAAAAAAAAAAAAAAAAAAAAAAAAAAAAAAAAAAAAAAGGGGGGTTAAGAAAAAAAAAAGAATTTTTTTTTTTTAAAAAGAAAAAAAAAAAAAAAAAAAAAAAGGGGGGGAGGGGGGCATACATCATGACAAAGTACATCATGACAGAAATTTAGATAAATAGATCAGAGATAAATACATTTTATGCGAAATCGCTTTAAAAATCTAAAAGAATAAACAACTCTGCGTAGCTCTACGTAGAGTAAAACGTCTTGTTCTCGAATAAAGTCTCATGATCAATGAAATTTCATAAACATCGATGGGAACCAATTTTGAGTCTCCATTTTGAGAGCTAAATTCATCAAATTCCCAGACCAATTTACCCAAAAAATTAACTCAAAAAATGCTGTACATGGAGTTTTAAAGATTTGTTAAGCAAAAGCTTTGAAAAGTCCACGTTCTCACCACATTTTTCCTATTCTTCATTTGTTATTCTTTGCATTTTCGTTTTTTTTGCACGCTTGATGAACTCTTGACGGGTTGATGAGCAAAGAAACATTGAGTTAAAGCTTTTCTCAAAAAGTTGCCTTGTCAGAATTCATTATTTGTGTTGAACATGAACAGCAAACTGCTTAGGTTGTGTAAAAATGACTGTATGAACTCTTGCAAACGCACTGGCATACCTATAATTTTCTTGGATGTTTTTGTACTCTCAGAAATGCAGAGTCGCTGGTACAATCGGAAGTTTCATAAACCAGAGCCCAAATTTTCCTCTGGTTTTCTCATTCTGGATCTGTTAGACTTGGCATTGTTCTTTTACTGATAAAACTTTTATAAGCATGTAAAAATGATTTCAAAAAAAAAGTAAAGCCTAGAGAAAATCTCTGAGAAAAAACCCGTAATTAAATGAAAAACATTTGAACCAAAAAAAACCGAAAAATTAAAGCTAAATGAGATTCATTTTGAGAAGATAAAGAAAAAGAACGACTTTTGAATGACAATTTTTTCAATGCTCAGGCGTATTTCCATCCGTACATCCGAACCAATCTTTGGCGATTGATTTTGATTTGGAAGGCAGAATCCGGGGGAATCTGAAATTTTTAAAAGCTATTGATATTTAGTTTAGATAGTAGATATTTCTTGAGCTACTTTTATGTCAATTCTCGTTCTCACCTCTTTCCGCCTAGTCTATAGTAATTTGGCCCGACAAACACATAGCTGATCTCATCCGAGTATCGCAAAGAAGCATCGATTCTATCGAAGACGTGCATCTGAAAGCTTTTTTTTGATTTGAAACATAAGCAGAATATTTTAGCTGATTTAAATATGTTTTTTTCTTTCAAAACCAACCCTTGACAAACTCTTTAAACTTCTTGGAAAACCACGCGGCATTCCTTTCAACGAATAGCGCCAGTACTTGTTCTCTGAAAAGATTTTGATTGATATGAAAAAGCAATCAGTATTATATATTTTCTTCATATTACTGAAGCTATTTTTTATCCATATAGGTAACCAACTTTTAAAGAAATACGGTCGATCATCAGCATGCCAAACGAGAGCAGCATCGATATTATCCGGTGTATCAACGAGTCCTTGTGAGATCAAGCGAGGATATCCATATCGAGCTTTTCCATCATGGCCAAGTAGCCAGTACTTTGAACCCTAAAATATCCATAATTTGAAAGTCTATAAACCTTCAAAATATTTTTTAATCACGATGTTTCGACCGTGGAAAGAAATTGGTTTGTAGCCATGAGAACAATCGCTTTTAGCTTCATTGGATACATTTTGAATTGATTTTTGATGAGAAAACTAATTCGTTTTTTATTTCACAAATTTCCAACTCACTTTAAAGACATAAGTGTCTCCTTCCGTATCGGTTAAAGCTGCATCAATATGTCCCTCGAAAGGCCAATGCTGATCAATTCTCAACGGTCCATCCAACACTCCACCACCCTCTTTCAGCTTCCAAAAGAATTCACCTAAACAAAAACTTTTGCATGATAAGCTTAAAGTACTGTAGTCAACTAGTACTAAACTTATTATAGTTAGTAAAATCTAGTTTTCTTGACTTTGCCTGACTTAGCTGACCTTGAAACGCGTAAATGCTTCCATTGCCAGTTCTCGTCATCGCGTCGAGGTTCGGATAGCTAAAATCCCAATTATAAAGTGCTTAAAAGAAAATAAGTACTGGATTTTGTTTATTATTTCCTAACCTGCAAATATCCGGTAAGCGATTCTTGTTCTCACTAAACCCCAATCCAGTAACAGCACCCGATGGGCCATACAGCTTGTCAAGGGCATCAATATCATCTAAACCAAATGTATTTTCATTTTTAGTAAACTGAATACCTTTATGTAAATGTAGTGCATCTCCTTTGTAAGTTTGATAAAATGGAGCCATGATTGCTTGCCGTTCCGATGAGTGTTTCAATCCAAGAGAATGACCGATCTCATGAACGGCTACCGCGTAGAGATCGATTCCAACGCCTGGAATATGATGCAATGTTAAGAATACTTGAAAAAACTGAATAATAAAACTTGTGCTTTGAACAATTTATAAGTTTAAATTACCGTATTTATCAGGACTCCACGTCTCAGCGTCGTCAAAGTGAACATCACCGCCGAATCTTGGGAAATAGGCGTGCGCGAGGATTTTCCCTGAATTGATGGTAGAATTGGCTTGAAAGTTTGATCTTGTAATAGCTAAGATAAGTGTCTTGGACTATTTTATGCTTAAAAATAAAAACATAGCGTGTCTGGCATACTCAACTTTACCATTCTTAGCAGTTACGATTTCGTACAGGTAATCGAGTACCCAAAAAGGGCACGTTTACATTTTAGTTATATAGAACTTATTGATTAATGCTCTTAATTATAAACTTTCTTCTCTTTCTTCTTTTCCCTTTCTTCCTTTTCCTTTCTTCCTTTCTCTTCCCCCTTGTATTCCCTCTTTCTTCTCTGGCTAGAAGATACCGGATAGCTCAATGGTTAGAGCAGTTGATTAGCAATTGGTTTAACCGGAAAGGAAGACGATTGAGGGTTCAATTCCCTCTCCGGAAATCTTTCTTTTATTCCTTACTTTACTTTATTGATACAAACCTCTCCCATCAAACGCCTCTCCATCACCGTGATCCCCGTCAGCGAATAAGATCTCAATATGCACAGCGCCATGCGGTTTGTAGACAAATCGAAGCTCCGAGTGTTCTTCCCACACCTAGAAAAGATTTGAATCAAGATTATTCAATTTTGCTCACCTTAAACGCTCTCCTCAACACTCTTCTCACTTCGGCTTCTCCAAGTGATCGACTGCTCCTCGCCACTTTCCATGAGATCTCACGGACTCCCCAATACGAGCCTGAAGTTAGAATGAGTTTTGAAAGCTTTAGTGCAATGATTTTACGCACAATAACCTAATTCAGGTGTTTCTTACCTTCAATCGAGTATCGTTTCACTCGTATCCGCGGAGCTGTAGAAGGAATTCGTTCAATGTAGTCTTGATAAGTGATTTCTATCGGTTCTTCTGAAACATTTACATATATTATTTGATTATTACATATACTATCATATATTATTATATATATTTTAGTTTTTTTTTATTAGACCTATTTACATATTCAAATCTTTAATCCAAATCATGTAGCTGGTGTCTTTGCCTCAAAAGACTGAAAGATTCAAATTCATTCATTTCCGTTCATTTTTTTTTCTGTTTTTCTTCTTAACTTCTATTTTATCAATTCTCCCGTTCCTGTTTGTTTTGTTGGTTTATCTGTACGAATCAATTTTCAAAGCCTTTCCTCTTGATAACCCTTTCACTTCACAGCTAATATCTAAACGGTTATTTTCGTTTTGTTTGTTTTTTTGTTCATCGAAAACAAAATGGGAACTAAAAGTAGGTTATCTATTAATATAGCCAACATGACAAATGACAAATAATCAAATTGGCTAGATTAGTAGTCAATCAAGTCAATCATAATCAAGTTGGCTAGATTTGTAGTCAATTAAGTCAATCATAATCAAGTTGGCTTAGCAAATCTCAGTGCCCCAGAAAGTGTCCATTTTATTTTTAAGTAAAAAGTATAAGAATTATTGGATTTCCTTGTATCGCTATCTTCACTTTAAGCTCACTATTCCTTTGATTGAGATTTCTTATCCCTCTTTCAAACAAGACTTCTAAATGGTAACAATATTGTTTAGCAAACTTGCCTTAATGAAACTTGGCTCTGATGAGCAACCTTACACCTATCACAGTAAACGAATAATGTAAACAATAAATAAAACACCTAAATGAATTTGAAACTTGTGATAAACCAATCAATTTTCCAGGGAAACTCTATCAATGATGTTTTTACAAGACAATAAAATGATGGAGCAACGAATAGAAAATAGGTTGGCAGGGGTAGCAAAAAAGCTCGAATTTTGGTTATTTTATTAGTTTTATCCTAACTTTTAAGTCATTTCCTTGACATTTCAGCTTGATACTGTTTCATAACAAAATTGAGAAAAACCTTTGGCGCTGGCTATTCACCAAATAATACAAGAATGAAGAATTTTAAACTCTCTATAGAAGACGAATTTTTAAGAAAGAACCTATAGAAGAATTTTAAACTTTCTGCTAACTTTTCTGAGTCTAAGCCTCTAGCATCAAGCGTTTTTCCCCAGATCGTCTAAATCTTTCAAAGATCAGACTTCATTTCCCCTAAAAACCTCGCATTATTGAAAGCAGCTGGTTTGGGTTTGTGAAAATCTTTTTGCTTTTAAGAAATCCTTGGATTTACGAGGAAAGTTTTAGTGTAAAATATGCAAATCATGACTGAATGGATTTGGTGGAGAAAAGGAGGAAAGAGAGGAGACTCTCCAATGACACCTGTTTCTCGTGTGCAATTCTCGTAGTCCGACTACCACAAGTTACACAACAGACATTTATGCACATTGGATTTCTTGTTTTTCAAACCAAGAGTTGCAGAAACTAGTTGTTTTTAGAGAAATTTTGAAAATTCAAAGACTCTAGTACTTCGGAAACAAATTTTATCTGGAAATTTAAGATTTTAAGCAACACTAATTTAATTTTTAGCTCATTATTCACTTAATTTCTGGCCTCACTCCGTAAAAATAGAATCATTCAGTCTCATATCAGTCTTTTTTTTCCGGAAAAGTTTAAAGTTTGGGAAAAGAATTGGGGAAAAGAATTGAGGAAAAGATGGGATAATCCTTTCACACAGAACAACTCAAATGACAACTTTAAGAAAAAGGGAAAGGAGGGGAAAATAGCGAGTGAAATTTGAATCCACGATCTCAGTGAAACGACTGACCAAAGGTTGGGAACCAACATTTTTTTAGATGTTGTTGAGTCATTGGTAAATAATTTTCCTTAACTTTCTAACGATGAGAACACGTGATAAGATTTAGAACAAGCTAGGTAGATTTAACAAGCTAGATTTAGAACTTTTTGAATACTTATTGAGTTTGGTCATGATCTATTTCATGAACAAATCCAATAAGTATTCAAAAAGTTATGGATGTTAGCAATGACACGGGGAAATCTGCGGAAAATGTAGAATTTAGTCAATATGGAGCCGTCATAAGTATCAGCTTTTTCCAAGAAAAGTTTTCCATTACCAAAACTGTACACCTCAAAAGAAATTCGATCAACAAACGGCTTGATATTCTCATTTTCCATCAGCTTGATATGGACTAAGGAAATTACAAGTACGTTTAAACCTTTGCTTGCATTCTCTGTAATTTCTCAAACGCATTCCATTCTCTAACGTCTTTCAAGGTTGGCTTAAAGGAAGGCTGGCTTAAAGGAAGGCTGGATTCAAGGCTGACTGGCTTCAAGGTTGGCTGGATTCAAGGCTGGCTGGCTTCAAGGCTGACTGGCTTCAAGGCTGACTGGCTTCAAGGCTGACTGGCTTCAAGGCTGACTGACTTAAAGGTTGGCTGGATTCAAGGCTGGCTGGCTTCAAGGCTGACTGACTTCAAGGCTGACTGGCTTCAAGGCTGACTGACTTAAAGGTTGGCTGGATTCAAGTCTGACTGGCTTCAAGGCTGGCTGGCTGGTACGTTTAAACTGATCATCTAATTAAATCCTTCAACTGGATTCTCAAGGGTTTCAAAAATTTCTTCTAACCCAAAACTTCTTTGAAATCTCTTCTGTTCCTCGCTTCTCATAAAATAGATCTCATCAACAATCGGTCTGATATTCGTTCACTTTCTATTAGTCATCCACATTTTTTTGTGGTGAGTGATATGAATGTGCAAGAAAACAAAGAATTTCAATGAATCGGTCAAATCGAAAAACAAAAACAAAAGAAGAAATTTACGAAATCCAAAAAAGCTGTGGAAACTGGATAAAAAATGTAAAATTCGTACTTCTAGTCACTTTTTGATTACCGTAAATACTGTAATAGTACCCCACCCCCATAATGACGGTGCGGAGTGTTGCGTAGTCTAGCTTTGAACTAGTTTGTCTCGACACTGGTTTATGCTACAATGCGCGCTTAGGTATCAAAAAACAGCCCTGAATTTCAGCTATTTTTTGATACCAAAGACGCATTTTTTTGAAAGTACGGGCGCTTTGAAAAAGATGAAATACTAAAAAACGTTTGCGACTACCCGACTGTACGATAGGGGGGTGGGGTACGGTATTTACGGTAAGTATTCTACTTTTTATTTTTTAATTTCAATCTAGCGTGCACTATTTTTGACAAATAAAATGATCAAGAACGGAATTTGAAAATTCTTCTTGAATCACTTTTTAGCTGAGATAAGAAGCGGCGACTAGGAAGATTATAGAAAAAATTGAGTGGGCGAATTAGTTGGAAAAGGAAAACTCATTGATTTTAAGTTGAAAGTAATGCTTATTCTACAATAATCTTTAATAAATCTCAAAAAAAACCTCTCACGATCAGTGCCAAAACCTGTGCTAGATCCAAAACTTGAAACAAACTTGCATTTAAACTCTTAAAACAAAAAGATGCTGTGTTTCTTTAAATTTCCATTGATTTTCTGAACTTTTATAAACTCACGTGCAATTTCTGGGATCCGGTTGTCAGTAATCGGAAGGCTGTAAACAGGTAGAAGAAGGGAGAAAAGAAATGTCTGAAAATTGAAAGGTAGGCAAAAATATAAGGCAATAAATGTCAGTTTATGTTTTACATCTGTTACCTATCTTAAATAATAAATTTATGCTTCAAAGGAACAAGCTCAGTAGCGGTAACTTTGCTGAAAATAGCTTGTGAAAACACTTTGCGCAATGAAACACAAATGCAGCGATCTGGTGCATTCAATTTTGCATTTTCCTGAATATTTTGGGCACTAATACCTTCAATTTTGCTCCCAGCTCTAGCCAAAACCAAACTTCATCCATCCTAGCTCAGCTTCCTTTTCTTATCTTTTCCCCAATCATCTCTAAATTTTCTCAGCGGTCATTTCAAAAGGCGCTAAATGTTTTTATTTCTTTTTTTCCTCATTCGCACGACATTTTACGACTAATTTTGGTTGCAAATGATTCGTTTTATTGCAAAGATTCACGGTTTCCGAGTAGTTTCCTTTTTGAAATTGCTCCCGGAAAAGTCATAATGAGCTGATGACATTTATTGGGGGCAAAGTGTTTGAGATCAGGAATGATTCAAGGATTAGTATTCGGATAGTTCGGAGGTAAGAAGTTCTAGGTATTAAAATATCTAGATTCTGGATTACTCTAAGAAAAACTTTTCAACAGTATTTTACTTGCAAATCAGTAAAGCTTTATATCTGATAAAGTGAGTATTTGATAATAAAAAAATCTTTGGGATTCTTGAAGCCTTGAAAATCCCGGTACAGAAAATGTTGAGAAAAAAAAAGAAAGAAAAACTAAAGCTACAAAGAAAAATGATAAGCTTTGACAACGGTTCAGATTTGACTTCTGATATAAATTTACGGAATGAAAACGTAACAACTCACCGATATCCGCAAAATACTCGTTGTTCTGGACATAGAATGGACATCACTTTGCATATCACAATGAAAAAGTGCAAAATGGAATTGTGAAGAGAAAATGGGGGAATGGGGCGGAGTTTGGGAAGAGGGAATCCTTGCCAAAAGGCTTTTTCTCTACTGTTTTTCTGATGGAAATGTCAAAATTTGAATTCGTAGACAAACTAAAGATAAAATGATATGGAAAAGGTGTATAGTGAGAAGAAAAAAACAAGGTCTAAAATGAAACAGTGAAAAGAAAGCCTTAGTACTTATAGGTTTCCTTTTTACAGTAGTTAGCAGTTAATAGCAGACAATTAAGTACAGTACTCTTGATTCGTTCGGTACTGTATGAATTGTTAAAATATGCATTTCAAGCCAGAAAAGTATTAAGAGGGTTGGGGATAAGATAACTTAAAAAGCTCAATTGATACTTGCTTTTTAGTATGCCAGATTGCGTGCATTTCAGCAGCCATCAGCACAAAGAACGAGAACTTGTAAACTTGAGAAACAGATTAAGCTATTGTTTTGCTTCTATAAAATTCATCCAAAAAAATTAGAACAATCTAAGTTAACAGTTTTATTTAGGATCTTTGAGTTAGAATTAGGACTCTTGCAAGGCTTACAATTGACATACACATTTAAAGTGAACAGCACAGTAAGTTGCAATTGCAGTTGCAGTTGTAGTTGCAGTTGTAGTTGCAGTTGTAGTTATAGTTGGAGTCGCAGTTGTAGTTGTAGTTGTAGTTGCAGTTGTAGTTGTAGTTGTAGTTGTAGTTGTAGTTGTAGTTGCAGTTGTAGTTGCAGTTGTAGTTGTAGTTGTAGTTGTAGTTGTAGTTGCAGTTGTAGTTGCAGTTGCAGTTGCAGTTGTAGTTGTAGTTGCAGTTGCAGTTGGAGTCGCAGTTGCAGTTACAGTTACAGTTGACACAATAACAGCACAGTAAATTGCAAGTTAAAAGGAAAACATGAAAACACAAAGAACAATTTTGAGCCAAGCAAGAACACAAAAGAAATGAATATTAAAAACATCTCAAATATTATTCTTCCCTTCTTTTGTTGTTTGTGATTTGAATGATATTTGATCGCTCATCACGATCGGAGCCATTGGAGGCGTAAAAGTGTTTCCCCCTTTTCCATTTCTCTTTTCTCATTTTCTGAACACCTCCATTTTTTTATCAGAACAAAAGCAAGAAAACCAAGAGAAAGCAATAGATAGAAACAATTCGATGACTAATATTTGTTGATTTTTGAGCGTCCGTTTTTGTCTATCCGAATCCCCCAAGTGTCATCGAATTTTGGAAAGTCTTTTCGTCCCTTTTTCTTTTGTCCAGAAAGTCTTTTCGTCCCTTTTTCTACTTCTGTTTATCGGTTACACTTGAAGTTTTGTAAAATCTTTTTGACAAACCTTGCCTGGGCACTCCCGATCAGCTTTCAATTGGCGCGGCAAGCAAGTTTTTACGGTAAGTCCACCTTTTTCGAATCGATATCCAAAGCTTACTTTATCGATAGTTTTCACAAAGTAATCTTTATCCTGTTTCACTAAAGCTGAACTCTTTAATAAACTTTTCTTTCTCGCAGCTCCAATCCAGTTCCGTCTAAACAAAAAAAAACATTGTTTTCACCTTTATTCGGTGTTCTGTATTTCAATACTAATTTCGAAGGGTCACAAAAATTTTTGCCATTGCTGCATTCCTTTTCGTAATTGTGTTTAAAGCCAACAAATGGACCAATTGAGCTACGGTTCTTTTCATTAGAAAGTCAAATTATTTTTCTGCAAAATACCATTAAAACGAGTTTAAAATGTCTTATGGCTGCATTTTTTCGGGAGCATGAAATAGGGTAGTCAAAAAGAGCTACGGCTCGATGATGCGTTTTTGATATTTTAGCTAAAGAAACCTATCTTGATACTAAAAGATAAAAGATAGAGCACAAAAAGTTATGTATATGGCTAAATTTTCAGAGAAATCCATTCAGCCGATAGATTTTTACCAAAAAAACACGAAAATTTGGTTGAAAGTGAACCGAATTTGACTTAAAAAGATGGAAAATTGAACAATAAACACTTTTTATTTAGAGCAAACAATAGATTAATTGGTGAATTTGTTCTTTTTCAAACGAAAGTAGGAAAAGGAAAGAAAAGATCTTCAGGATAGCCTAATAAAAGATTTTAAAAACAAAAACTGAAAAGCTTTTTGGTAGTCAAAATATTGTAAAGAAAGGAAATTCGCTGGATTTTCTTTGAAAACTTTCGAATATTTGAAATCATTTGAAAATTCTGTTTATTTTGCATTTTTGACAATCTTCCTGGGGATCTTTATATTTTCTAAACAGAATATTCTGTTCATAGTATTGTTTTCAGAAAGCCAAGAATTGTTTTTGAAGCTTTCAGAACTTCTGAATCTTTTTGATTATGCTCGGCAGCCTCAGCAGCCTCAGCAGCCTCAGCAGCCTCAGCAGCCTCAGCAGCTCGTTCAGTGCGTAAACGCTTTTATATACTCATCTTCAAAGTTCCGATGCCAAGTAATCAATCAAAATCTTTAGTAACTTTGTGCATGACCAAAAGTAGTACATTTATTTCCATTCTCAGCATGATACATTACTTTGAATACTCGTAATTGTGTTAATGTGGAATTTCGATGAATTCGAGAGACTGTCAAAGGAAAATGAGAGAGTCGATGGATTTGTGCTGGCTGGGTCTCGCTTTCCTGAATCGTTTCTTTCAAAGAATCGAATTGGTATGCCAAAAAGTATGCGTTTCTAATTTCAATCACTCATAACTTACCCAAACACAAACTCAGCCCGGTAACCCTTTGAAAAGCCTCTCGAATTTGTGTTGAAAATGTGTACAGAGACAGACAGATCAAGAACGTTGCTATTGGTAATAGAGTGACCTAAACAGTTTGTTGAAGTCACTTTCTTCAAAATCACCTGCAACTCTGCCCAAGTAGCATATCCTTGAACCTCATCCAAAACCTTTTTGTCGATAAATGTGTCTTCATCGTAGATTGGGAGGTGATTTTTCAAGATGAGAAGAGATGAGAGAACAAGCGAAAAACTGAGGATAGAGATGGGAAGCATGATTTTTGTGTCTTTTCTTGCATCGTTTAGAGATGGAGATGGGGTCTTGATCTAAATTTGGATGAACTCTTTTTGTAATTAGAACTTTAGAGCTAAAAGAACATTTTGAAAGTACAGTAATCCTCATACCGCAACCCTTTGGAACTAAAGTAATCCTTGAAAGTACAGTAATCCTTTGAAGCTACAGTAATCCTTTGAAAGTAAAGTAATTCTTTGAAAGTACAGTAATCCTTTGAAAGTACAGTAATCCTTTGAAGCTACAGTAATCCTTTGAAGCTACAGTAATCCCTTAAATTCTCATACTTATAGAAAGCCAAATGTTCTAAATCATGAGCCTACTCTAGAAATCAACGATTTTCTCAACTTCAGTCATCCCTTTTCACTTACCATTCGACTATTGTTGAACACCCAGAGAAATAATGAAAAAAATACAGCCAACGCATTTGTGCCAAAAAGAAACTCGACCGCATCAATAGCTAGCTTAAACTCAAATGCTTTCTAAACCATTATAAAATCAGCTCTAACCTGTCCAGAATACAACTCCACGGCTGCGTATGGGAAAACTTGTTCGGATGAGGTTAAATCCAAAATGAGCCATCCGATTGATAGAAGAATCTAAATCAAGATCTCATTCGAAATGTTTTTGCGCCTCACATAAATCAACAATATTAACACCAAAAGCGGATAGTTTCGCTTGTATTTCTGCAAGCGGACACAGCCGGCGATTCGCTCAATGACAAGGAAAATCGGGCCAAGACTTGTCCCAACCATTCCGATCACATAGACGTATTTGAGGCCTAGAACAGCATTTTAAACCTTGAATAGTTCAGTTTTTGAATAGAAAAATGGTACTTGTGATCTTTTTTTTTGTTGCTTTGGAGAGTGGAAATTCAAGTTTTAAGCCATTTTTTGACTCACCCAAACAACTCTCAGCTTTAAATATCTGCCAATCGCATCTCTCATCTTCTTCAATCACAAATCCAGTGTACAATTGATAGATACAACTCAGGAAAGCTCCTGAATTCGGTAATTCGATAAAAGTTTAATAATAAACCAATATTTGCCATCAATACAGCTGTAGTAAAAGCAAGCAATAGAATTCGTTGATTCAGATGAACTTTTCTCATCAAAATTATTGAAAACAGCATCATTGCTGTGGCGAGGATTGTAAGTGGGCTGATAAAGAGCTGAAATAATTAAAGGTTTTGAAATTTAGATTCTGTAAATAACGTTTACTGCTTTAGATCTATTCTAAGTTATTACTATGATTTTTGAAAGTTACCTGTATCAATAAGAACACATGCACTAGGCTAGTGTTATCGAAAATTGTATCCGCTGACGCGCACAACTCACATTTCGTACAATTCAAATGTGAAAACATGAATAACTAAACTAAAATAGTTAAGTAAATGAATTGGCAAGGTAACCAGAGCAAATCAGCACTGAAGGTTCCAGTTATTTACTGTTTCAATGTTGAGACAGTTTGCCGAAAAGATAAATGATTGGAAAAGTGAACAAAAAGGATTTGATTTGAAAAATTAGAAATTCTCAGATCAATCAGGTAAAGATTTGGAGACAAGATGATTTTAAATGACTTTTGACAGCAGAAATGGGATCAACAAGGAATCAAAAGATCAAAAATTGTCATGAACTTGTAGAGCAATAGAGCTGGACGGGGAAAACTGCTAAAAATGTAGAATTTAGTCGATATGGGGCCGTCATAAGTACCAGCTTTTTTCAAGAAAAGTTTTCCATTACCAAAACTGTACACCACAAAAGAAATTCGATCAACAAACGGCCTGATATTCTCATTTTTCATCAGCTTGATTGATATGGACTAAGGAAATTACAAGTACGTTTAAACCTTTGCTTGCATTCTCTGTGGTTTCTCAAACGCATTCCATTCTCTAACGTCTTTCAAGGTTGGCTTAAAGGAAGGCTGG